ATACCTAGGCCATAGTTGCACATTTCAGTTTACATACATGGACAGTGGTAAACCAAGGCAATATTTGCACATTTCAGTTTACATACACGGACAGTGGTATACCTAGGCCATAGTTGCACATTTCAGTTTACATACATGGACAGTTGTTCAACCAAGGCAATAGTGGCACATTTCAGTTTACATACATGGACAGTGGTACACCAAGGCCATAGTTGCACATTTCAGTTTACATACATGGACAGTGGTACACCAAGGCAATAGTTGCACATATCAGTATATATACATGGACAGTTGTATACCAAGGTAAAAGTTGCACATTTCAGTTTACATACATGGACAGTGGTACACCTAGGCAATAGTTGCATATTTCAGTTTACATACACGGACAGTGGTATACCTAGGCAATAGTGGCACATTTCAGTTTACATACATGGACAGTGGTACACCAAGCAATAGTTGCACATTTCAGTTTACATACACGGACAGTGGTATACCTAGGCAGTAGTTGCACATTTCAGTTTACATACATGGACAGTGGTATACCAAGGCAATAGTTGCACATTTCAGTTTACATACATGGACAGTGGTATACCTAGGCCATAGTTGCACATGTCAGTTTACATACATGGGCTGGTACACCAAGGCAATAGATGCACATTTCAGTTTACATACATGGACAGTGGTATACCTAGGCCATAGTTGCACATTTCAGTTTACATACACGGACAGTGGTACACCAAGGCAATAGTTGCACATATCAGTATTCATACATGGACAGTGGTATACCAATGCAATAGTGGCACATTTCAGTTGACATACACGGACAGTGGTATACCTAGGCAATAGTTGCACATTTCAGTTTACATACATGGACAGTGGTACACCTAGGCAATAGTTGCATATTTCAGTTGACATACACGGACAGTGGTATACCTAGGCAATAGTGGCACATTTCAGTTTACATACATGGACAGTGGTACACCTAGGCCATAGTTGCACATTTCAGTTTACATACATGGACAGTGGTATACCTAGGCAATAGTTGCACATTTCAGTTTACATACACGAACAGCGGTATACCTAGGCAATAGTTGCAGATTTAAGTTTACATACACGGACATTGGTATACGAAGGCAATAGTTGCACATATCAGTTTGCATACATGGACAGTTTAACACCAAGGAAATAGTTGCACATTTCAGTTTACATACATGGACAGTGGTATACCTAGGCCATAGTTGCACATTTCAGTTTACATACATGGACAGTGGTATACCTAGGCCATAGTTGCACATTTCAGTTTACATACATGGACAGTGGTAAACCAAGGCAATATTTGCTCATTTCAGTTTACATACATGGACAGTGGTATACCTAGGCCATAGTTGCACATTTCAGTTTACATACATGGACAGTGGTAAACCAAGGCAATAGTTGCACATTTCAGTTTACATACATGGACAGTGGTACACCTAGGCCATAGTTGCACATTTCAGTTTACATACATGGACAGTGGTACACCAAGGCAATAGTTGCACATATCAGTATATATACATGGACAGTTGTATACCAAGGCAATAGTTGCTCATTTCAGTTTACATACATGGACAGTGGTACACCTAGGCAATAGTTGCATATTTCAGTTGACATACACGGACAGTGGTATACCTAGGCAGTAGTTGTACATTTCAGTTTACATACATGGACAGTGGTATACCTAGGCAATAGTTGCACATTTCAGTTTACATACATGGACAGTGGTATACCAAGGCAATAGTTGCACATTTCTGTTTACATACATGGACAGTGGTATACCTAGGCAATAGTTGCACATGTCAGTTTACATACATGGGCTGGTACACCAAGGCAATAGATGCACATTTCAGTTTACATACATGGACAGTGGTATACCTAGGCAATAGTTGCACATTTCAGTTTACATACACGGACAGTGGTACACCAAGGCAAAAGTTGCACATATCAGTATACATACATGGACAGTGGTATACCAAGGCAATAGTTGCACATTTCTGTTTACATACATGGACAGTGGTATACCAAGGCAATAGTTGCACATTTCAGTATACAGATATGGACAGTGGTATACCAAGGTAGTAGTTGCACATTTCAGTTTACATACACAAACAGCGGTATACCTAGGCAATAGTTGCAGATTTAAGTTTACATACATGGACATTGGTATACCAAGGCAATAGTTGCACATATCAGTTTACATACATGGACACTGGTACATCTAGGCAATAGTTGCACATTTCAGTTCACATACATGGACAGTGGTATACCTAGGCAATAGTTGCACATTTCAGTATACAGATAAGGACAGTGGTATACCAAGGTAGTAGTTGCACATTTCAGTTTACATACACAAACAGCGGTATACCTAGGCAATAGTTGCAGATTTAAGTTTACATACATGGACATTGGTATACCAAGGCAATAGTTGCACATATCAGTTTACATACATGGACAGTTTTACACCAAGGCAATAGTTGCACATTTCAGTTTACATACATGGACAGTGGTATACCTAGGCCATAGTTGCACATTTCAGTTTACATACATGGACAGTGGTAAACCAAGGCAATATTTGCACATTTCAGTTTACATACACGGACAGTGGTATACCTAGGCCATAGTTGCACATTTCAGTTTACATACATGGACAGTTGTTCAACCAAGGCAATAGTGGCACATTTCAGTTTACATACATGGACAGTGGTACACCAAGGCCATAGTTGCACATTTCAGTTTACATACATGGACAGTGGTACACCAAGGCAATAGTTGCACATATCAGTATATATACATGGACAGTTGTATACCAAGGTAAAAGTTGCACATTTCAGTTTACATACATGGACAGTGGTACACCTAGGCAATAGTTGCATATTTCAGTTTACATACACGGACAGTGGTATACCTAGGCAATAGTGGCACATTTCAGTTTACATACATGGACAGTGGTACACCAAGCAATAGTTGCACATTTCAGTTTACATACACGGACAGTGGTATACCTAGGCAGTAGTTGCACATTTCAGTTTACATACATGGACAGTGGTATACCAAGGCAATAGTTGCACATTTCAGTTTACATACATGGACAGTGGTATACCTAGGCCATAGTTGCACATGTCAGTTTACATACATGGGCTGGTACACCAAGGCAATAGATGCACATTTCAGTTTACATACATGGACAGTGGTATACCTAGGCCATAGTTGCACATTTCAGTTTACATACACGGACAGTGGTACACCAAGGCAATAGTTGCACATATCAGTATTCATACATGGACAGTGGTATACCAATGCAATAGTGGCACATTTCAGTTGACATACACGGACAGTGGTATACCTAGGCAATAGTTGCACATTTCAGTTTACATACATGGACAGTGGTATACCTGGGGAATAGTTGCACATTTCAGTTTACATACATGGACAGTGGTACACCAAGGCAGTAGTTGCACATTTAAGTTTTCATACATGGACAGTGGTACACCAAGGCAGTAGTTGCACATTTCAGTTTACATACATTGACAGTGGTACACCAAGGCAGTAGTTGCACATTTCAGTTTACATACACGAACAGCGGTATACCAAGGCAATAGTTGTACATATCAGTTTACATACATGGACATTGGTATACCAAGGCAATAGTTGCACATATCAGTTTACATACATGGACAGTGGTATACAAAGGCAATAGTTGCACATTTCAGTTTACATACATGGACATTGGTATACCAAGGCAATAGTTGCACATATCAGTTTACATACATGGACAGTTTTACACCAAGGCAATAGTTGTACATTTCAGTTTACATACATGGACAGTGGTATACCTAGGCCATAGTTGCACATTTCTGTTTACATACATGGACAGTGGTATACCTAGGCCATAGTTGCACATTTCAGTTTACAAACATGGACAGTGGTAATCCAAGGCAATATTTGCACATTTCAGTTTACATACATGGACAGGGGTATACCAAGGCAATAGTTGCACATTTCAGTTTACATACATGGACAGTGGTATACCTGGGCACTAGTTGCACATTTCAGTTTACATACATGGACAGTGGTACACCAAGGCAATAGTTGCACATTTAAGTTTTCATACATGGACAGTGGTACACCAAGGCAGTAGTTGCACATTTCAGTTTACATACATGGACAGTGGTACACCAAGGCAGTAGTTGCACATTTCAGTTTACATACATGGACAGTGGTATACCTAGGCAATAGTTGCACATTTCAGTTTACATACACGGACAGTGGTATACCAAGGCAATAGTTGCACATATCAGTTTACATACATGGACAGTTTTACACCAAGGGAATAGTTGCACATTTCAGTTTACATACATGGACAGTGGTATACCTAGGCCATAGTTGCACATTTCTGTTTACATACACGGACACTGGTACACCAAGGCAATAGTTGTACATGTCAGTTTACATACATGGACAGTGGTATACCAAGGCAATAGTAGCACATTTCAGTTAACAGACAGGGAAAATGGTACACCAAGGCAGTAGTTGCATATTTCAGTATATAGACATGGACAGTGGTATACCAATGCCATAGTTGCACATTTCAGTTTACATACATGGACAGTGGTATACAAAGGCAATAATTGCACATTTCAATTTACATACATGGGCAGTGGTATACCTGGGCAATAGTTGCACATTTCAGTTTACTGACATAGACACTGATATACCAATGCATTAGTTGCACATTTCAGTGAAATAAACCTGCACGAAATATTTGTCATATTCATATTTGTCATATTTGTTTGCTCTGTTTGGGAAATGTTATCTCACCAATATTACATTTCACCATATTTTCACAAATCTTTTTGCAATTTTGTTTTATATATCCCTTCAAATATTCACTCAATGACATTTGGTTTCGACGAGGACATGATCGTTTAATCTCCAATGAAAGCTAAATAGTTCCTGTTTAACAGTTTCAGAATCTTCTTTAAAAACGAGTTTGAGAGAAGCGTCACGGATGACAACCTTGTGAGAATACGCAGGAGGTTTCATGGTGAGTTACACCTGTAGTCGAGAATAATGTGTAAACATGCATATGATTGTGTTCCAAAAAGGGTCGCTTCATGCATAGGCACTTTTTAGTACTTTGTCCCCATTTATTTTGACATATAATGTCCCCTTTTATCCAAATGCAAAGAAATATGTGCAGATTTTAATACGTTTAATGATGTTCATTTTGTCTAGTCCAGAATTATGCTATATTACTGCCAAAACGTGCATTCTTTTACTCGAAAGGAGTAAACTGCTTTTATGCCATGGTGTATATGTTATGTTTTATAAATTGGATTATAAATGCTATTGTGATAACCCATTGTTACGTAAATATACCATCTGTATTTTAAGATAATAATAGTTTCTCATAACCCTAAACGTGTGGCTCCTTAATGTTTGAATTTCACCTGCCTTTTATCACTATACGAGGTGAGACGTATATAAAATAGTCTTTTTGCATCATTGAAGATATGGACAATTGGGCTGGCCCAGTAGTTATTTCTAAGCATGATGATACAATCAGAAAATACCCTTTTGAATTGTTAGTCCTGATTGAGGCAAGGTATTGTTAACAAGGCACGATATCAAAAGTGGTTACAGTTAATTTTGACTGACCATGCATGACTTGTTAGACGTTATGAATTAATTCCTCGGTAGGTATATATTAAGGAAAGCCGAATTTGGTGTAAGGTGACACTGTTTTCTCTGTATAACAGATTAATGACGTTTAAGCTGCCGTGGGCGCTGGCCATGAGAAGAAAGTAGTATCTACTGCTACATGTCTGTGATGAAACGTTTCAACCTCACTTGAAAGCGGCAAGCACGATGGCTGCTAAAGTAAAGCCAAGAAAGACTTTACTCTTGTCACTCATGTTACTAAGTTGATACTTTATTTCACTTAAATGCCCTGTGGGTGAGTGAGTGAGTGAGTGGGTGAGTGAGTGAGTAAATGAGTGAGTGAGTGAGTGAGTGAGTGAGTGATTGATTGATTGAGTGAGTGAGTGAGTGAGTGAGTGAGTGAGTGAGTGAGTGAGTGAGTGAGTGAGTAGGTTTCAATCTCATTAAAATCGGATCTTAGTTCTCGCTACCGCTAAACAAAGATCTGAGGACATTCCATTAGCGGTCACGTCAGAACGACCTTTAACCTGACCAATCAGAGCGTCGCTTACAAGATCATAAAAGCGACAGTCGGAATGTGATTTCTAATCATGCAACCTCGAAAACTTTAACACGGGGTATTCCATACAATCTAGACAATCTATCAGCCATTCCAGAATGTACATTTGGTCACGTTTCAAATTTTAATCGAGAATTTGTCAAAATTTGTTTTGAAGCGTAGTCGCCAATTCGAAATTAGTGCCGTAAAGCACGCGAAAGCTGATTGGCTAATGTCGACTTCTTGTTAGTCATTCAATTGGTCGGTCAAAGTTCGCGCAAGGTCGGTCTGACGTGACCCGTAATGGGGTGTTCTCAGATGTTTGTTTAGCGGTAGCGAGAACTAAGATCTGATTTTAATGAGATTGTGTAGGTTTTTACGCCGCTTTCTCCGCGTATAGTATACACTTGAAGGAAAGCCCGACTTTTACCACTTTGGTAAAACCCATGAGCACGGAGAAGGTGTTGACAAACCTTGAAACATAATCGGGGCGAACCGGGATTCGAACCCACGATCATACGTATTTGCCCAAGGGACGCAACTCTGCACAGTCAATTGCGGCTCCTGAGTCGATATAAAAGAATTGTTTCACCTATGTTTGATTAACCAGCACAATTTAATGAAATGTTTAATAGGAGAGAACATAAACAGGGATCGTCATCTAGTGGTGAATTGCTGGAATATTGCCAGAGCGGAGTTGAACAGTCCCCTTGTGTTCAATATGATCATATCCGAATAAACAACCGAAGTCAGTATCAGTGTGAGCAGTCATTTATTTTTTTGTTATGAAACTGGTTTTGTTTTCCTGATGTTGAGTCAAGCTTTCCGCCATGCAATGTAAAATCGTTACATACCTTGTGTCAACATGACACACACACACACACACGATTCAGATAACATTAACAAATATCACGCTTCTCTCATTCATGTGTTAAGCAGAAAGCTTTGTTTGATGGAAAATGAGGTGAAGAAGATTGAATTCAATCACCAAAGCCTGTCAGCTATCGACCGCTAGAAAATCCAGTGGCCGATAGCTGGACAGCAATACGACACACAATCAAGTAGGTTGCAAAGAGTAACCGAACAAATTCATTTTTTTAATTCATTGTGACTTCACTATCCACGAATACTGACCTGTTAATATTAAACCAGAAAAAACTCTCTCGACTTTCACGGATTACATTGTTTCTAAAGACAGAACAGATGGAGGGGCCGTGGGGTTAAAGCGGTCGCTCGCCACGCTGAAGATCCGGATTAGAATCAACAGATGGGTACAATGTGTGAAGCCAATTTATGGTGTCCACCGCCGTTATATTGCTGGAAAATTACTGAAAGCGGCGTCAAACGATACTCACTGTATCAGAACAGATGGTTTCGAACGAACACGAGGTGAAGATATATACAGTAAGACATCTCTTCTAAGATAAATGTATGTTTACGTAATGATCAACAAGGAATTTTATGCAAAGGATTTGTAACAGACAGACGCCACAGTCGTTTAAGATTGGGTATATTAACGTCGCGGAATGCATAGTGATTGGGATACTGACATGGTAAATATGTTAAAAAAGAACTACACAAAATATCAAGGATTGCTTAAGCGTTTTTGAGCATGTCATCATGCTATCATGGAACAGGTTCATATGTGAATCTGGGGAGTCCTCCGGTGTGTGACGACACGACTCTACAAAAGAACAAACATTGATCATTATCGGTGAAACAAACTTTTAAATACCAAACTTAAAGTGTCTAAAATATTGAACTGAAACAAATATTTATATATCACAAATAGTGGATGTGTTCCTGAAAGATTATATCAAAACAATATACAGTGTATAATGTTTGTCATCATGAGAGGAAAACATGGCAGCGATACTTACTAAGCTATTGGCAATATTTTCGTACTGGCACCCATGTTTTGTCAATCAATGACCGTTCCTGTAGGGACCTGAACGACACCCTGAAACTATAGCAAACCCATGGTCATATATGTAGAGAGAATGGGAGTTACGCTTCTACAGTTATAATAAAATCAATCTCAAGGCAAATAATTAGTGGGTAAGTTGGGTTTAACGTCGCTTTGAGCAGTATTACAGCTATATCACGGCGTGTCAGCATAATGTGGGAGGAAGGCCCGACGTGATGAATGCAGGTTTCCACCTTGGAGAAACCCACAGGTATGGTGCTGACAAACCACGAAACATAATCGGGGCGACCTGGGATTCTAACCCACAGTCACAGGTTTCTGGCGTGCACAGCGAATTGCGTCGTCTCAGCCAGTGGATGACCCGTGCCCCGTCAAGTATTGGCGGTATCTAACGGTGACATAATGTATATCACATACTTCTGTTCATTTCTTTGTACCAGGCATGAACCCTGTTGATTTTTCCCATACGCTTTCTTCATCTTGGCATCATTGGTTTCAGAATATTGTTCCCAGCCATTCTGCTCGTCCTTTCTCTGCCACACATAGGGTCTGTCTCCATCTTTAGTTGACTGGACATTTGCACTGTCTGATAATAAGATAGTTATTATAATATAATAATGTTTGCGTATAACTAGCTGCCTATATATCACTACAACTAGTTACTTTAATTGTTTATTAATCAAGACCAAAACCAATGGCAAACACGTGAAATTGTTAAAGGGATTGAATATAACGTCGAAAAATCTTTATTACATCAATGTAAGGGACAAAGACATGACAATTCACCTTGATATAGCAATATCTACCTTGAACGGTATCCATGTGAGGAATTGTCTTGGCAGTTGTTTCTAGGATACACGCAATTGGGTCCCTAGAAAACAATAATAATATTCCGACATGGAATGCAGATTATTTTAAGAAGGTGCAGTATCAAAGGACGTTTGTAATCATGGCGCTGGATTACACAGAAGACTCAAATTTAAAGACACGCTTCATAATGGGGCTGCTAATTTGATTTCGCATTGAACGTCCTCCATTTCTAAAACTGAATACCCACAAGGCACCGATATTTCTGAGTGACTCTGCTATCTTACAGGTGCTCCCGAAATCCACAGTGTGTTCCCTTTTCATGTGACAGAGATACAAATATGAATACCTCTGAGTCACTCTCGTTTTTCTCATCACACCGATGTGTGTAGTCCTAGAGAAACTTACCGAAAAGATACATCGACCAGACCACACATTCCATATCTGTATTCGTGGATTTCACCATTCTGCCATCGAACCTGTAGCAATTATGTACTACTGAATTATATGTCATAGTGATTGAATTGTTCTGCTCAGGCACACATGGCAGCCAAGTTGGTTTAACAGATTTGACCTCTTATTGTTATTGTTATCATTATTATTGTTATTATTATTATTATTATTATTATTTACAGATTAAAATAAAAAATGCAGCAAAGAGTGTTTGGGTGATCCTGGCACAGTCAGGCTGGTTAGGCTCATCGTCAGCTCAGGGCCCTTGCCCCCTCAACACGCAGACTTCTCCCAGGAAGCGTTGCCTAGTCAAACCCACCCAGAACTTTTAGGAGAATGTGAAGACTCCCCAACACTGCAGCCTTCTGCATTACCCAGATTGTCAGAAGGTCTGTATTCCTGGTAGCAAACCCGGGTACACTCCCAATGTCAGTCAACAGATTGGGAGGTACCAAACCTAAGGCATCGAGAACAATGGGGAGTCGGACAACTTGGTACTTGGGATGCAAACGTGACATTACAAATGCGAGGTCAACATAATTGCCATGTTTTTCCTGGATCTTGTCAATCACATTAGTGTCAAAAGGGACAGAAAAGTTAATGATATAAATGATTTCATTGGATTTATCAAACAGGACAAGATCAGGGTTTTTGGACCGGATACGTCTTAGGCTGTAAACGGGCCTATTCCAAAGAATTTTGTATTCATCATTTTCCATGACGCCCACTACATCGTACCATGGATGGACCTCTGTGTCAAAACCACAAGCATTGCGAAGACGGTAATATAATGATCGAGCTACACCATCATGTCGCTTAAGATACTGTGTGCCAAAGCTGAGCATCCACTGATAATGTGTTGGACAGTCTCATTAAATTCATTGCATAATCTACATTACATATTCACATTTTGATGCAAAATCACACATTGACGGTTTCGAGTGGGAAATGACTGGTCCTGAGCAGCAAACAGAAAGCCTTCTGTTTCACTTTTCAGGCCAGCCGACTTCATCCAGGCGAAGGACTCTGCAGGGTTGCTGGTCAAAACACTGCACATAAACCCGATGCAGTGGTCGTTCAGATAGCCTCTCCTTGAAAAACTGAGTCTGGGCCAATTTGATATGGCACTTCGCTTGGTTGACACTCATTTCTGTACCGTCCAGCAGTACAGAACCATCGAACAAATCAACACTGACATTGAGATCATGTCCCACATCCTTGGCTCGTTCAAGAAAACTGTGGAATGCCTTGATTTCATCATGAGTCTTGATTAAATGTGTGCAAAAGTGCACAATACAATTCTATCATGAAGAGCCTCCACGTTTATCAAATCACGTCCTCCCATTATGATTGTTTAATATAAGCGATTGAGGGAAGAGCGAGGGTGGTGGGATTTATTGTCTGACATGATTTTTCGTGTGAGGGTATCCATACCCTGAATTTCTTGTTTCATCCAATCAACAACACCAAAAGAATATTAAAGGACGGGCACAGCATAAGTATTTGTGGCTTTGACTTTGTTGTGAGCGTTCAGCTCTGAACTCCAGATTTTCTTATGTCTACATTTGTACTCTGCCCGAAGGTTTTCCCTGAAATGGGCATTCTGGAGATGGTAAATAACTCCTCCTCCAAGTAAACTGACTGATCCTCCCTCTTCTACCTTGGCACGTTTCAAATGAAGAATGTTGCATTTGTCGAGTTCAAAGGCCGATATCCTTAGAGAAGGACTCGACAAGATGAATCTGTTTTCTTAGTGTGGATCCTCCACTGGCAATAAGTTCAAGGTCATCCATGTAAAGGAGGTGAGTAAGAGGTGTTGGGGATCTGTGCTGAGGAGCTCCAGGATGATAGCCTTCCTCTTTGCTAAGCAAAAAGCTTAAAGGATTTAGTGACAAACAGAAAAGCAAAGTACTAAACGAATCGCCCTGAAATATTCCTCTTCAAATAGAAATAGGTTCCGAAGTCACCACCTGCCCCTGCGAATACGTCTCAAGTTGAGTTGACCATCAATTCATTAAAGACTTGGGTAAAACAAGTAGTCGCTCGGGGAGGTCAATACATTCCAGTGACTTCAAAATCCATTCGTGAGGTACAGAATCATATTAAGCTTTTCTGTAGTCTATCCAACACATTGAAAGGTGGTAAGTTTTAGCCTCTTCAAGGATATTTTTGTGTGTTATTATTATTATGATTATTATTGTTGTTGTTTAATGTTTTGGAAGGATAAATGGTTTCTTTTACCTTAACTTTTCCCGGCATAAGGCGAATAATGGTGCCATAGCTGCCAATTCCACCGTCCTGGTTTCCGTACAGGTGATGCCAGGCAGGACCTGATAGGAATAAAGACAAAACATATCTGATTTGTGAAGCATGTGGGTGTAAGCAGAAATTGTAAACGATAACATAATTTGGAAAAAGGTACAATGCTTCTTAATGTGGCTGTTCAACCGTGCATTGAGCTACACATAGATCGTTACATCACAATGTTCATACATAAAGGGACCGCCTCAGTGGTCTTGTGGTAGAGCGTCTGCCAGGAGATCGGAAGGTCGGGGGTTTGATCCCCGGCCGCGTCATACCAGAAGACGTTAAAAGATGGTTGTTACCCTGCCTGGCGCTCAGCATTAAGGGGCTTAAACAAGGACTGGTCGGCTCGGAGTCAGTATACTGTGTGTGAGTATGGTATTCATGTTATACTGCGGCATGGTATTTCAGTGGGCTTATCACTATAATATCGGGATTAGTCTGTACTAGTACAAGCAGCCACACACACGTACGTGCATGCACGTCGCTATATAAGTGCAATGATCTTTGGCGCAATGTTAAACCCCATTTAACAAAAACACATAGAGAGGATATGGAAAACAAGTTGCATGCCAGGTCTTACCTCTTTCAACTTGAACCCCCACACCCACTTGACTGACACTGACAACCCGAGGTTGGTCTTCTACTACAGTGACGTCATACTTCCCACCATGGCCATATCTGTAGGAGTTTGAGTGGTCATTATCCCAGATCACCCAAACTATTCCTGAAAAATACGCCATACATACAAAAAAAAGAAGTTCAATTTGAAACAACTTTCGAGTCAAACATGTAATGAGTCAGAGTGACCTCTATAGCTGCTTCAGTTTCCAAAGCCACAATATAGTGGTTGACACGAACACGGGAACCATCAACTTCTGATATCTGTTGATTGATCAGCATTACTCCTAGCCAACACATATTCTTGTTGCTGTTGATATGAAAACTTGGAATCATCAGTATCAGATTATATTTGCACAAATGAGGATTGTTTTATTTAAAATATTGTTTCACAGTTTGTAAATATATCATGAAACTAGTATATTGTTTTTACTGTCTTTGGCGTGGTTAGTGATGGTCCCAGGACCTTCTGTATCCTGGTTCCCCCACTGCCAGTCTGGACCTCTCACCACCCTTGTCCCGAGGGGAGGTAAATCCTTCTCCTCCATTATGTCATTGGAGACTGACGTAATATATGCCACAATCACGTTGTAAACCTCCGTCTGAAACACGTCATATAATCAAGTGCTTAATGATAAAAATAGATAAAAGCATCATATCCCTATTCATCTTAAGGAATATCTGATGAAAATAGAGTCCTTGTGCGATTTCGACTAGATCATAAGCATGTGGCAAAATGGTGAGTGTGTCCGGCCCCACCGGTGGCTCCCGTCACAAACACATGCAAATGCAAGTCAAATGTTCACCTATCGGACTTAATTTTTGTCACTGATGCCTCAAATTTGGAAATGTCCTCAGCATGTCTTCCATAAAACATTTTGAAAGTTTTACTCAGTACTAGAATGTTGTAACCTTGATCAAACAACTTATAACATTGCTTACTATGGAACGCGATTTGATAAAAGCTATATTATCCTACTACTTACTAGTTACCTAAGTGAGACCTGCAAAAGTGCATAAATAAAAGCGATAAAACCCTTTCCATCACCATCATCATCAACCACCGGTGCCACCTGTCACAAACCCATGCTGAAGCAAGTCAAATGTTCACCTGAATAAAGCCATTACATGCACCTGAAAGGGATACTGACCGTGCTGGCCTTGTCGATCTCGGGTCCAAGATCCGTAAGCAAACTACGCAATCCGGCCAAAAATATGTCAGTTTCATTCCCTCTTTGTCTTACGTATTCGATGGCTCGAGCGGCAATTTTCTGAAAGTAAGAACATATGAAATCAATATTTCACATATGTGTTTGAACCCACTGCACAGCACAGAAAAGGGCTTTCAAACATTGTTTGATTGCGTTTTGATAATATGTGTCTCAATTTATAGACGCTATTGTAAAAAACAAAGAAAAAAGTGAAACATTCTGAACACCTGCCGATAGGACAAAAATGGACATGTACATTGGTGCTTTACTTACGCGCAAGTAGAGATAGTTTGACAACTTTGCGAAGGACGTAGCATCTTTCACTTTGCCACCACAAACTGACGCCAGGGCTTCAATGGCGCGCTTGAATAGGAACCAAATGGACAGTATAAGACACTCATCTAGCACTTGGTAATATGACAACTGTTTCTTTTTACATGATTTAATGTATCTTGATTAAGTCATCATAGCTTTGAAATGCATTTAGAAGTGATACACTTCAGGTGATGAAAGAGTAAGCATATACTCCGAAACGTTGTGTTTCTCATAATACAGAAGTTGACATCCATAAATTCTTAAGTCATCATACTTTATGTGTGTATTGTTGGATGTGCAGTGTCAACGATAGATAAGAGAAGTAGACTTTAATTAGATACTCTATATCGACTAACTGACACTCGTGAGTAAATGTAATTGAACTTGTAGGACTGGTCAGTGAACCCAACGTTTACCATATCACAGAATTGTCCCACTGGAACAAAAATGATTTCATCAGGTAGATCATCACTTGGTTGTCTGCTTCTGATCTCTTGGAAAGCTCGTAAAATTCTTATTTGGTCCTGTAGGATGGAAAACGTTAGTGTTCCGTATACATATTTAATCCAATCTGAGCGTTAATAGATAATACAATACTCAGGAACATACAAGCTTGTGCTTCATTTATTTGATTTCTCACATGACGAATTCATTTACAATAGTTCACCATGATGTTATTGAAGAAAGAATCGTTACAATCCGAAATGTCGGTCTATCACCTGACTACTGAGCAAGTGGCTGTCTCTGGCAGATTCCGGCATCTCAGTTGTTGGCTGGCCGTCAGACATGAAGATCATTCGTGGTCTCAGCTCCATTCGATTGTTGAGTCTGTAGATACCACCTTTCACAATAAATATTATTGAGTCAATGAATATCGAATATACCTACATCCTTTCATCACTTATTACTTATGACTTTAGTGAAGGCGTCCGTATCAAACTATTCCCCTATTTAGTCATATGTGGTAATAATATATGAGGGTTGAGGGAATGTTCGTTTTACGCCCAAGTCAGAAATTACCAAATATCACTTTTCAACACTCATATCTCTTCCTTACATGCTCGAATCCTGACTAGACAAACCCAATGGTTGATAACCCCGTCGGGTACGGTGGCACACAGTCAGCTCTATCGCACATTGTAATCACTTCATCTTTATTGGTCAGCCCTTATGACAAACGAACACATGTCTAGGAAGCAGCACGGAAGTTAGGACATTCTAAGGAAACCGCACACCCAATAAAGCCGAGCACTCAGAATAAGAAAGAACACAAAGGAAATGGTCTACCTTTCGCAAGAGCTGCCATGGACACAATAACACCTTCAAGGATCGGCGATGGACCCCCAGGCGTGATTTTGTCTAAGAACATAATGCAGACAAATCAGTTGATAATTCCATCCCGAATAGTTCATGTAAGGTTTTAATCAGGATAATATAAAATACTTAAAAACATAAACATGTTAAGGTATAGCATACATATTTGATCAAGAGTTGACATTACGGCTAATGTACGCGTACGTCAAGGTACAGGACAACAGATACCTAAAGCATCTCTGAGGCTTCCATAGTCATTGGATAAGTGATGGATCACTTTTGCCCGACCTCCGAAGGTGACGAGGGCAATATTCTCTTCAACATCATGTTGTTCTGCAATGTCCTCGATTCCTGTGAACATGAAATATTTTTGTGACCACGATGACCCAGGCACGTAGGTGGTGAGGAAATTATTTTTACTCGATATAGTTCACTGTAAGCTGGTTGATAGAATTTAAAATCAATACTCAATACAACCGTAATAATCAATAAAATTCATACGCTCTATATCATTGTTGACGTAGTGTAAATGTTTAGATAATGCAGACACCATTGTCACGTAATGGTGCCAAAATAGTTATGACGTCACAGTCTATTATTACTGACATCAAGCTGACCATGTTATCTTCTCGACAAGGTTTTCAGAATGGAACCTTGAAACTCGTTTCGTAACCCTCTATATATCTGTCATATGAAATCAAAACCTACAGTAGTATAACATAAACAACAAAAAGAAGGGTTCCTAAATATGGGATGTTTGATAAAATTGTATGCTAGTAGCTCTGCAATACGTAAAACGTCATATGTTTTATAATTACCATTGATAAAATCAAGAGTGATTTTCTTCATTTCTTGAAACGCTTCACCTCGCATGCTTCCAGAAGTGTCCAAACATATGATAGTATCGAGAGCCAGATCATGTCTTGGAGCAGGACTTTCCTCTGAAACAATCATTCCCTTCTCCGTAATATATTCATGTGTAAATGTACTATATGTGGAGCACAGTGAACGAATTTATTCATAGAAAGTTATATTAGTTACAAAATCGTTTCACTACAGAAGTGTATAATGCAAATAAGAAACATTTCTGTTCCCATGGACGTATGGTGTACTATAATATAATCCTTAGTTTCAATTACATTTGTTTAACAATTCGGGCTCTTTTCGTGTAACCACCTCGTTGAGGAAGACAATACGACATATAGAAAGTGAGTAAGATAATAGCTTGTTTCACGCTTTCTGCATATAAACCCTTGATTTACTGTAAATGAATGTTTACTAAACATAATTTCAATTTGATCAACATGACTATAGGAAGGGGAACTAATGGATGTCAACTTCGTTATTATGAGGAACACAACGTTTCAGAGAATATGCTTCAGGTGAATGAAGGAGTAAGGCTATACCCCGCAACGTTGTTTTCCCCATTAAAAGAAGCTGACATCCATAAACTCTCTTTCTTATATGTATCACTTCTAAATGTCATTCAAAGACTTAACATGACTATACCTTCTAGCAATGCTCCCTGAACACTTTCCCATATTCTGCTCCAGTATGGGCTGTCGCTGATAGCGCATTCCATCATCAAACGCAAAGCCTGTTCCTTTGCTTGATTTCCTTCGATCTTCTCCTTTTTCGGTTCTTCGCTGACAAATAAAGCAGAATGGTACATTAATGCACTGAAAATATGCCATAGTTCTATGTAAATATAATTGCGGATGCAATAGAAATGCAAGTCTAGATTATCCGCAAAAACAGATTCCATTTGGCGTAAAGGGCAAAATAGCAGTGAAAATTATAAGTTAGGGCTACTGAAAATCAATGATGACACCAGGTGTTCGCGGAAAGGGTAATCGTGTCCTGCCCTACCGGTCAAAGATCACCCGCCTTTCACACAATGTTGTCTAAAGAGGTAAGTATTTATTGCCTGGCGCAAAACAGCAACACTCCTACCATTCGACGGCGGCCTACAATAAACATAAATGTAAATGCAAAGAAAAGTCACTTTGATGATATATAGTATTAATATATCTGAGTAAACGCTTACCACGTATTCGGTGTCTCTGTATATCTGACCGGGACATTGATTGCATCTGACTGCATATCAGAATAGGCATTTTGCCGTGATGACATGTCGCTGAAGCCATACAGCAGTTCTTCGAAAATTGTCGTTACTTCATGAGGAGTAGCTGCTGCCTCCCTTTTCGGTTGTTGGCTGATTTGCTTCCCATTGTAACGTGATTCGCATTGCGCACTGGAATCTGGTCCATATACCGCTTGGCTTCTGTCTCCAGAGGTTTGGTAGGATTTCTTGTACATGTGTGAGTTTTCATATTGTTGGTTTCTGGAGGGATACATGTCACTTCCATGGTCAGGAAATACATTTTGTTGGGTTTCATGTGTGCTATTGATTGTCCCTTCGTTACTTTGGTCAAATGCTGCTACGTCTGATGTGTTTGGCAATACCATCTTCTCATCGACTGACACATCGTCACTGAGGTCTCCATCTGATTCACCTTGTCTTTCTTCCGTTACGTCTTCACTCCCAATACAATTTGTGCTTGTTTCAGCCTTCTTCTCAGCCACCGAATTTCCCCCCTGTCCCCTTTTCTCCTTTTCGTCACCTCTCTCTTCCTCCTCCACTCCATCATCATCATCATCATCATCATCATCATCATCACTAAGTATTTCTATTTTTGGACGATATGCTGCTGCTATATTCAAATGAAGCGATGACACATCTTCATATGGCTCTAAATCAAAGTCAATCAGATTTCTATCTGGTTTTGGTTCTTGTTGTTCCTCTTGGCGTTCTGAGGTTAAACGTTCAGGCCCTTGTCTTCTGTCGTTCAGGAAGGCCTGGGAGATTTTCATAAGTGAGACACGTATGGTTTCATATTGTTTCTCTTGGTCGTTAAACTGTGACTCCATGAACTGTCTCTGTTTAAACAGTTCTTCTTCTATATTGATAAATCTCTTTTCTACTCTGGAAGGTATCGCGATCGAGATACCACCGTCTTCTGAAGACGACCTGTTCCTTGTGTAAATGAACATGTGTCTCAGTGTATGACCACGGGGATAGATATGGTAAAATACTCAGAGTAAAAAAATGAGTGGTGTTTTCACAAACAAGTAATCATTATTTAATGTGGCTAATTTTTACAAACTACATGCATCGTTCTTATGAATGAAACAATAGCGTCAATACTATTCCCCTCGGACGTCTTGATAATACTGACATTATATAAATACCAGATAAACTCCTCAGATGCCAACTTCGCCATGAAGATTTGCATCTTTTTTTCTGCCAGGAAAAGAATATGTTTATTCCAAGATTCGTCCTGATTATTAACCTTGTTTTGTAAGTATTATACTCATGCTCATGGGTGATAAACTGTGTTGAACTGCCTCACATTGGGATTTCCTCCAAAGTTAACTTGACACGCCGTGAAAGCTTCGGTACCCAACTCACTCACTCACTCACATACTCACATATCGATAATTTGTTTCTTCCTTCTCTTACCTCATTGATGTAAGCCTTCTATTCGCAAAACCATCCTCATCAACCCTGTGCAAACACCAGAGACCGGTCTCCATGGACACAGTTTTCGATTTATGTATGCCGATGTGCAGTCCCTTTAGGTTCTGTAATCCTGTCGTCTTCAGAAGGAATTCTTTCACAATTACAAAAACCTTGAACCTCTCATTCAAAAGCGTTTTCATGTCTGAACCGCCACAGTGCTCGAACATCATAGCAAGTGGAGCATATACCACGTGGATCAGCTTAACCCGGTGTGCTGTCAGCATCTTCCTTGTGAAGTCATGTAATGCAGCTTGATCCTTGAGGAGCTTGTTGACATGGTCGAAAGTTATGACTGAAGATTTGTTGTCTGCCTCGGCTTCGGACACTGATATACTGGATGTCTCACTCCCACTGTCGATGTCCTCCCAGTGCAGGTGAAGCAACTGCATGCATTCTGTAATATTACATAATGTTACCATTTACGTATTTTTTGTAAGCACATATCGTCACCAGCTTCAGTCAGTTGCAGTAGTATACAGAAAAGAAAAACTCTAAAAAGACACTGATGAACATATTATTAAAGGAAGACTGCATGGCGATTAAATTGTCCTTAAAGTAGTTGCCATCAGTTACACTAGGGAAAGAGATGATTTAAACATTTAAACATTTACCATTTAAAACTGAAAAACTTGTGAACAATATAAAAACAAGATATTTTATGGACAACTTCTGTATTCTATTATGATGCGACGTTTCTGTACAGATCCTTATTCCCTTTTCAAGCATGATTGTGTACAATTTCATACAGTCCTGGAATTGCAAAGTACAATTTGAATATCATTATTGTGTAGCTGAAGTAACTTATGTTGGCATTGTTGTTTGTATACATTGTAGCAACATGACTGGTGTCTCAACCTACCATGACTATGGTGTTGTCTGTCAGCAAAGTCATTGTTCGTGCATATGTCAACGACTGCACAACACTTCCTGTCACCAATACGGGCATTGTCTGGTCCAAAGTGACGGAAATGTACAGCGGATACATTTCCACTTGTTTCCTCCATGTTTGTTAACTCTGTAAACGAAAAAAGCAGTGTCGTAGGATAGAGCAAATACACTTGTACACAACAGTGGCTCACATACATTTACAAGAACTTTATAAGATAACAAAATACTGATTTTAAGCCACACACAAATAGAACACTAATAGGACACAAAGTGTACACCTTTTCTACATAATCATATGCGATAATTCATACAGTAAAACAATAGATGTATTTTTCTGACATACATTTACAAGAATTGTATAAGGTGACAAAGTACTGATTTTATGACACACACACAAATATATCACAAATAAAACACTTATTATACATAAATGAAAGACCTTTTCTATATCAAACATTTGCGATAATTCATACAGTAAAACAAATTCATGTATTTGTGTTAGTCATTATGCACTTCATAAGTCTAAATTTGAGTCATTGTATCCCAATAGCGTAGATCGATGCTCATGTTGTCAATGACTGGTTTGTCTGGTCCAGATTCGATTATTTACAGACCTCGGTCACATAGCTGGAACATTGCTGAGTGCGGTGTTAATCAACAAACGAACGCATAATTTATCCTGTACTTCAATTAGTCCAGGAAGGTGAAGCCCCGATATATCAGTTAGGGCATTTAGATGGTCTTCAGCCAAATATACAGAAAAGAGACATATACAAAATCCTCAATTTATGATACTTATTTGTGTACATTGTGAGGCACGTTATACTTACTTACCCTCAACCCTGTAACCGAGAGTACACAGTTAGGTCTACTTTCGTTATCACGGCTTTTCCGTGAGGTGTATTTATAGACAGTTCGTAGTCGTGGTCGGGGTAAAGTGTAACTTCCATGTGTCACAAAGTGTCTACCAACGAAGTAATTTGTTACATGAAATACAGCATATACATGTCGTTATAGCTATAAATCATATACACATACATATTTCATCATTTAATTACCCGTGAAGATTCCGGGGTAGAATAGGTCTTCAGCAACCCATGCTTGCCGTAATAGGCGACTATGCTTGTCGTAAAAGGCGACTAACGGGATCGGGTGGTCAGGGTCGCTGACTTGGTTGATGCATGTCATTGATCCCAATTGCGTGGATCGATGCTCATGATATTAATCACTGGATTCTCTGGTCCAGACTCGATTATTTACAGACCGCCGTCATATAGCTGGAATATTGCTGAGTGCAGCGTTAAACAACAAACCAACCAACCCTCATTGAATTTATTTGGTTGTGTGTAACACATTTTAGTGTTTTTCATCAACTATTTGTATGCTTACATGGCGTGCATTTAAGGAGAACATGTTCATATGATAATGACTGCTTACTCTAGGGATGTAAAATGGGTTAACGGGGCTCAACAACCTGGTCATTTGACTCTACGGTATGTGTTCACCATTAAATACTGCAAGCAATAAAACGCGGCGCGTGACACTGCACATACCATTTCAAATAATACAAGAAAAAAGGCAGCTTAAAAGACATTACTTCAGCAGTGAACACGTCCATCCCATATACCACTGAAATCCCTTGTACTGAAAGTGGTGATCCTATGCAGAATCCGTTGTAGATAAGAAGGTTACATGTCTATCGCACTGCTCTATATGACGAGGGAGAATATCAACACCATGACGGGAAGTAACACACAACGCATATCCACGGTGGCGCTATAAATAGGCTCATTGGAAAAGCCGAAGCGGGGCGGCCTGAAGCTAAAGCCAAACAACGGGTGTACGACTAAACGACTGAAGTTTAACTATTGAAGGTAATATCATAAACATATCACCATCTCTACATTGTATGCTCGTCTTAATTATAACAGTTGTATGCTCGTGCTTTTCGAAACCAAACCTCAAATCGCATTTGTCATTGTGGTGTTACTTTCAGTTATGGTAGTCTCGTTACTTTGTGTCTTTAGTCACAAAATACTTGAGTTTTGCATAGTCTGTGAAATAAAAAATATCGTACTAATTCAGTAAAGATTTTAGAGCACGTGTCACCTTTAGTTTTATTGAAATAAACACTGAATGTGTATTGATTTTTCCCTTCTTGCTTTACCAATGAAAGGGAAATAACTCTTGGGAACATACTGAGTTGAGGAAGTTATTAACGTACATTGCACTGTTGCAGTGACAGCGCCGTGAGAGTTATATAACACATAAAACACAAAATAGGATAAACGAAACGTATATTGCCGTTACCTTCACCATATGCATATACAAAAGTCGATCATGATTTATTTTTTTCTAAAATGTTTATAAAAGTGTTTTTTTCAGTAAAGGAAATCGGTTAGCAATAATAGCGACTCACACAAAGGTCGTGATATATTTTGCAGGCAATGGCAGACATTCACTTACGGAAGTACACAGCGGGAAAAGTTGTTCATTCCCATGACAATCGACAAGTTGTTGATATCATTTTCAATGAAGATTTAGTCAAACGAATTGAAAGTGGTGAAAAACCAGAAGGTAAATATACAGATCAGCGTTCATATAAGTATACCTTCAGCTTTAAGATAATGCTTAATGAAGTTGGACCAAGTAAGAATGAATGTATTTGTAAGTGTTCCTTTGATAACATTTTGATGCTGCACGAAAATAGACCGTGTGTAAGAATATGACCCTTCCAAAATAATCACATAAACAAACTATTCCATGCAGGGGTCCCAACAGATCATAGGTATCTATCAGAAAGGTTTTGGAACGATATAGAGAAATTACTTGTGAAAAATGCATCTGACAACATCTATTTCAGAAAAGGAAACCCTTTTGTGGGTTAACTGGGATACTGACGCCCATGCCAAAACTGTCTTCTCCGGTATTACTCTCTCAACAAAGGATTCTGATGATGGCGCTGACACTATAGTCAGATTCACACACATCTTGAAATCTTCGAATGGAACCATGTCCCATTTTGTTACGAATATGTTGAAGACGTTTCAGGCAAGAGTGGTGTCAGTGACTCTGCGTCCCGTAACTTTCGTCATGAGACATCCGAGGCGTGAAGACTTTAAGTCTATGTTAAATAATGGCCCCAAATTGAGGCGTGTATTCAGGGAACTTATGTCGGAACTACATGCCCCAGGAAAAGTGGATATCAAGATAAAACTACTGACGCATTCGCCAGATCCACCTACGCACGAGGAATGTGATTCACACAAATCATCGTTACAGAGATTGAGGTTTGTCAGTGCATTATTCCTGTAAAGTTCAGTGAATGAGTGAGTTTGTTTGGTTTAACGCTGCTTTGAATAGTATTTTAGTTTTATCACGGCGTGGCAGCTTGATGTTGAAGGAAAGCCCAAATTGATGCGGGTCTGAGACGTTTACCACTTTGGTGAAACCCACGAGCTCCCGTTTTGAGCTGAGAACCCTAGAAATATTATCAAGAGAATCTGGGATTCAAACCCAAGATCATATGTTTTGTGCCACTTCTACGGGACGCAACGCTGCCCAGCAAATTGTTTCGCCGGTTCTGCAGCCCCACCCTCCCACCCTTCCCTACTCGTAAATTTCAGTATTGTAATGTGTACTTACTTGTAGAAGCGAATGCTATCAAGTCTACAAACTTGTAATTTGTTCTGAATATTATTTTATAGTTCAACCGAGACAGTAACTCATGAAATAGCGGATCCTGGCAATGATATAATTGAGGACAGATTCAGCCTCATTGATGAAGAAGTTGCAAAGCAAAAACAGTGTTTGGAAGATAATATGCAAAAACACAAGCAGCAAAGTGAAGTTTGCCTGGAAATCCTCTCCAGAATTAAACATCATCTTGAATCGCAGGAAAAGGAAGGGCTACTTGTGTCTATTGACGACGACCGATGTGAACCACATAGGGCCACTGAATCGTTTGCTGGTCACCTAAACCAGTCTACAATTCCTACATCAGCAAAGGGTATAGAGTTAGACAAAGTGAAATCCCAAACACTATCTGAATCAGGTAAACCTGTATCAGATACCCCCGGGTCGAAAGTTACAGGTATTGACCAACCACAGAATCCGACTGAAGGCAATGACATTGAGGTAGATGCAATTGAGGAAGAGAGTCCGATACCTATTGAACATAGAACGGTGTCTGCAGGTTCTGATATGACAAACAAGGATAAGGAGAAGCAAATTAATAAAAAGACAGAGCATGCCACAATTGGTGTGGAGAAGGACAATATAAGCGAAGGCAAGGAAACCGAAAACACTACTCCCGGAACAGCTGAGGTGCCAGAAAGTCGGCCTGTGGGAACGCATAAGACAACAGCTCTGATTGGAAATATATCGAAAACTTACAGTCCTCTAAATACTGCTTACGGACATACCACATCAGATGATGGTGTCTTCAAGAAGCCCAATACTCCAACAACAAACACATCAAATCAACAGACGAAACAGAGTTCACAGATTAACAAACCATATGTCACACAACAGACTTTCCCGAAGAAAGGGGCGAGCTCGAACTCTAAAGACTATTATTCTACCTCTTCCATCTATCCTCCAGAGAGTGGCAATGCATATGGTAGCAATGCAGGTACAGGTTATTACAGCCAAATCAGTGACGCCAGTGCACCTCAAATGTATTATGTCTGCAGATACCAAACGGAGTACAGTCCGAATGACGGGTATTACGTTACCACCAGAGAGACTGATTACACTTTATACAGAGGGGCGGGGGAGGAGAAATGGACAAAATTGGTCCGATATAGAAAAGATACCCAAGAGCCAAGTATCATGGACGATCTGCCCTATAATTTAGTGCCTGTATCTGCCCCAAGATACAGTTATGCTCTGCCTGGTTCTTCTGAAAGTTATAGCGACATTGAAAAGCTTTTGGTCAGGTGAGGTTCCTTTTTTTTAATCCTTATTGCGTTACTGTTCTGTAATGTGCCAAACATTAACGAACATACTAATCAAACCACACCATAGCTGCTAGAAGGGAAAATGTAAAACATAACCACCCCTTCAGGTGTAGTAGTGGCAATGGCAATGGTGAGACTGGTTAACATGTTGACTGTCATGTGCATGTATACTCATGTTTTACCACGTGCATCTCTGTGTTTCTGTAGGATGGACATGGCAGTTTCCAAGGATGAAACCCCAAAGGGGGAAACAGAAAAGAGTCCAATCTGCACACTGAACTATCTGAGAGAAGTTCTGGGTGATGGGGACTCTGTCTGGGAAAGTGCTGAAAAGGTCCTCAAAGAAGGTTTGCATCTATGTCAGCACCTTACTCTAAGTGTTTACAAGTCATTTGAACCATTTAACTGTCGACGTTAAGACGAGAAGCTTATCGACGATAATCGGAGTAAAGATTCAAAATACAAGTATTTTTTCTCATGTTCGTTGCTAAAATATTCGTCATGAAAACAAGGTGTTGTTCGATATTGCAGAAACGTGCCCTGTACCGAGAGTACGATGCGCCATGGATACACTTCTTTGTTTGGATTACTCCAGCACGACGTCACGGGGATCGTTCCATCAGTTGAAAACAACGGCTCTCAGCTTCATCAGTGGTTGGTTCCGTGAATGTTCTAAGCATGTAGTCAGTTGTGATAGAACGTCACCAAGATATATGGAGGCGTTGGGTTAGATTGATGGATTAAGCGTTCGCTCGTTACGCCGAACGCTCGGGTTCAATTCCCCATATGATTACAGTGTGAAGCATGCCAGTTACATTTCTGGTGTTTCTCGCCATGATATTGCTGAGGTATTGCTTAAAGAGGCCTAAAATCATACTCACTCACTTACTAAGAATTGTAATTGGTGGCTAGATCTCTGTGTTTAAGGTAGGTAGTAGCTAATTACACATTGTTCTAGAGACAGTGAGCGAGTGAGTATGGTTTTACGCCGCTTTAAGCAATGTGTCAGCAATATCACGGTAGAGGACACCAGAAATGGGCTTCACACATTGTACCCGTGTTGGGAATCGAACCAAAATCTTTGGCGTGACGAGCGGACACTTTAACCACCAGGCTACCCCACCGACCATGTTCGAGAGAAAACTGTATTGTTATGATATTGCTGTTTTTAAAGGAAAGATATCATATTATGTAATTGCCGAATTATATTTATTTAGGTATTGAAGACATAGCAGAGGAACTTGGTCTGGAGGAAAATATAGCAATAGTTACCCTCGGATCCAGAGCTGAAGTTGTCCATCACTTGTCGAATGACTATGAGAGTCTGAGAGACGCAATAGGTAAATTCCTATCCAAAAGCCAGGAACACCTAAAGTCGTTCACATTTTAATATGGACAATTTAAATGACAAAGTTGTATTTGAACCATGAAGAATGCAAATTGATGAAGTCTTATATTCAGTGAATATGATACTTTACTGAAATGATATAACTGAAATACTGTTCAAAACGGGGTGAAACCCGACGCACTCATTCGCTCACTCGCATTTTTTTTCAGGAGGCTATTCCAGGGCCATTCGTTATTAGCAGAGCTGTGTACCTTAGGCTGACCAGGGTCCGAGATTCGCTCCGATTATGTTCAATACCCGTTTATTTTGAAGTGAATAACGTCGACGCCCAGCGCCAATAGGCATTTCATCACACATTAAGATGCAACGCCTTGATATAACGGACATACTACTCAATTCAAACCTATATTAATCACCACTCACTTTTCATTATTTATTTTGTAAGTTATGGTTCTTTTAATTTTTTGTAGGACAGATGAAGTGTGGTGTACTTGCTTCAAGAACCTACCTGGAAGGCATTCTCGTTTGTCTAGCAGCACTTACTAAAGGTAATATTTTCGGATGCTCGCATAAATATAATACATCGTAGTTTATATTAGCGTATCATTCATACACGAGACTGATGTTACTGTTTGACGTCGCCTGAAGCGCCATGCTATCCCATGCAAAGAACTAAACATAGGGTTTTCACACCTTTTACAGTCACTTTTTGTGAGTGGCAGGTGTTGCTGGTAGAGCAAGGCATGCTTACCTTTTTTTTAATTTCACGAACACCTGGTTATCCATTGATATAATTTTTATCCCCATTTTGACTTTTACGCCTTATGGAATCTGTTTCGGCCAATATTCCCTGTCGTTGAGGTTTTGAATTTACTATCAAGAATATTATTTGATTAAATATCATTTCAATTCCATTATTCCTGTCGAATATCTGTTAATGTTTAAAACAGGGTCAACACTATTCTGAGTAGAACACGAGTACATCTTTATGCTTTCTGCCACAGGTGGAGTGTGCAACTTCGGGGGAGTTCTCCGAGTACCCCCACGACTCATTGTCGTAACAGATGGACTTACGCCAGAAAAGATAAACCAGTGTAGAAGCTCACACGTAAGTATATATACCAAGGATTAAACTCTGATATTTGTTTGTGTTTGGATTATGTATACTAATACACTTGTACTTGTTTAAAACTTATTGATGAAACAAAAGATAAGCAGAGTCCGTTGACATACACAGTGTTGTGTATGAGTGATCTTCTACAAGTAGTGTTCAGGCAAATAGTACATAAAACATATAACGTGATGAAGTGGTTTATTTTTAGGTTGGATAATCTAGATGACACGAATTGTTTCCCAAATAAAATGCTATTTTAAACAACCCAACTTTTTTTCAGGACAAAAGACGAATTACGCAGGCACTCCAAGAAATGGGAACCGAATTTGTGAGGAGCAATGTGGTGAATCCCATCCTGATCGTACCTCACGGAAACCCCAACGTGGTGGTAACGGTACGTAATTACTTTAAAGTCAATGTTTTCTCAAAAAGTGATATAATATTGCGTTCATCCTTGATAGTGATTCGTGAACACATGCTGATGATATAGTCGGAATCGTACAACCGCTCTGCTTTTCGCAGATACTTCTTACGTGTGTTTGTTTGTTTGATTGTTTGCCTGTCTGTTGTTTAACGCCACATTCAGCAATATTCCAACTATATGACGGATGTCTGTAAATAATCGAATCTGGACTAGACAATCCAGTGATTGACATCATGAGCATCGATCTTCGCAATCGGGATACGATGACAGGCATCCACCAAGTCATCAAGCCTGACCATCCGATCCAGTTAGTCGCCTAAAGACCAATTCCAACCCGGATCTTCACGGTAGATTTCTTATGATTAAGGAATAGGTTTGTCGCTTTTATGTATCATTCTAGCCATCCTGGATCATCGTGTTTATGTGTCCAACTATTTTATTGTACGTTGCAGGATTACCTAAAGTCTATGGTGAAGCTCTGCAAAGGAGAGATTGTGCATGACATAAAAAGCGCATGCAATCATCAAAGAATTCAGGTACACCTTTTCTCTCTATGAACTACAAAACAAAAATAAATCATAAATCACACTCATTGTTTTCAAGACACATGCGCCACGTTAATGTTGCGATCAACCGTATGTTCAGTAAGCTGTGAGGTTAGGGAAGTGGGAACATAGATTAATGATATATTTTGTTGTAGAAATTGTGCGCCCAAATTATCCGTTATGTGAGAAGTCAATGCGGACTGAAGACGGGCACGGCGGCAAATATAGACATCATCATTGACTCCCTGTCTGCAGACTTCACGACGACGGAAAAGGTGAACCATATCCTAATGATTCCTGTCTTATCTAAATCCCCATAATGCTAAAAGACGTACGTGCAAACAGACACGCTATATGTATTGACTGACGAATCTGATTCCATCTGCAGCTAGAAGTTTCAAGATATGTAAAGATTATGAATAGAGTGTACGTTTGTGCCTTGTAGAACAAAATAGCATCTATCGTAAGAGACAAGCTGGATTTGGAGGAAAAGGATGCAGGAGACGCAACCCTGTTCGACAACATACACGAGAACACAGGCTGCCACGGTCTTCCACCGCTAGGCACAAGAGTAGCCAGGGGACCTGACTGGAAGTGGGCAAACGAAGACACAGACTGTGCCGGAACTGTCATTAATCATGGACCTGAATACGGTTTGTAGGTTTCAAAAGTCAGTGACATGCAAAGTGTATTGATCTATTAGTCAGAAATGCTATTCATAATTATAAAACGACAACATCAGAGAACAGCCAGTCTCGATTAACCGCCGAAACAGATTTCATTAAGGTAAAAGAAAAACAGCAGTTAAAATTATTTGAATGGATCACGGAAAATCAGTGTTGACGTCAGATGCGTAAGCATTGTTAGGTATCTGTTAGGAATACACGTACTTTGTTGCTTACAAGACCTTTATTACTTTTTACCAGGAATGTTGTGGGTGTTATGGGACAACACACTGAGTAACACCTACAGGTACGGTTACTACGGCAGCTACGATGTGTGGCCAGTGGAGGACCAACCCAGATTGCTGGATGAAGATGGGGTCATTGACATCGGCGTTCAGGTTGAAAGAGGTGATATACTATAATCATTTGGTCAGTTTCAAATCTCATTTGTTTTTGTTTGTTTGTTGTTTAACGCCGCACTCACTAACATTCAAGCTAGATGAGGGCGGTCTGTAAATAATAGAGCCTGAACCAGACAATCCAGTGATTGACTTCTTGAGCATCGATCTACGTAATTGGGATACGATGACATGCATCAACCAAAACAGCGAGCCTGAACACCCGATCGCCTCTTACGACAAGCATAGTTGCCTTTTACGGCAAGCATGGGTTACTTAAGACCTATTCTAACCCGAATCTTCACGGGTCTCTCATGTGTGAGTGAGTATTGTTTTACGCCGCTTTTAGCAATATTCCAGCAATATCACGGCACGGGACACCAGAAATGGGCTTCACACACTGTACCCATGTCAGGAATCGAACCCGGGCCTTCGGCGTGACGAGCGAATGCTTTAACCACTAGGCTACCCGACCGCCCCTCTCATGTGTGAACTACATAAGCAGTTAGACATGAACAAACATGATAGTTGACCCAGTTTATCATGTATTTATTTTCAGGTCCTGATTGGCAAGAAAGCTACTCCGGTCAGGATGGTGGGCCAAGGCAGTATGGAACTGTCATTAGAAAGAGAGGTGGTCGCGTTTTGGTACGTGTGTGTTTGTGTTAGTGGTGGTGTTGGTGTTGTTGTTTTTGTTGTTGTTGTTGTTGTTGTGTGTGTGTGTGTGTGTGCGTGCGTGCGTGCGCGCGCGCGCATGTGTGTGTGTGTGTGTGTGTGTGTGTTTGTGTGTGTGTGTGTGTGTTTGTGCTTTTAGTGGTATGTTGAAACAGCTTAACAACTATTCGACTTTATTGTAAATGTGGAAGTCCTGAAAGAGATCTCCAGAAAAGCCATAAAACATTATACTATTGCGTAAATGATAAGTTGCTGTGGAGCAACACCAACACACTGTAATGGGCATTGTCTAGAGGAAGCACGATCCTATGGAAGGGTTTCAGTGCCACAGTAAAAAAAGGTATCATCTACGTAGATGAAAGTATAATCAACATAGCTGATAGTATTATCTACGTAGATGATTAATAAAAATTAGACTTTGGCACTAATACGCTTCCATACCCATTCATATTTACGTTTACCTCTTGAACCTAATTCATGAGAAATCATGAGAATCAACATATTTGAGTGATTTCTCCGGCTTTAACAATGTTATGGTTGATACATAATTTCGCTGAAATATTGTATAATGGCCTATAGTTTGTTTGTAGTTTGGAGAACATGTTGGGCTCTCCTCTCTTTATTAAGGTTGCAAGAGAGTGTAGCGTGTGTCATTCCCCAGTAACTTCGACACATTGAAATAAAGATTTACTTTATGCACTGCGGATAGTAACCCAATAAAGACATGTCAAGGTCAAACAAATTGGTCATTATTACTTAATCCAGACATTATATAAAACTGACCCGGAACTAGTGTCGATTACTCGATAAAATATTGTCACCTGAGTCGATAATTTGATAGCAGATGATACTTTCGTCCGCGTAGATTATTATGTTATGTACGTAGATGAAAGTATCTTCTACGTAGATGAAAGCATCATCTGGGTAGGCTGTAGTATCATCTTCGTAGATGTCAGTATCCTCTACGTAGATGATTTTGTTTTAGACTGTGGCACTACGCTTCAATACGATCCGTTTTGTATTTCATTTATTTTCATTCCCCTTTGATAGTGGTGCTGTTCATGTTCAAGGTAAAAAAAGAATTGTAATTTAATTACCCGAATTGTGAAAACCCTGGAAAATCCCCCACCATAAAACGTAAGAAATTACGGTTGTTTTCCTACATTAAACTTCTGAATCTCTCCCCAAGAATGCATCATTTCATTTCGATGTTTTATACACCGTAAATACCTAAAAGCTGATATTGAAACTACCGTTGGGTAATATCTTTTGTTAAACATATTTTTATATTCACAGGTAATTTGGATGAACGGAGAGATACATGAATATAGATTTGGTGAATATGGGAAGTATGATTTAACAGCTAGGTGAGTGTTTGTTAACAGTTTAATACAACATATTGTAAACTCTTTTGTCAACAACGATATTGGCTACGATTATAACCTTATACATGCATTACTTTATTGTGTTTAGAGACCCTCTTGAGTTGATGCTGGATTCGAAGCAAAAAACAACAGATGGTGAGAAGTCGACAGTGAAGCTCGATAAGCAGTCATGTAGGTACAGTTAAACATTACGTCCGGCATACGTTAAGTGTACAGATCGTGAGTGATCATCGTGTGTGCTGAATCATCGACTCATGTCACTACACTCTTAGATACACAACTAATCTCGATATGAACAATAAATTGATATGACACACAAATGAGAATTATGGAGGCGAAGATGGGATTCGAACCTGCGATCAGTTGATCCCGTGTCCGCAAAATGCGTCTCTTATGGCTACTAGGCATAACGTTATGAAGTGTAATGAAATCATTGATGTAGATAATCACCATGCCAATGTCTCCCGCTGCTATTGTGACCCCTGCACATTAATAGCTTGACTAAGAACAATGTATGTGTCTATCACAGTATCCTTGACATTTTTCAGACGAAAGAGACAAACATGTATCCGGTAAAGGATCTTCCTACACATGGCAGTGGTTGGATCCTCAAGGTGTTTGGCAGGTCTATTCACAAGCAAACTGTGACAAACTGTCACAGACATATTCCAAGCGTCCAGATGGGTCATGCTTGGTGCAAAAGAATGGAAAGAGGTAAACTAGAGACTTACAACAGAGATATGGTTGATAGTAAAAAGACAAAATATTAATCAGAATATAGGATTCTTTTGATCTGACAAAGAAATTAGTAATAACTACAAATTTATTTAATTGACATCATACTGTAATATACCCACTATCTTCTGACGTACATCTTTGGGATGGATGACTGATAGGCCAGTGATGTGATATTTACCTGTTCACAAAATGCGCTGATGTCTACATTGTGTCTTGTTCTACGGATAAGTAAGATAGACTATGCATTTAATCATGGGAAATGATACTTCAATGTCACTTCATATTTTCCACTTACCTCTCTAAAATATGATACAAGTCACTGTTTTTTTTATAGCTTCAGAGTTTCGTTCAAAAATCAAACGGAGAAATCTATTGAAGATCAGAAAATCACACAAGTAAGGATGACATGGTGAGTATAATGAATATTCGATAATATATTATATTCGTAGTTCGAATACATCATTCAGTCCCGCTATAATTACTTGTTATTACGGCATTCAAACGTGCCATTAGAGATTAAAATGAATACAGTATTCTATCTTTATCAAACATAATTGATTTCCTAATCCTTAAATATACAGATATAAAGCTTCATATATATGTTTGCGACCTTAATTACATTACAAATTGATTTCGGTAACAAATGTGTGTTACGGTGTGACGAGCCTTTATTTCAAAATCAGGTATGTGTCCTTTCAGATGCATTGGAAGTCACTGCAACCAGTCCTTCAGGAAATCGAAGCTTACATGGGATAGTATTTACTGTTAGTGTCATTGCACAGGATCAGCGAAGGCACACGGATTACTGAGTGTGAGGCTATGCAGTAGGAACAGACATTAATTATGGCTATGCAGTAGGAACAGACATTAATTATGGAAAACCATTTATTATGAGACATTTGTCAGTTTCTGCTGGCACAATAATTATATAACAAGGCATAATATATGTGTGTGTGTGCGTGGCGTGCGTGTATGTGTCTGTATGTGTGCGTGTGTGAATGCGTGTATATCTATCTATCTATGTATCTATTTATCTATCTATCTATCTATCTACCTACCTATCTATCTATCTATCTATGTGTGTGTGCGTGCGTACTTGCGTGTGTGTGTGATATACATGAACATCATATTTGGTCAAATGTCTGCTGTAGCTTTATCTGATATATTCGCCATCCTGTCAACTATACTTCCCCATGGTGTACATACTATCGCCATCCTGTCAACTATACTTCCCCATGGTGTACATACTATCGTCATCCTACACACGGCTGCCTCCGTGGTTTGGTGGATGAAGCGTCTGCCCCGAGAGCGGAAGGTCATGTCACAAGACGAGTCAGTAGACTCAGACAGTGTCTGAGAGGGGGGTGTTGAACTACGGCATGGCATCTCTGTTGGCTAGCACCATACAACTGGCATAGGTTGCGCCTAGAACACAGAGCTACACACACATGTGTGCATGCACCTCGCGATATGACTTAAATAAAACTTGTAAACTATTGTATAAATAAAGTTCATTTCAGTGCCGTTGAGGTCCTGTCATATTAATTGCTATTGCGTGTTTCGTTTATGACGTTTGTACTTCTACCATAGTTGATGCTATTTCGCCCCATTATAAAATTTCACGTTGAATTAGTGATTTTGTATACACATGATGAATGCGAGAGAATAAAGTTGATATTTTTCTCGTTTATTTTGAGTATTACTTCCTTCTGGATTGGTGACTGTTTTTGACAAAAAATACATTATTTTAATAGATATTATTCCAAGTTGCAACCATAATGTTACACAACATAAATATTTACGAATCAACCAGATCGAGTTGTGAAACACCATATTGAATTCAAACAACAGCCTCGTACCATGGTTAGCTGTTTGATAGCTGACACGTGTGCAGTGACACGTATGCACCTAAACACGCCATTACCTCATGTCTATATCCCCAACTGTCCTCACACAAATGATTGACGGTAGAGTAGCTGCCAGGGTCAGATAACACACTTGAAGTGTGGGATATGTCACTAATGTACCGCTTGGATTAGACATTGTCACTATTGTTCCCCGAGCTGTTTAATTAACTGTGACAGGGCATGCTTACCCTTTTAGCGAACACCTGGTGTCATCACTGATTTGATGGTCCATTCATATAACCTTCACATAACCTTTCTTGCACAAATGGAATCTGTTTCGGTTGATAGTCTAGATTGGTTATTTATTCACTTTTATTGACAATATTTATTTGATATGGCGGGTCGCCTTTGCTTGCTAATACAGCTGTATAGATACCGCTACCGCCTCACTACATACATAGGAGTGAAATAACACTAGTTCAGCTATGTCACTTCGAATGTAGGACGCTACCCCGACGGTATAAAGCATCCGGGACAAGCTGAATCGCGACTCGTGCCCTTATCGTGGCCATTGTTCCGTCTAAGCGCAAACTGGCATAGCTAAAACAATTGTCAACTCGTTGCATAATTATTCACGTATATTTCCCATATATCATATATATTCCAGATGCTATTTAAATCACATCGGGACTTAAGGTATTATACAGTATGACTGAACACATTTAACTACATCTTGGGTATATTTTTAGATGCAAGACATATATAAAATAAGAAATTATTCCCGAGGGATTCTGTGACAGAAGTATTTGAAGTCATACGCGCATTTTGACTGGTTTGTCGTATTTTCGCACATAACATTCACTGATAGGGGGATGAGTCTTCTTGCAGGAAAGGGGCGAGGGGTGACGAACGGGAATGAAGGGTAAAAGTCTTTTCCACATTACCCAAGAGCACAGGTATAATGCTAGCCATACCATGATCTATCAAGGGCAATTGTAGGATTCGAACCAACGGTTTCCGGGTTTTGTAACGCTTAAGCGACGCAACGTTTAACAACTGTGTCCTGCTTATCCCACTTCCCCTGACCCCTTACACAATATAATCCCGAAGTGTGTATAGCGATAACAGTCAATACTCTGGTGCATTGTTATAAGGAAAGACATTGTACATGCTAGTATCACATGCTAGAACGTATGCATTTCAACTCCAAAAGAATACACCACGTATAAGTCAAGATAACCTTTGATTCAAAGTATTAAAAATATTTTGTAAATGGTCATAATATGTTCAATGTAAAAGGCATGCTTGTATATGCTACATTGTTGCCAACAGCGATAGTAATCGGTCAGCCAATTCGAGAACCATGTATGTAAACACAATGTCAGACCCTTAGTGTTACTAGAGCAGAGCCGAACCGGCAATTCCCGAGGAAAAGCTATTTCGTGTCCTGCTTCGTCATGTGATTATGCTCCAGGTCACCACGACATTATGTCCCTGCACGACACACTGATGATCCCTGGGAAGTCGAGGATAATAATAGCAGGATCCGTGTTATCGCTGACCTGGGTTGTTGTATGCCACTTCATGTCTAAAATTAGCACCTGTCGGAAAATACGTCCAAAACAGAAACTACAGTGACCCTCGAACATGTCCGTGTGAGTACTAGTACTGTGCTTGGTTTGATTGAGTTGTATCATGTCAAATTACCCATGTTAGAAACATAGAATCATAATAATGTTAAGAATTAATCGCAGTAGGTACCTGTAATTGTTCACTGTTAACTTATGTCCGTGATAGCTTCACCACGTATGTTCATGTAATTTCTCTCATGAATGTGTAACACATAAAGGGACACAACTCGGGATGTCTTGTGAGTGCAACGCAGAGACCAACTTGTAAATGTATGTTTCGTGAACAACTTACCCTGCTGTGGCAAAACGGCTCTCATGTATTCATTTACGTAAGGACTCGCAAATCAATACAGCCAATGAAGTAGCAATTGATTCATACTTATAAATCCTTAACCTGTATTGTATTTATTTGTCTGTTCGTAGTATTGTTCCGATTTAACGTGCATTATGGTTCTTACAAATGCATCTTATATTATTCTGGTTGTAAAAAAAGAAGGACCCTGACGAGAACTATTAAGTTTTCTTATGTCTATATTATCTGATTTCGGTAGCATATTCTGAATGATCACCTCAGTGCAAGTTGAAGTATGGACGCAAGCAAGAAACCTGACTCGGAGAAGAATGAGCGGGAGAATGAGCGGGAGAATAAGCAGCGACTGCAGGAGATGACGGAGATGGGTCACACCCCTAGTCGTGACACATGGGATCCTGACGGGACTCTGGTATTCAATGAAATAAAAGGATCCAGATCGTTGACCTTAAGTGAAGATTTTCAGACAGTGCAGATTTCTCTCGATGAAAGTGGAATGCAACAACTACGAGATGGAAGAACTACTAATGGTAATACCATGCATTAAATATACACTTTGTTTCTAATTCTTTGCCTGGCAATCTAAGAAGAAATCTAATAAATGAACAGAGTAGTGTACATTCACATTCTAGTTGTTATAAAGTGATGTTGAGACAGTGTAGATACACTACAGTGTACACCCTTTCCATTGAAATCCTACGTTAAGAGATGGATATATTTTCAGATGATCAAACTGTCATCACGCTGGAATGGGATGAACATCCGCAAGAGAATACATTTGCTTATATTGCTGAGATATGTCTTCACGAGGAACGGGGGGATTATTTCATCAACGTTATCCTTGCTATGTGTGAAAATAGATTCACAATACTAAGAAGACTTGCAACGAAATTATTCAAAGAATATCAAATTAAAATAACAGGAGTACAAAGTCAACCGTTTGCTTTAGAACTAGTTCATTATAGTCTAGACGGCTTTGATAATTTAGAATCTCGAGTTGGTGAGCTCGAAAATGTTTTGAAGGGTGTATTTTCGGAATGCACTAAAACGAATATCTCACTTGATCTCACACTGCACAAGCAAGACAATGAGCAGGGTTTCCCAGCGGAAGACATGGAATATACTATGACCATATATGGATCGGAAACTGAGAGTGAAGATTTGCCTGTCATGATTTTGTCAGAGGAAGAGGACATAAAGTAGGTCACAATATGTCTCTTTTGTATTTTACCCAGACTGCATTAATGTCCTGTTCATACTGATGTTGCAAAATGCCTGTTCACTCAAACTCTACATCTCCTTGTACTCCGTTATTGTAAGTAAGTAAGTGTTTTTCGTGATAACAGCAATGTATTAAATAAACGCAAAACGTTGAAGTAATGGCATCGACGTTGCTTTCATTCATGATTTACTTTTGTTCCAACAGGTCGACATTGGGAGGACCTGAGAAACTGGACACTTCATACAACGGTAACATAAATCATTACCTGCACTGTAGTATATAAAAACTAACCACTTAAACGTGTAACTTTCTGACTTGTTAAAACGTGATAGACTTCAGTTGACATTGACAGAAGTATTCTGCTTTCAGACTCTGAGATTGATGTTCGTTTCGGCTCATTGGAGGAAAACATACAGCGTCAAAAGGTCGATGTTAGAAAACGGTTTGACGAGCAGAAGGCCTTTAATGAAGAACTAAAGCAGTCCGTGAAGCAGCTGGCACTGTCTGTTCAGCAGTTAGTTGACAAAAACCACAATGGAATTGGTATTGGTATCTCTGACGAAACTGGAGGATCCTACCAAGAGACGCTGGTTTTTCTACATGACACTAAGGCAGAATATGGTAATGACAATGTCATAGACGTAGGCATTCAGCAGCATGAAGAGGACATGGGATGTGAAGAAGAGCATATGCTTGGTTCATTTGAAGTAACCTCGGGGATGGACAAGCCCAAACTAGATAACACTTTGTTCCCATCCCTGACGTCGGAACTGTCTCATGATGATAACTGCTTTTCTGACGAGGAGGAACCTACACAGAGTCATGCAAACTATTCCTTATCGAGTGAAGTGAAGGACTTGCACCTCGAACGCCAGTCTGTCCTGAAATCAACACTGTCGCCAGGGAAGGTTGCTGAACAAGAAAATCCCCCATCAGTAGTCCAATCTGTTCTCGAGTCATCCATCTCTTCAAGCAGTAAAACTTGCTCAGAATCCCAGTCACTGGATAGTCACTCTGAAAGCCACCATGCGAGGTACGGTACCGTGCACGTATTCAATATAGGTTCAGTGTAGCATCATCTTGAAAGTAATTATCTTTACAAAACAACAACACGGTTACTGCTTCTGAAAATGTTTTCGACTAAGGACAATATATTTTGTCATGTAATTTGATTAATTGGTTCATTTTATGTTCAATGTTCAAGTGTGTTTTATTCTAATGTTGTGAACGTTTTGTCGAGCCAGTTTACCTGTGGAGGTTTTATCACTGCATTCATCAGTACTAGAAGGCTGCACTGGGGGTAAGTGATATCTCTTTTATTCCTGTGACCATTTACACGCTACACGCGTGAATCCCGAGTCAAGCCTTGACTTAACAGATTCCATTTGGAGTAAAAAGGCAAAATAGACAGGAAAATCATATGAATGAAAATAAGTGATGACATCAGGTGTTCCAGTCAATGGCAAACATGACCTGTAACACTCGCCACCCACACACACGCTATCACAACGTCGTTACAATTCTCCCATTGGTAAGTGGTTCTATTTCATTTTCACTAAGATAATTTGTAAATAATATTTTAGAAAGCAATAGACCGATGTTACCATCAGTTTAAATACTTTTAAATTCTAAGGTCGGGCGCGGCATTTCCTCAGTCGCTATGGTGTTCAGGGAGCGTCAGCTGGTGTCCGAAGACTAGTGGCCACTGTGGAATCTGCAATGAAGGACGGTAGGCTGACATCTTTTAGAATACAAAGTACTGCAAAAACACTTACCTGTCTTATTCACAAATTCATTCAACAATGTGACAGTTTATGGATAATGGTATTTCTGTATAACTATAATGTTTGTATGGTTTTCGTACATAGATGTTCCAATGCCTCCAACTGCCAGAGGCCTGAATACCATCCTGTGTCTAGACACCTCGGCCACAATGAAACAGAGCGGATTTAAAAAGATGAAGGAAACTGCATTTAGTTTCATAAACGGTGAGTAATCATTATACGGAATATTCAGTGCACATACTATATTAAAGCATCAAGGTAACTGCCTCAAAACAACGCTTCATCTTAATAGTTTACATAGCTCAATATATTGTCCCTTTTTGTAATAAAACCTTTATTCTCTATTTTTATGTGCAGGAGTGGAAGATGCTGCCGCCGATTATGAGATGGAGGAGAACATTGCTATCGTGTCATGTGGGGGGCCCGCCCGCATTGTCCATCATCTCAGTAATGACTACTCAAGCCTGAGAAGTGTCATAGGTTAGTCAGTATCTATGCAGTTAAAAAGACGATCTATACCGTGTTTGATTCATTCACTTTTTCATATCATTAAAGCATGAAATTATGTTGTGAACATTCAGTGACCTCACAGTTAATACGAACATGGTATTTACGTTTCCAGACAACCTACAATTTGGTGGATGCTCCTGGATGTTTGAAACTCTTCTAGTTTGCCTTTGTGCCATTCTGGGAAGAGGTAGGTACTTTAACTTTTGTTTTAACACCATTAAATCTTTTATAATAAAATGTTACAAATTGACAAGAACATTGCATGTTATATGTACTTTATACAGGTGGTGATCTAGACATCATGGGGGTCAATCGTGTTCAACCGAGAGTAATCGTCATTACGGATGGAAGTACAGCTGATGAACTTGGAAGGACCGAACACGATGAGAATATGGAAAGTGATGTGAGTCTCAGTCCGCATTTTTCTGGATCTGAGTAATTACCTCAAGGAGTACAAATGGTTACTTCATGTTGCCAGTAGTTCCATTTTAGTACGACCAGTGAGACTGATGGCAATATTTTCATGAATGCCTTTCAGGAGTAACATAAACATGTGCATTGTATGTAAACATAATATTCAAGAAGTATTTATGCAGCACAATTCTTGTTGTCATTGTAAAAGGCATTGCTCAGCAGCGATTTCGTATAGGCAAAGAAAGGGTTTTGTTGCTTTTAAATATATCTAGGTAATTTGTTTACTGAATATCGAAACATGATAACAAAACATATGTAAATTTCCACAGGAAGAAGTTCGAGTTATCAGGTTGATCGAAGAATTCGGAAAAAGGAAAAATGAGACAGCATTCCCCAATTCTTTCGTCTGGGTTCCTATTGGCAATGGGAACAGGGTATAGTTACCGTATATTTGTTTTACCTTATACAATGATTATTCAACGAGGGAACATTTAACAAATGTAAACTGAATCAGTGTCGGTTTTCATCCCAAATAGATTCTTTATGAAGTAAAGGTAAAATCGTGATAACAATTATGTAAATGGACACTACATATCACTATGTATCGACAGCATACAAGTAAATGTAATAAAAATAATTTACCTCAATACTTTCCCCTTTGAATAAATTTCAAACACGAAGAACTTGCTAAATAAGTTAATAATTTGTTTCACGAAACAACAGTCATGTTTCCTTTTTATGAGGAAACTATTTAATTTAGGTATTACATGTCAATTACAGGATTTTCTGGAAACCTTAGGACACATGGATAACGGTACGCTGGTAGACCGTGAAGATGTTGGTGAACTTTGCAAGTACCAGCGTATTCAGGTATTTCTTAAAGTACAAGTAGATGTTTTGTTATATAACATTCCAAAAGCCCCCTACAATTAAACTCGTCGTTAAATGGTTGAAAACATACCGATGTTTTGATACATTTTATAAACTGTATAACTTAAAACTTTGTAGCTTAACATTAGTTGCAGGCAATATCCAGTATTGTTTCAATGAAGCAAACTGTTTGTTGAAGTTTATGCGTAGATATATTTATATGTATAACGGGAAGTACTACTCATTAGACAGTTTAATTAAAAAACGATTAATGCCTGATATACTTGCAGAATATTATTGGACAATCCTATATGGTCATCAAGAAAAAGATGATTTCTGAGGACGAAACTGAAGTCGATACCGATGACATCATTGCCATTGTGGACGGAATAGACAATGAGTTGGACACTGATGACAAGGTTTGTTTGACGAACTATTTTAGAAATAAGACATTTTAATTTTAACATGCATGCAACATCTTATGATCGTACATGTACATACATGTTACCTGTGAAGATCCGGGGTTGAACAGGTCTTCAGCAACCCATGCTCGCCCTAAAAGGCGACTATGTCTGTCGTAAGAGGCGACTAACGGGATCGCGTGGTCAGGCTCACTGACTTGGTTGATGCATGTCATTGTATGCCAGTTGCGTAGAACGATGCTCATTATGTCAATCACTGGATTGTCTGGTCGATTATTTACAGACCGACATCATATAACTGAGTGCGGCTTTCAACAACAGACAAGCAAACAAAAGGTACATGAATACATACTCTACTTTTTTTTCAGGGAACTGTCGTTACTGCAATTGAAAAAAAGATCGATGAGAGACTTGAGAGACTAGCCCTTTCTTCAGAGAATCTCACCCAAAATTTTCGAAATGTGGTAGAATTCAAAGATGAGAGCCTACCCCGGCTTGGGTCTAGAGTTGTCCGAGGTCCACAGTGGAAATGGGGTAACCAGGATTCGGGTGGTCCGGGGACAGTCATCAACCACACCGAGGGGGACGACGAGGACAAAAGTGAAGTTTATCTCTGCCATAATGTGTACAATGAAATGAATTCCATTTTAATGTTAACTTAATGACAAAGCATGGTAAAAATATCAATACCAATCGTACCTCATTCGATATTTGAAAGTTGCGATATATCTTTGTTGTAACAGAGCTGGTTTGGGTTGCATGGGACAAAGGCAGTTGTCAGCAATACAGATATGGTTATCAAAACGCAAGGGATCTTACCCTAGTACACGACCAACCAAGGGTAACCGCATCGGGACTGGTGATAGAGATCGGATGTGAGGTTTCAAGAGGTGAAGAAATGTATTTTTTGTTTGATGAAATGGAAACAATACCCATGTACATCCCTATCTTGAACGTTGATATGACATCATTAGTTAAACATTTAACCTGAAAGGAAACGCCATTTTAAAATATTTTAATATAACTTAATAATAAGTTTACACGACGCACGGCTTTGCCACTGGACAAGAGGCCTGTCGCATGACCGCGAAACTGACGTTCGTGGCACATTTTTTGACGTTATACATAAACACATGCTTATAATACAGTTGGAGTAAAAAATATTTAGCAGATATTTAATATTATTATGGAAGTGGTTTTGTAGTTTTTACTTGCCGACACATACGAAATGTGGTTTCACTGTAGCAAAAATTCTGTTCTTGAAATGACATTGACACTGACGGACTACTTTCACATCCCTGGCAATTCTCCAGCACAAATACATACGGTGTAGAGAAGCATTGTTTCTGGTCATTCAGAAACTGTAATCTTGAACTCAGCGTTTTTGCGTGCATTGGAAAAAGTCAGAGTGTTTGACGGCATGTCGTGATCGAGTAGCCTCCTATGACACATCCTTGTGAACAAAACGAAGAAATGGATACTTTGAAAGCTCTTACGTTCGTACAGTTTGGTCCTTACTCTATGAGTAAGTGTGGTTTTACGCCGATTTACATACATACATACATACATACATACATACATACATACATACATACATACATACATATCAGGTCATTACAAGCAATTTTATTGATGACAACTGTGTTTTTCACTGTTGCCGTTGAGTAAAGTAATACGGATGCATGAACCAACATGTATACCAGAAAACTGCTGCCCGGCCGGTATTCTCATGTCCAATGTCTGTTGTCAGGTCCAGACTGGAGGGACAAGTATTCTGACCAGGATGGAGGCAAGGGGGGCTTCGGGGTTGTCATCCGCAAAAACAACCGGGGCAAAGTTAAGGTAACAGTTAAGGCAACAGGAATTGTTGTACATAAATTTACAGAAAGTTTAAATATATGATAGTTGAAATATTTCAATATATATATGTATAGTACTGGTTTTTATGTTTTATTCATTACAGATTAGTAACATGGTATAATTATATATAAAAAAATAATTTATGTAGGTCCGGTGGAATCGAAACGGTCACATCAACGAATACAGATTCGGGAAGAATGACAAGTTGGATCTGGCTCTCAGGTATATTAAGACGTCATATGTTTAGATTGTCAGCTTCTCAAACAAAATTCAGCATCGGTTCATATTTTCAATTTAGGATAAGACTGATATAACGCGCTTATTCCCATGAATGTGTTGACACAATTAACACATATATTGCACACTAATACTACATCTGTTTCCATCCATGAAACCAGAGATCCGGCGGAGTGCTTACTGGAGCTGACGCAGACAGAAATGACTTCCCATGAATCCGATGCTGCCCCCCAACAACATTTGCAAGACGGCGGTAAATGCTTCATTTCCATAACCATTTATGTATATGGATATTTTGCAGACTGATATCTCCATAACACTAGTATTATATTCACGAAGTAAACATCTCCATCCTGTATTTATTGAAGCTTTGTCACAGCCATATTGCTTTGGGGGACATTTCTAATATCAATGACAGACTGTTTCATCTCTTTAACAGCTATTGCAGGGGCACCCAGCGTGGAGCAATCAGATGCGACGCAGTTGGTGTGGCAGTGGGAGGCTGGGGTAGATGAATGGCGACTGTATGGAGATCGAGAGATCATGAAACTGGAGAAGGAATACCAGAGGCGCCCTACAGGATCATGTGTTATACAGAGAGACAACACAAGGTAATGATCAGGATACTGGTAACAAATTCTATTCAGAAGATGTATGTATGTTGTGAAAGAATGTATTGAAATGCAAATCTGAAAACAATTACTACGTTTCGGGACAAAACAATTTGCCAGATATTGCAGGCTATTGGTATAGATGCATGTTCCTAAGATTTATGAGTGTTGTCACAACATGTGTCGAAAAGCAGACCTAAAAACATTTAATCAGGTTCGGAGAAACCTATTTACCAGTTATTAGCAGATAGTATACTGGTACTGTGTTATGGCCGGCAATGAGCTTTTCGTGTCTACAGCGTCAGACGAAATGATATAACAAATAATTTGTCTAGTATTGAATACAGTGTATGTATAATCAATCAGTAATGTCTTTTCTCGATTTATTATAGAAAACAACTAAGCTAATATAATTCATGTTGTTAACAGTAAGGGTTTGCAATGTCAATGCTAATAAATATGGTACAGTTTCAGAGTACTCTTCAAAGACTATCAAGAAAAAAGTATCGATGGCAGCTCGAAGCGAAGAGTGCGAAGAATACGTGAGTGGTTGCACCGTTTCATGAAAGTATCGTTACTAAGCTTCAGTGTCTTGTTAATAAATGATACCTACTAGATTTTCACACTCACATTTAACTCTGAAATTGCCAATTTTATATTTTCGGCAAATTTACATTGAGAGGTTAAATGTTTTATGAGTCGGACACCTACGGACCGCAACAAATGATATATATCAACTTTGGAAAGGTAAAGAAATTTTAGGAGAGTAATCGTAAATAACCTCAGACGATAATTTTTTGGCTTCTTTTGCAGGTGTAAGTAAGACCGACCTGGGAGATGTGTAGATCATACTGCCTCACTCATTGGACTCAAGAATATATTTCAGTGTTTTTATTAAAGTATTAATTCTTATTTAATACTCATTGAACCATGTACATTTTAATATCAATTTATGTATTTGTCATGTCATTAATAATTAAAATGATGAGATTATGACTATATTAAAGCGTGAAGATCATGTAAATATAGGTTATGATAAGCATGAAAACTTTATGAATTCAATCAGATTTGTCTGAAATGACAAAATAGTCATTTAGATATGTCTCTTGAGAACTGCAATTAACAAATCACTAAGACGTTGGTGGTGAATATTGATCCCAAAATCTGTCTAGATAGAATTGTGAATCAACTTATTTGCTGATGTGTGACACAATTAGCTGATCTTTATCGTCGCTGAAGTAGTGTCACTTTGCTAGTACATGAAGGACAACAGACAATGTTATAGATGTGGATCAGGTTGTCGTCCAGTGTCTGGGATGTTGTTGTCATGACACATTGTACAGAACCCACAGTATCCACACTGAAATAGAACCAAAGACGTTTTCTTGTAAAAATATCATTCATCCGTATATGACGCATATGCTCTCACGGTCAGAAAGATGTGCTGTTGTAATTCCCGGGCGATATCTGTTTAGTGGTCATTAGTGGCAATACAATATTATGAAGTCTAATAATTCTCAAAAACATGCAAGGTTTGATATTTAGTTGATCTCCTTACAACATTTGTAATGACATACAAACTTGTGAGCAACAAAATAACTGTTGTCACACACACCTATGACTGTGGGTTGGTATTCCGGTTCGCCTCGATAATGTTTCTAGGTTTGTCAGCACCATACCCGTGTTCCCGGGTTTTTCCAAAGTGGTATACTTCTAAGGCCTGAACCACTTCGGGCTTTCCTACCACCTTAAGCAGACACGTCTAGATATAACTGGAATACTGTTTAAAAAGTCTTTAACTTACTCACTCACTCACTCTTCATTATCTCATTATGGACGTTCTTACATGGCATTTGAGGCAAATTGTGACATTGTTTAATATTTCTTGCTTATTGAGTCATAAATATATACCAACTATAGAACTCTTATAAGATAGTTGTTGTCAGCAGGTATACCATGTAAATATGGAAGTATTTCTTTGGCTGATATGAAAAATGTTTATACAAAATAAATATAGTTTAATTGTTGAAGTGCGTTTTTGTTTTTGTGTGTAGCATAGTAAAACACAGTGTATTCGAGGGAAACAATTACTTAGACAACATACCTGTAAGTAGGTAATCAGGTAATGGTAAGAATGCAAAACTCTACGGCAAGCGAACCTTTCGTCTACTTATAGATCTTGAAACCGCCTCAGGGGTGGACATTATCTAACTTGAATAAAGCAATATGTATTATTCAATACAGTTGTAATGATAGATTACCTAGAAAAGGTTATAATATAACGTTATTATATGAAAAACATGGAACCCCGCAATTTGGTTTATGATGTAAAGTCGTTATTAAATGAATGCGGCTGTGGGTATTTTTGGCATAATCGATGTGTACCTAACAATCCAAATTCGTTTGTAGTATATATACGCCAAAGACTCAAGGATATTTACTTACAAAAATGGTCACCGAATGTTTTAAGTTCAGAAAAATGCAATTATTACAAGCTTTGTAAGACAACTATTTCCCCAGAAAACTATTTGTTTGATATCAATTTTAAAAGGTTTAGAATAAGTTGAATACAGTTTAGATGCAGCTCTTAGAACTTAGGCTCGAAGTAGGCAGACATAGAAACAGAACAGAGCCAGAGAATTGAGAATATGTGAGCAATGTGGTTTAAATATGATTGAAGATGAGTTTCGTTTTCTGTTAGTTTGTCCAAAATACGACCACCTAAGAAGCAAATATATTGATCTGTCTTTTTATGTACATCCCACTCAACACAAAATTATATCGATCATTTCAACAACTGATAAAAATACTCTAAAAAATCTATCAATGTTCATGTATCATGCTACGTTAATTAGAATATGACCTGTTAAACATAACTGTAACCACTCCCGAAAACAGAATTGTACTATGGGCCTGGGGCCATTCCGTATGGAATAAAACTTATCCTTATCCTTAATACAGTTGTAATTTTGATACATGTCTCTCATTGGTGTTCTTGTTATATATATATAGCGTACGAAGTGTAACTATTGATACACGAGGGCACACTGCATTATTAGGCATGCTTTGCAAACAAGTCTTTACATGTATGTAAATAAACGTATGAAACACTGGCTACGTGTAGTACCCTTTGCAATGACAATACGCTTATACGGATGAAAATACAAATCAGGAATTAAATTACCAACACACATCCAGCACACAGACTTACACACGGATGGATATAGATATAGAGTCGAACTGCTCCCGGACATTCAACTAAGGGAAGATAACCGAAAGGGAAGTCTAACTTGCCAATCTGAAATGTCAGGAAGCAAGGTCATGGTTACAATGTCATGTTTATATTTAGATAGTTAGGGGATACGACTGAAAACTGTTCAGGAACATGGCAGACGGAATGCCTACGTGCAGATAAGTACGCCTTCCTCCCTTGTTTCGTAATGCGCTAATGATTTGAGATCATTTGACCAGAAATCGAACATGTATCAAAGTGAAAATAGAAATCGTATGGTTGTGATATTCAGTGACGATTGTTTCGTTGTAGTTTGCGATGGCTGACCTACATATTCGATGCATTTTGAATGGGCGGGTGATTACAGATGACCCCTTACATATTGTTGTGGATGGCTTTTTTAACGAGGGGTATTCTGAGGGAGGCTCTCGTGAAGCAGGTGGGTACATGTAATAGACCTTCCACCCATACAGGTAATATGAAGCTCATACATTGCACATGTTTAAGTAATAAAGTGAAAGTAGAAGTGCATCGGCTGAAACTATATATAAATTTATATTATCATTGTCGGCAGACATACATCAATAATCAACAACATACAAAAGTCATATCTTATCAATAAAAATAGATCAATGTGATTATCACATCAGTTAAGGACACCATTTTTCAAGATATCAACAAAACGTAAATTTCCTCATAGCATTATAAAGTAATGTATTATAGGCATGAAATTACAGCAATTATCAATTCACTAAGACACAAAAAGCAATATATAATAAGACAATTGAAGGGAAACCCAAACAGTAAAACATAGGCATAAGGAAAATCTACGCGTCGGAAAAACATATTAAGAATTAACAAAGTTCATAGTTAATGACCGGTGGAAGAAGCTACAGCCTAGGGAAGAAATACACTTGGCCACTGATATACAAGGCAAAGCTAGTAGGTTAGATAGACAAGAAAGGAATGTTGTATATCAGAGCATGACGATAGTAATAACATCAGAAGGAACATACAAGCGATCAGAAATAGAGTAGGTATAATACGAGATTATTAGATACACATATATGGTATTAGGGGGAGAATAATCCGGATTCCGGGAACTGAGGAGTTCATTTTACAAAAAGATCTAATAAGGATTTTGATATAAAACAAGGGTAGGTTAGAATGATCTAGTGTAGGGGGGAAAGGTGGTTGACCAATGATTAAAAAGACGAGGAAATCCCAGAATCAGTGCGGTTGGAGAATCCCACTTGGACACTGTTCACGCGATCAATTTTCGGAAAGCCATACTAAACCTCCAGCATTTTGATCGAGACTAAACGCTTTGCGGCCGAAGTCTCTTAATATTTAACTTAGTGACAATAGAATTGGTTGACCAATAATACGAGAGTGAATAAAAGCTGTCAAACGAAGATGACTCTTTGTGCTTGTTGGAGTAACTACGGTAATAGGTCCAAGGCCCTCGGGTACTGACATTGTACCTCTCGCTCATCCCTGGCTGTCAGCACCAAGAACGAGGGGATTACCGTAGTTCACGTGAAGAGGTACACGAATTGCTACCTTCTAATTAACTGTCTATTAACATCTTAAAACTACCTTGGACAAATGTGCATATCATACTGTGGACTTTTCGCCAAAACTACTTTGATTTCTTTCAAATCTCCAACCAACCATTGGTTCCATTTGGTGGGGAATCGCCGTTTAAATGATACAAAGCTAGTGGTTTACGTGCCTGCTAATCGAACAATTTGTGTATTTAAAATCGAAACCTACATAAAGAAAAATACAGATCTATTAAGGATATACATGGATAAATTCATTTATCATGTTTTATGATTCTTGAGATTCGTCAGAAAATGGCTGAGATAATTTCGATGTGATGTTTAAACGTTTAATGTTCCTGCAAACCCTACATGTTGATACATATTGTGATGTTCCTTTAACAGGGGCAATACTTGCATGTCTGCACTGGGATGAGTCTGAGGAACTAATGACATCAACAGTTACGTTAAATCCGACTAAAGAGACCAACTCTGTTCTGCTTGAGGAGGGGTTTTGCAAAAAAGTCTTAGGGGAAAGGAATCATGTGTACTCTTTTGTCAGTGAAGTGTATAACATTTTTAAAGCTAGGCTGGTTGCAGTGAGGTCCCAACCTCTGCATTTTATATTCCGCCATCCGGGAAGGACACTTTTTGTCGAGAGATCGGATGAATTTATCACATTGCTTGGAAAGTTTGTATCAAACTGCGTTTCATCGATGCCAGACATCAATGTAACACTGAAATCAGATGAACAGTACACATTGCCCTGTACCACATTTTGTCACAGCTTCAATCCAAGCGAAGAAAGACTGGAAGGCCGAACCATAAGGTACAGTGAGTGAGTGAGTGAGCGTTAGAAAAGTACTTGTATGTTTATCAATTATTTCATAACGATGGCAAATGTTGTAAGTAAGCACTTTTTAAACGTTTAACGGTTAGTCGATACTCTGCGCATCGAATAACGACGCCTGGCCATCATGCCTTTCGGGTCCCTGGAGTGGTACTTCACTGAAGAGAGGCCCGAATCTGTGCTTGTATTTGAAACCGAAATATGCTATGCACACGTCAAAGTATCAAATGTGTCTGTTAACAAGTAATATTCTTATTTTCTTGACAACATATGCACTATTATACCCAAATAATGTTTACCTAAAGATTTTTACACATCAATGAATTTCTTGTGCTGTCTTGACAGTGCTCCAGGTACATCATCACCACAGCAACAGCCATTCGCAGATAGGTTTGCTTTGATTGAGAAAGAAATGTCAATCCAGAAAGAACTCATAAAAAAGCTAGATTTTGTTCAAAAGGAACAAAACAAGAAAGTTACAGCTGCACTAATACGTGTCTTCGACTTGATGGTAGATGACAACATGTTATCCCTGACTCTGGTAGAGGAGGGGACTCCTGAAGGGGGTGAAACCTGTGGAGTCCTAGTGAAAAACAATGTGACAAAACATGACACCGATACTATTCGGAATGCTAGTGTAGGTGAAAACATGCTATCCCTGACTCTGGTAGAGGAGGGGACTCCTGAAGGGGATGAAACATGTGGAGCCCTAGTGAAAAACAATGTGACTAAACATGACATCGCTACTGTTCGGAATGTTATTGCAGGTGACATGAGTCCTACTTCTGGTCATTCAAATGGCTTGAGGAGCAGCATACAAATAGGTACTTTAGTAGAAGACAACGACCATGGAGAGGAATGCACAGGTAATCAGGAGGAATCGTCGAACAGCGACAGATCTAAAGAACTTGATATAACATCAGGTTTTACACAAAGCGACGTCAGGGATACGAATAAGACAACAAAGCAATCAGCAGGCAGGCTTATTGAAAATGCACTGACATATAGAAGATCAGAAAAGGAAGATGCTGATTCGAAAAAGCTACAGAATAGGGATATTGTTTCTGAAGACACTTTTGTCGAGGACAGGCAAAAGGAACCTACAAATGTGGAACCTTGTGCTGATACAAATGCACAAGAGAGAAATCCCAGTACTGAACTGCCTTGCAAGGGGAGGCGAAAAGAGCAGAATGTAAACCAGGGACTGGCATCGATTGGTGTGCACGATCTTACAGATATGGCAGCAACAATGAAACGGGATATGAGGGAGAAGTTGTCTAAACTGGCCAAGGGGTCTGTACATTGACATAATAACTTCAAATATATCTTACAGAATACATTTATATAACTGGAGAGTATCAGATGAGTGTGTACACTATCATAATATGATTTCTATATTTATCTTTCTGCAGTTCATATCATATTCTCCCTGTGCTGAATTTCATTTTTATAATTTTATTCAGGGGAAGCTTCGACATTACCGTGACCAAGGAAGGTTCACTTGTCAGAGATCCTTTTACAGAGAGTATACGAGCAATGACAGAGTATCGGGGTCTCCTTGAAGACATTCCTGGAGCAACTAGGTTTTGGGATGGAATGATGGGTGCATATGAAAAGGCAATGTGTATGTGTATAAGAAAATGCTCTTATTCCAAAGTCTATTTACTACCTCTTCATTCTTCTCTTGGCAGTAATACAAAATATGTCGTAACTAATTATTATATTACTAAGTCAATGTTCAGACGCAAACGAGTCCTTTTGTGACATTAAAGTGCACATGAATGGACTTAATATAAACTCATATGTCATTATTGAACAACGGGATTTGTGAACCGATACTTTGCATGGCTATTTCTTCCAATAGTTTTCCCCCTTGCTTTCGCTCAGGATCTTTCACACATTTACTTTACAGTTCTCTGTTGCCTATATTTCAGCAAATGTTTCGGAAGGCATTCCAAAAGCACTTGCATTAGACACTGTTCTTTGTCTTGATACATCCGGCAGTATCAGCGGGGATGCAATGAAGGAACTTAAGAAAACTGCTCATGAGCTGATCGATGGTATGTACTTTAAATTTTAAGTTGGATTTATATAAAGAAATCTTGTATTTAAAGATTTATAGCAACCTCTCAAACAAACGTATTCGAATATAAGTACATTTAGGTACACATTTGGATTATAACTAATGAAGTTCAATGTCGCCATCTCTTGTTATATAGTATTTGTATTTAAGCAATGTAAATGTCTCGATCATACACAGTTCTTTTGTTTATTTTAAAACAGGAATTGAGGAAATCGCAGAAGAACACTCTATTGAGGAAAATGTGGCTCTCGTTACGTTTGGAGGCACAGCGAGAATTGCCCATCACCTTACAAATGACTATGAATCTTTGCGGGACTGCATAGGTACATGGGCGTTGGGAAGGAAGATATATGATTTGTGTTTTTTGTTTATAATAATAATAAACGAGGAACAACATCATGATCAAATGTAATTCTATACACTAATAAAATAAATACTTACATACTTTGGCCATTGTTTAACCTGTAGCTTATGATTAAGCCCGAAATCAAAACAAGAACACTTATTGAGGTTCTGTTCACTGAGATCTGGAATTGACATGAATGTGTTGTCATGTGTTGTCATGGTTTAGTAGAAATAACTTCCATGTGTTTTTATGTCTGTAATCTCTTATGAATAATTTGACGTGCAAGTACTATTTAAAGGATTGCTATTCGGATTCTCCGAAATAAAGACGTATTTTTGTCTTTATTTATAGAAGGACTGGAACCTCGAGGGACATCTCCTCTTCTCCAAGGCCTCATCGTAGCCCTTGCATGTCTCACAAGGGGTAAGTGACACATGCTAGTCTCCTGGTAGACCTGGTGGCGTTCGCATGTTGTAATAGAGGTAATGTACATGGTAATCTACATGGAGAGTACATATTGTTCCATACTCTTCCGGTAGACCTAGTGGCGTTCACATGTAGTTATAGAGGTAATGTACATGGTAATCTAAAGGAGAGTACACATTGTTCCTTAGTATTCAGGTAGACCTAGTGGCGTTCGCATGTAGTAATAGAGGTAATGTTCACATGTTTCTCTCCAGGTGTACGTGGTAGCATTCGTATGTATTAAAGGAGGTAAGGAACCATATGTACTCTCCAGGTAGACCTATTGGCGTTCGTATGTAGTAATAGAGGTAATGTACACATGTTACTCTCCAGGTGTAAGAATGCTAGGAACAAATGTTCCATCCCGGTGGACCTTAGAGCACTTGCTTGAATGTCTGGATGTAAGGAACAAATATTTCACTCCCGGTGGACCTTAGCGCACTTGCTTGAATGTGTGGATGTTAGGAACAAATGTTCCATCCCGGTGGACCTTAGAGCACCTGCTTGAATGTCTGGATGTAAGGAACAACTATTTCACTCCCGGTGGACCTTAGAGCACTTGCTTAAATGTGTTGATGTTAGGAACAAATGTTCCATCCCGGTGGACCTTAGAGCAGCACCTGCTTGAATGTCTGGATGTAAGGAACAACTATTTCACTCCCGGTGGACCTTAGAGCACTTGCTTGAATGTGTTGATGTTAGGAACAAATGTTTCACTCTGTGGACCTCAAAACACTTGCTTGTATTTCTGGATGTGAGGAACAAATGCTTTACTCCTGTAATATTCACTGATTTAATATCGTGCAGGTATAATATTATTATCCATTCTCGATGTGACACACACGAAACTGTCAAGTGTTTTTTTGTTCCTGTAAAGGTGGAATTTGCAACTTTAGCGGGGTTAAAACGCCTCCAAGAATAATTTTCATCACTGATGGTTTGGTTACGGTAGAATGTGAGGAACACACTCAAGATGCAATTGATCCATGTGGGCAGGTATGCATTACTAAATTGACTAGGTATTTATATAAAACAGCAACGAAACACTTTTTAACTTCAGATGAATAACCTCGTATCCTGGGACTATATATATGTATATTCAACACCGTTGTGTCGAAGTGTTGACATACGTTAACTTCGAGTTATCCGAGGTTCGACATAATCATTAGGTATATCCTAGGGATAAAACATGAAGAGTGCATATAAGATAGAAAATGTTTCTTTGTGATAGGCTAAGCTATGTGTGATATCCACAATCAGTGAACTAGGAAATGATGACTTCAAATCTGCTGTCGCTGGACCGATCGTGTGGATTCCTGTTGGGAATGCAGATATGGTAAGACTTTTACTATGTATGCTTTCCTCCCTTTCGTAAATTGTCAAACCATGGACATCGGTTCTTACTAATGTATGTATTTATTGCATTACCATAATACAAGAAAATTGAAGTTGAGATATATCTGTAGATATCCCACTGAGTTAGAGATAGTTTGCATGCATTTTGGATGAGTAAAATCAATTTTTTTCTGATTAGCGTTCCTGTAGTTGAATATATAGCTTTTGTTTTATAAAGCATTACTAACTTCGAAAAAGAGTCAAGATTCAAATTGTATTAAGTGATATAGTGTATGCCCTTCATATTACAGAGTTTCCTGAAATCTATTTCGTCATTGTGTAAAGGCGAATTGGTAGAAAGGAGAAATATGAAGAGGCTCACTAGATACCAGCGTATCAGGGTAAGACTGAAGCGATGATTTCCTAAAAGAAGAACTGTTAATCCCACTATCTGAAAGGGGTTTGAAGGCATGTGTTGCCGTTTCGGTTTCTAGATACAGAGTAAAATATTAACGATGCATAACCATGTATCGACATGCATGGCCGATGTTCTACTGTAAGTGAAATTCTGATGTTAGGCCCTTTAGATGTGTTCATTCTGTACTGAAATTACGCATGTTTGTTTTACAGAGACTAAGCAGTAGTGTTCTCACTTGTGTGAGAAGTGAAGAAATTGATCCGGCCGATTTCCACAGCAAACTCGATGTCATCATCGATGCCATGGCTAACGATATATCAATAGAAGAAAGGGTAACCGTTTTCAAATTGAAGTGCTCGTAATTCTATAATTATAATGTTCCCGTAAACAAAACAACGTTCTAGGTAGCTATGTTATTTATACACATGTATGTCATTTACAAGGACGAGGTTGAAGCCACTGTAAGGGAACAACTGTGCCGAGTGGAGGTTGACTTAGGTGCTACACACGACTTTAACAACATCGTAGAATACAGTAATCTACCACCTCTTGGAACAAGAGTAGAACGCGGCCCTGACTGGAGGTGGGGAAATCAAGACTCTGACGGACCCGGCACTGTTATCAACCATGGACAATCTGCAGGTTCACATATTACATCGTTATCTCCCTAATTTACGTTTTCGTCCAGTAGTTAGGCATGTTTCCATGAATGAATCCGATTGATTGATTGATTGGTTTGTTGTTTTACGCCGCACTCAGCAATATTCCAGCTTTATGACGGCGGTCTGTAAATAATCGAGTCTGGACCAGACAATCCAGTGATTAATATCATGAGCATCGATTTACACAATTGGGATCGATGACATGCATCAACCAAGTCAGCGAGCCTGACCACCCGATCCCGTTAGTCGCCTTTTACGACAAGCATAGTCGCCTTTTACGGCAAGCATGGGTTGCTGAAGACCTATTCTACCCCGGAATCTTCACGGGTCGAATGAATCCGAACATTTATGCCGAAGTGAACAAGAACAAACACAATGAGTATGAAACAGGTCGGAGAATATGATTTTTTATTGTAGAATGAATGAATGAAATGGTGAACATATTGCATACTTATTATAATTTCCTTACTGTTCAAGGGGATATTTTATTTCAGTTGACATTCAACACCATATTGATTCCCGGTGTTGCAGATTCTCTGTGGGTTAGGTGGGATAATGGACACAGCAATGTGTACAGGTATGGGGAGGAGAATGCCTTTGATGTCCTGATTGCAGACTATCTGCCGCGTGGAGTGGAGGATAATAGAATCAACATTGGTGTCCAAGTAGAAAGAGGTAAGTGGAAGGCATAGGGGTGTCTAGCGAGATCATATTGATGTTCTAACAAATATTCGATCGCCTTCGTGGTCTAGTGGATAGTCTGTCCCCAGAGCGAAAGGTCGGTGGTTCGATCCTCTGAACGCGTCATGCTAAAATACGTTAAAAGACGGTATTTATTGTAACTCTGTAACTCTGCCTGGTGCTAAGCATCACGGAGATAAAATAAGGACTGGTCGACTCGGAGTCAGTAAACTTGGGTACTAGTATCCATGTTAAACTGCGGCATGATATCTCAGTGGGCTAGCACTATATGACCGGCGTCAGTCTGGAATATCACAAATTAGCCACACACATATTATCTCTCTCTCCCTGTCTCTCCCTCTTTCTCCCTGACTCTCTCTCTCTCTCTCTAACACACACACGTCCTATACAAGTGCAATAATCTTGAACGCGACGTTAAACCCCATTTAACCTCACGTCACATAAACAATATTTTGAGTAAAGCAAAATAAGATCTTTATACAAACGCCTTATCACAGAACAGTGAGGTCAATGATCTGTATTCACATTACCATATGTACATGTTTCTGCCTCAATGTGCTTCAGGATCGCACTGGCTGGACGCCTATCAAGATCAAGATGGTGGCCCCGGAAGTATAGGCACTGTCATACGTATACGTGGCCACAAAGTGAAGGTAAAGTCTGCACCAAGCATAAATGATGATATACTTTGATCCGCTTGATGCCAACAAATACACGTCATACATACATGTACATGCATATATTTTTACCTTCCATTACAAATAGTTACACAGCGAACCGTTTTGGTTTTCTATTTGTCTAGGTTCGTTGGGAGAATGGAGAAACGTTTGACTACAGCTATGGGGAAAATAACAGATTTGAGCTGAAACTAAGGTAGGGAAACAATGGACTTGGACATAGGGACAACTATTGTCTCCAGCTCACCTGGACTAATATTCATGCACCAACTATTAGAATATGTGATATGCATAAATGTGCAAAGGAGTATTGGGATAGTTCTTTTTAGCGTTAGCGTTTTAAATCTTTCTTTCAGAGATCCATTCTCTCGCCAACAAGTGCAGGCCCCGGAAACAAACGCTTCCAGGTGCTCTACTGGACACTGTAAGCTGTATTTGCTCACAATGGGTGGACTTTGGGCATATACATTTCCATAGAAGCAGTGCAGTTATTAATGGTCATCTAGCGTTTATATGTGTTACCACTAACAAAACAAAGAGGTGTACATATATCACCACATAGGTGCTAATGATGAGAACACCACGTCTTTAAAGTGTTCGCTCATCGTTCCGATGAGGCGGGTTTTACTCACGATGTCGATACTATTTGGAAAAAATAACAGCCTTCCCGAACTTAAACGATAGATGTTAAACGTGGTTGATCTTATCAACGTGTCATGTGGGCTGTAGTGAGGACGTTTCGTCGTTTAGAATGTGTGTCATGTGTGATGTACCGAGGACCTATCCTCGTTTAGACTGTTTCCTACATGTTGTACTCAGAATATGTGCTGTTTTAAAGCGTTTGCCATGTGTGTTGTAGTTAGGACGTGTACTCGTTGAGAACGTGGCATGTTTGTAATACTGATGGCTGTTGACATGGAGTCGTTTTGACATAACAATATTTCAGCAAGCAGAGACACGGAAGATGACCCGGGTGGGCAATATGTGTGGCAGAGAAGTGATGATGGAACAAAGTGGCACAACTATTCAGAGGAGGAAGACACCAAGCTGAAGAAGGAGTATGAGAAAAGGAAGACTGGTTCATGTCTACTGACAAGAAATGCTGAAAGGTATCAACGGACGTCTACAAACATGATGTCAATTACTCTTGCCAAGGAAAAGACGAAACAAATTAAATTCATAGCGTGCGTTATGAACATCCGGACAATGTATAATTGTATCATTTAAGAATATTATAGATACATACTTTGCTCAAACCTATTAAGAATGAAATTTACACTGATATCACTAAGTAAAATAAAAATATCACGTCCAGTTTTAGTGACTTTTTAGGAATAAGGAATCCATATTTCTTTATGTCAATGTTTTGTATAAGTTTCAGAGTTTCCTTCAAAACTAACACCGAGAGGTCAGTGACGAACAAGACGACAGCACTTATCAGAAAAGGATATGTGGGTAAGCTTCCTGACATCGGAAATCGTTCTGTTATACCCTTTAACGTATATTGTATATATTATATACAGGCAGTAAGACATCAGTTACTTACAGTAACATGAATAAGATTTTCAAATAGTACTTCCTACTGTTTTTCGGAGACACGGGTGACGGTGTCATAAATATTTGTTAGTGATTGAGAAAAAAGGACACGCTTATGACAAGTTTCGGAAAAGTAACATGGACTCAGCTTTTGTCAGTTTCTTTTGCATTCGGAGGAACGGGTTGCCCAGTCGCCTAGGCCCCGCAATTGGCTGTGCAGGGTTGCGTTCCTAGGGCGTGCCAGAAACCTATGATTGTGGGTTCGAATCCCGGTTCGACCCAATTATGTTTCCAGGTTTGTTGCAATTTGGCACCCTTCCCGTGCTCGTGGGTTTCATGAAACTGGTAAACGCCTGAGACCTGCATCACTTTGGGCTTTCCTCACACATAAATCTGTCACGCCGTGATATAACTGAAATGTTGTTCCAAGTGGATCACTCACTCATAATGTTTTTCGTTTCAGACAAATGATTCAGAAAATAGAAGATGCAAGACAATACGTGCATAAGGTGCTCACAATCAAAGAAATACTTTACAAAACATATCTCTTTATAATGTAATGATTCAATGCAAGGAAGCAAAACATCTATTTTGTATTATGAAAAATTAAGGTTAAACGAAATGCGTGGCATGATTGGGATGGGGTTGGGGTTAATGCATTGGCCATTATAATGACCTCTAGTTGTCCATATGGCAGATGTTTCATGACTGCAGTAGCAATTCCACCAGTTTCAAAATAATATTAACGACTAAATGAATCTTATATATCACCTCTTATGACATATGTATGCATCTGTGGCCAAGTGGGTGTTGAAGTGCAAGTGATGTCTGGTCCTGACATGAAACGTTTCTGGTCGACGTTTATGCTAGATATGTCTTCTAATCGCATATATTATGTTTCTCCTTCAAATTGAGTTCATGAAATTGTTTCCTGGACCAGGTATATCACGGGCACTGGGGAATCGTAATTTACATAAAATATTTTTTTTATTTTTTTTATTTCACTGACTGATATTTGACTTGGAAGTGAGAAATGAGAGTTAGGCGGTTAGTAAAACCTCCGTGCATGTGAAAACAAGTACTCTATGGTTCTGGCGAATGGTTCGTGGTCTTGTATCGATTTGGATAAATGGCAGTGGTGACCATGTCAATTCCTGATCGTGAGAACACGTTGTTTAGCCCATAGTTGTTAATTATGTGTTGTCTATATTTCTATCATTTAATTCATAATAATTATGGTAAAGCTACAGTACAAAAAGATTTTGCTCATATCTCTACTGTTATTAAGCAGTCACTAGCAACTTACCCTTTGTTAATGTTTTGCATCTTGTATTATTATTTTGATATTAAGTTATTTTGTATGTTCTGAACCAGAGTAATGTGCAACCAACTATATGGTTGTAGATAACTGTCTATGTCAGTTACAGTTGGTATATAGATTATTATATTAGATGTGATAATGTTCACAGGACCGTTGTACCCACGAGGTCAAACTTTTAATAAAGAACCAACAGATCGGATCATATCGTCATTGACTGGGGTATACATAAACATCATAACATCAACTGTATAATCAAAGAATTTGGTGTAAGGGGCACATCAAATAATGCTACATATAAAGCCAGCTTAACTGAGTAAGAAGTCTGTCCCAAAGCGTGCTTCAGTGCTATCAAGTTTTGGTTTGACTCTAACGTTAGATATAGTTCTCCAGTAAGTGCAGCACCAAATCCCTGTAGCCAAAATCCTTAATACAATCAAGGAATTATGTTTATATTCATGAGACAAGTGGAATTAAAGCCATGTGAAATCGAACGAAAATTTAATTTTCAACACCACCTACAAGAAAACGTAAGGACACACTTCCTCCCTTGTCGAGGGGGCATTTGTTACTAACAAAATTGAAAATTGAATGTCATCTGAAGTTTACTGAGAAAGACAGATAACATCTTTGTAGAATTCGGGGCTATTTGGGTCAGAAGTAGGCATCACAATGGACACCAATTGTGGTACCCTCCGTGCTGATCTGTTTCTTTACATAACTCGGACTTTCTGCTCCGACTCCCCAATGTAAAGCATGGGAAATTGGACAAGAAGATTAATTATGCTTCACGTGTATCGATGATCAACCAATTTCCTTCCACTGATTTCCCCACCTGAATTTGAACTAAGAAGAAGCCAATGTAGCCACCCCATGTGTTTCAGCAGTATGCATAACAATTGTGACAATCATTTAATCATGAGACTGTATGACGAGATGGATGACTTTCCGCTGTCATAAGTTCCTGTTCTTCGACGATTTCAAAGAGCGTCATACGACTCTTACTCAAAAGTTGTTATATCATGATTATACTATTCAAAGCATCAACAAAGTTTTCAAAACGTTTGATATAGAAATGTGGAGGACACATGTTCCCGTGTTTGTTCAGGTGAACACTGGACTTGCCTTTGCATGTGTTTGCACGGGTGCCACCAGTGGGTCTATATACACGATCACCTTCCTGGTGGTATCATCACTCATAAACACATGCTCATGATATATTCGGAACCATACAATGGACACGGCTTTTTCCGCTTTTATTTGCATTCGGGGTCACGGGTGGTCCAGACGCAATTATCTGTACAGAGCTACGTCCCTGTGGCGTGCCCGAATCCTATGATTGTGGATTCGAATCTCGGATTCCTCTTGATAATACGTCTTGGACCATACCAGTGTCGTGAGCCCAAACATCACTTAGGGCTTTTCTCCAACACGCGTCGTGATACAATTGAAATACGATAATTGAAGCTACCCATGAACATCCGATTTGAATGAGTCTTCGGAAACCCATGCTTAAGAGGCGACTAAAGGGGTCGAAGTTCGTGATATCAACCACTGGGTTGTCTAGTTCAGACTCGGAATATTTACAAACTGCTGTGGTATAGATGGAATACTGCCGAGTGCAAGCAAGTAAAGAAACTATTCTAGTCTGCGTTACACCCCTCGAACTCACTACTTGCATGAATGCCATGAGTAAGAATACATGTGTATTTTGTTTTATGAAACAAGAGAAATCGAATAAATCACGACGACCATTAAATACTAGTACTCCAGTCTAGGCCAGGCAGTCGGTAGATCAGAGCGTGAGTACTGATCCGCACCCGATCTTCATTTCCGACACCTCATATAACAAGTTTGGGGTCGTGGGAACTTATTGTCTGCCCCACCAAGTGAAACAAGAAATGCATAGCCACAACAACAACAACTATGTCAGGACAAGTTATTTTCGTTCCAATATGTCGATTAGTTCATATTTAATAAACTTACAACACAGTTAAGACGCGCCATTTTGGATTATATCCGCATTTCTTTATTTGCTAAAAGAAGAAGTACAAAAAATGATGACACGGTTGACTCCCACCAGATTGAGAGAACACTTAACATAGCCCGAGTTTCGTGATCGTGATACGAGAGTCAATTTCAGCAAATTAAAGAATTACACAAACATAAAGCACAATGCATCGAACATGTAGTGGATTCCAGAACGTTTTGCAGATATGCTGGACAAAACAATGCAACAGTGACGAAATGCCGGCAACATAAAGGCACACACGATGAAGTTATGTCAAATCAGAATGAAAGAGTTGTGATATGGTTTGGAGATGACTGACCTGTTCAAAGATGATGATTCAAACACTTAAAACATAAATCTATGTCTAGATCATTGATAACATTACCTTCAAACAATGCAAAACTAGAAGACATGTGTACACATACAGTATGTATCAACTACTGTTCAGTCCACCACATGTACATGTACAGCATGTATACATCTAATGTTCAGTTCATCATATGTACATACGCGGCATGTATACATCCACTGTTTACCACATGTACATATAAGCATGTATACATCTACTGTTCACCACATGTACATATGCAGCATGTATACACCCACTGTTTACCACATGTACATATGCAGCATGTATACATCCACTGTTTACCACATGTACATATACAGCATGTATACATCTACTGTTCAGTCCACCACATGTACATATACAGCATGTATACATCTGCTGTTCAGTTCATCACATGTACATATGCAGCATGTATCAATCCACTGTTTACCACATGTACATATACAGCATGTATACATCCACTGTTCAGTCCACACATGTACATATACAGCATGTATACATCCACTGTTTACCACATGTACATATACAGCATGTATACATCTACTGTTTACCACATGTACACATAAAGCATGTATACATCTACTGTTCAGTCCACACATGTACATATACAGCATGTATACATCCACTGTTTACCACATGTTCATATACAGCATGTATACATCTACTGTTCAGTCCACAAATGTACATATACAGCATGTATACATCTACTGTTCAGTCCACCACATGTACATATGCAGCATGTATACACCTACTGTTCAGTTCATCACATGTACATATACAGCAGGTATACAACTACTGTTCAGTCCACCACATTTACATACACAGCATGTATTCATCTACTGTTCAGTCCACCACATGTACATATACAGCATGTATACACCTACTGTTCAGTTCATCACATGTTCATATACAGCAGGTATACACCTACTGTTCAGTCCACCACATGTACATATACAGCATGTATACATCTACTTTTCAGTCCACCACATGTACATATACAGCATGTATTCATCTACTGTTCAGTTCATCACATGAACATATACAGCATGCATTCATCTACTGTTCAGTCCACACATGTACATATACATCATGTATACATCCACTGTTCAGTCCACCACATGTACATATACAGCATGTATACATCTACTGTTCAGTTCATCACATGTACATATGCAGCATGTATAAATCCACTGTTTACCACATGTACATATACAGCATGTATACATCTACTGTTCAGTCCACCAAATGTACATACACAGCATGTATTCATGTATTGTTCAGTCTACCACATGTACATACACAGCATGTATTCATGTATTGTTCAGTCCACCACATGTACATACACAGCATGTATACATCTACTGTTCAGTCTACCACATTTACATATACAGCATGTATTCATGTATTGTTCAGTTCATCACATGTACATATACAGCATGTATTCATGTATTGTTCAGTCTACCACATTTACACACACAGCATGTATTCATGTCTTGTTCAGTCTACCACATTTACATATACAGCATGTATTCATGTACTGTTCACTCCACCACATGTACACATACAGCATGTATTCATGTATTGTTCAGTCTACCACATTTACACACACAGCATGTATTCATGTATTGTTCAGTCTACCACATTTACATACACAGCATGTATTCATGTATTGTTCAGTCTACCACATTTACATACACAGCATGTATACACCTACTGTTCAGGCTACCACATTTACATACACAGCATGTATTCATGTATTGTTCAGTCCACTACATGTACACATACAGCATGTATACATTTACTGTTCGGTCCACCACATGTACACATACAGCATGTATACATCTACTGTTGAGTCCACCACATGTACACATACAGCATGTATACATCTACTGTTCAGTCCACACATGTACATACACAGCATGTATTCATGTATTGTTCAGTCTACCACATTTACATACACAGCATGTATTCATGTATTGTTCAGTCTACCACATTAACATACACAGCATGTATTCATGTATTGTTCAGTCCACCACATGTACATACACAGCATGTATTCATGTATTGTTCAGTCCACCACATGTACATATACAGCATGTATACATCTACTGTTCAGTCCACCAAATGTACATATACAGTATGTATTCATCTACTGTTCAGTCCACACATGTACATACACAGCATGTATTCATGTATTGTTCAGTCCACCACATGTACACATACAGCATGTATTCATGTATTGTTCAGTCCACCACATTTACATACACAGCATGTATTCATGTATTGTTCAGTCTACCACATTAACATACACAGCATGTATTCATGTATTGTTCAGTCCACCACATGTACATACACAGCATGTATTCATGTATTGTTCAGTCCACCACATGTACATATACGGCATGTATACATCTACTGTTCGGTCCACCACATGTACACATACAGCATGTATACATCTACTGTTGAGTCCACCACATGTACACATACAGCATGTATACATCTACTGTTCAGTCCACACATGTACATACACAGCATGTATTCATGTATTGTTCAGTCTACCACATTTACATACACAGCATGTATTCATGTATTGTTCAGTCTACCACATTAACATACACAGCATGTATTCATGTATTGTTCAGTCCACCACATGTACATACACAGCATGTATTCATGTATTGTTCAGTCCACCACATGTACATATACAGCATGTATACATCTACTGTTCAGTCCACCAAATGTACATATACAGTATGTATTCATCTACTGTTCAGTCCACACATGTACATACACAGCATGTATTCATGTATTGTTCAGTCCACCACGTGTACACATACAGCATGTATTCATGTATTGTTCAGTCCACCACATTTACATACACAGCATGTATTCATGTATTGTTCAGTCTACCACATTTACATACACAGCATGTATTCATGTATTGTTCAGTCCACCACATGTACATACACAGCATGTATTCATGTATTGTTCAGTCTACCACATTTACACACACAGCATGTATTCATGTATTGTTCAGTCCACCACATGTACATATACAGCATGTATTCATGTATTGTTCAGTCCACCACATGTACATACACAGCATGTATACACCTACTGTTCAGTCTACGACATTTACATACACAGCATGTGTTCATGTACCGTTCAGTCCAGCACATGTACACATACAGCATGTATTCATGTATTGTTCAGTCCACCACCTTTACATACACAGCATGTATTCATGTATTGTTCAGTCCACCACATGTACATATACAGCATGTATTCATGTATTGTTCAGTCCACCACATTTACATACACAGCATGTATACATGTACTGTTCAGTCTACCACATTTACATACACAGCATGTATTCATGTACTGTTCAGTCCACTACATGTACATATACAGCATGTATTCATGTATTGTTCAGTCCACCACATTTACATATACAGCATGTATTCATGTACTGTTCAGTCCACCACATGTACATACACAGCATGTATTCATGTATTGTTCAGTCTACCACATTTACATACACAGCATGTATTCATGTATTGTTCAGTCCACCACATGTACATATACAGCATGTATTCATGTATTGTTCAGTCCACCACATGTACATACACAGCATGTATACACCTACTGTTCAGTCTACCACAGTTACATACACAGCATGTATTCATGTACTGCTCAGTCCACCACATGTAGATATACAGCATGTATTCATGTATTGTTCAGTCCACCACATTTACATACACAGCATGTATACACCTACTGTTCAGTCTACCACATTTACATACACAGCATGTATTCATGTATTGTTCAGTCCACCACATGTACATACACAGCATGTATTCATGTATTGTTCAGTCTACCACATTTACATACACAGCATGTATTCATGTATTGTTCAGTCTACCACATGTACATATACGGCATGTATTCATGTATTGTTCAGTCCACCACATGTACATATATATCATGTATTCATGTATTGTTCAGTCCACCACATGTACATACACAGGATGCATACACCTACTGTTCAGTCTACCACATTTACATACACAGCATGTATTCATGTATTGTTCAGTCCACCACATTTACATACACAGCATGTATTCATGTATTGTTCAGTCCACCACATTTACATACACAGCATGTATTCATGTACTGTTCAGTCCACCACATGTACATATACAGCATGTATTTATGTATTGTTCAGTCGACCACATTTACATACCCAGCATGCATACACCTACTGTTCAGTCTACCACATTTACATACACAGCATGTATTCATGTATTGTTCAGTCCACCACATGTACATACACAGCATGTATTCATGTATTGTTCAGTCTACCACATTTACATACACAGCATGTATTCATGTATTGTTCAGTCCACCACATGTACATATACAGGATGTATACAATTAATGTTCAGTCCACCACATGTACACATACAGCATGTATACATCTACTGTTTACCACATGTACATATACAGCATGTATACTTCTACTGTTCAGTTAATCACATGTACATATAAACCATGTATACAATTACTGATTCAGTCTACCACATGTACATATACAGCATATATACATCTACTGTTCAGTCCACCACATGTACATATACAGCATGTATACACCTACTGATCAGTCCACCAAATGTACATATACAGTATGTATTCATCTACTGTTCAGTCTACCACATTTACATATACAGCATGTATACATCTACTGTTCAGTTCATCACATGTACATATACAGCATGTATACACCTACTGATCAGTCCACCACATGTACATATACAGCATGTATACATCTACTGTTCAGTTCATCACATGTACATATACAGCATGTATACACCTACTGATTAGTCCACCACATGTACATACACAGCATGTATACATCTACTGTTCAGTTCATCACATGTACATATACGGCATGTATACATCTACTGATCAGTTGATCACATGTACATATATAGCATGCATACATCTACTGTTTACCACATGAACATATATAGCATGCATACATCTACTGTTCAGTTCATCACATGTACATATACAGCATGTATACACCTACTGATCAGTCCACCACATGTACATATACAGCATGTATACATCTACTGTTCAGTTCATCACATGTACATATATAGCATGTATACATCTACTGATCAGTTCATCACATGTACATATATAGCATGCATACATCTACTGTTTACCACATGAACATATATAGCATGCATACATCTACTGTTCAGTTCATCACATGTACATATATAGCATGCATACATCTACTGTTTACCACATGAACCCATTTTTGCGGCCCGGACCCGAACTTCTGATAAACCTTGACGTCTGGAGAGTCAAAACACTTCTTTTCAATGAATAATTAGTTTTTATTCATGTGGGTATAACAATGCATTATATGGACAACACAATGCTTCCAAATAAGTAGATCCCTTTAAGGTTTTAAGGTTTATTTGTAAGGACCAGTGTCAGGGCAAAACAATTATTGCCTATAACTATAATGGTAGTTTACTGCTATAAATATATATAGATGACTTCTTTATCTGAATAACTTTACAGTTACTAAGATAGCAATTTGTGTCTGTGTTCAAAAATGCAGTCTATTTATAGAAATGATCAAGTAAGGACAAGGGGAACTTTTGGGCTGAATTATCTGCCCTTTGATTGAAACTGACCTTTAGACTGCCAAAGTCAGAATGACCCAGAATGGATCTCATCGTATTTATAGGTGTGAGAAAATGGTCACATGTCTGTTATTGACCAATCAAATTACGAGAAATTACGTCTCTTTACGTCCTTATTCCTTTGAGGGATCTACTTTCAAAATGTAAAATCACTGAAATAAAGAGGAAGGCAAACCGTCTCAGGAGGTAATTTGGTATACCAATCAATTAATTCTGTCTAATTGATTCACTAATTGCCTTCCAATATCACAAGATAAACAATTACGTCCTGCTACGTCGAAGCTACGTCCTTGCTGCCTGCCGAGAGGACGTAATAACAACAAGCAACATCGACTGGGAACTACGATGGACAATTCAAAGAGGAAGATTACAAATGTCAGGAGGCAATTGGAATTTATCTTATGCATAAGACGTTTGATAACACGAATTGGCCACTGGTATGCTTTGACAGAAGCACTGGATGTCATATTTATGAGAAACATGTTCATAAATAGTGACGCTAAATACTGCGCATGAATACATCAGCGAAGATTACATAGTTCCTGATGTCAGAATTGACAGTAACTTTAATACATGTCTTGACATATCATGAAATACGATTCTGGGTTGCTCTGGACATAGTTCATTAGATTAAATAAACTTTATAATGCAAAATGCTAAGCATTAGCCAAATTCAGTAACTTCATCGCGACCTAAGCTAGCTGTCACAAAGTTAAAATGGCGGGCGTCGGCGAAACACATAGCTCAGCCCTGATCACAAATTCACACAAATATGGATAAATATCAAGCTGCCAAGTGATTGTGATCTGTTTGTTGAAGAATGAAGGTATGATTAATCTGTATCTGATGGTTAATTTGCGTAACTGTGTGCTTAGAACGATGAATTCTTCAAAAGTTACGGTCAATGCAACACTCTTGAAACAAGTAAACAAGATCGTTTTGACAGGCACGTTGTTGACATCGATGCTGATGAGGTACTGGAACATCCTAAACAATATGCGTAACATGATGGCATGGACATATGATTATTTTTACGAGATAACAGTGTGCCATGAAGCTCTATAAAAGCATACTATGATCCTCTGATAGATTTCTTACCAAAACGGGATTCAAAACATTGAATTACGTGAAAACGAGGTTGGCAAAAATATACTGATATATACCTGCAAAACTAAATACAGTTTACAGGATAATTATATAATTCGTGCACTGTCATATAACCATAAAAAATACAACAGGGAAATATTTAGGAAATGTTTCTAATTTTTACAAGCTGTCATAACTTACATATTTTATAAAAAAGACACATTAATATTTATATATTCTTCGTGATGAACTGTTCACCACATGTACATGTACAGCATGCATAGATCCACTGTTCACCACATGTACATATGCAGCATGTATACATCCACATTTCACCACATGTACATATGCAGCATGTATACATCCACTGTTCACCACATGTACATATGCAGCATGTATACATCCACTGTTCGCCACATGTACATATACAGCATGTATACATCCACTGTTCGCCACATGTACATAAACAGCATGTATACATTCACTGTTCACTGTGAACAGTGGATGTATACATGCTGTATATGTACATGTATACATCCACTGTTCACCACATGTACATATGCAGCATGTATACATCCACTGTTCACCACATGTACATATGCAGCATGTATACATCCACTGTTCACCACATGTACATATGCAGCATGTATACATCCTCTGTTCGCCACATGTACATATGCAGCATGTATACATCCACTGTTCACCACATGTACATATGCAGCATGTATACATCCACTGTTCACCACATGTACATATACAGCATGTATACATCCACTGTTCACCACATGTACATATGCAGCATGTATACATCCTCTGTTCGCCACATGTACATATGCAGCATGTATACATCCACTGTTCACCACATGTACATATGCAGCATGTATACATCCACTGTTCACCACATGTACATATGCAGCATGTATACATCCACTGTTCACCACATGTACATATGCAGCATGTATACATCCACTGTTCACCACATGTACATATGCAGCATGTATACATCCACTGTTCGCCACATGTACATATGCAGCATGTATACATCCACTGTTCACCACATGTACATATGCAGCATGTATACATCCACTGTTCGCCACATGTACATATGCAGCATGTATACATCCACTGTTCAGTTCATCACTACTACTGCTGCCCATGGTCCCCTTCCATCCACATCCATCCCACGTCTTCCACAGCGGATGTTTGACAGATGAGCTGGTCACGGTCCTCAGCACCCACAGCTGCACAGAAGTACAAACAATTCACGTATTACAAGAGAACTCTTAAGTAACAGAATCTGTAAGTTGCCTGTCTAATAGTTAATTATTTCAATAAAACTGCTCACCGAGTCTTTGAACTTCACATCTTCTCCCATCTTCGGATGACTTTTGTGACATCGGTTCTTTGAATGTGACACGAAAACTGCAACAGTCAAATGACAATTACACCATCGAAATGCATTTACATATTTAAAAAAGAGGGCATACACATGTTTCAATGATGCTTAGAAATGTGTTACCGAAATAGTGTAAGAAGTGCGTTAGTACTTACACTATGCCTATTCTGTTATAAATGAAGACGTTTGTATCAGATTCTCTTTCAATGTTTTAGGTTCAATGGCCACACGTTTACCTCTGACCACCTTTTTGTAGAACGCATGACCTGGCAGATTTCCGAACGTATTCCCTCTCCAACTTTTCTATCTGCTTCTGTGTGTATAACCTCCAGTTCCCATCGTCGTCCTTCCACTGCCAGACCATGTACGGTCTGCCGTCTGTCTGCAGCGATCTCCTGATGTCTTCATCTATTAAAAATGCAGCTTTATGTACTCCTCAACTAACAGTATATACATTTAGTTTACGTTATCAAATACCGAAAACCCACCCTGATGTTCTCTTGGAGGAGATGCTGTTTCTTCTAAGGATGCAGCAATTATCGCAGATAATTCGTCTTCCTCCGTACTGAAACAAATATGGAGAGGAGAAACTGAAACATGGCTGAGCTTAAACCATCAGCTGTACTTCCATGTGTTGACATTCCTACACAGCATACATATATTGTGACACCTGGTGTCATCAGTAATTTTCAATGATACATTCATATTATTGTCACAACTATCTCTTACAGCAGATAATCGAGACTGGTGTTGACGTTTCATATTATGTAGATGATAAATCTAGTATTTTGTACAAAAGTGATTTCTTTTTCATGGACCTTACCTGACTTCGAGGTCAAATTTCCCATGGCCTCCAAAATAGTAGGTGTTTATGTGACCATTGTCCCACCTCACCTGAAAGTGTACAAAGACGTAAGGGTCGAATCCTTGGAAATTATGTTTTGTTAGTGTAATAATTATCCACTTTATATGTGTTCAAGATGCAATAACTCGGTGCAAATACAAGTGTATCATTAATTAATGTTGTATTTTACTTTCACTCTCCCATCCTTCCGTTTTCGTATTACTATCCCGCGTCCGTCAGGACCCCCATCTTGGTTTGCATATGACCAGTTAACTCCTGTAAACAGATGTACAATGTATAACTATCATTGGCTGTCAACACTCTTTTATTTTCTCTAAAAATATCTTGAAACTTTTTTTCCGTTCCTGCGGGCCCCAACTTTATTTGTCATTATTTGAAAACTGTAGACTAAAATGCAAGTGTTGCCAACAAAGAGAACAATCCGACCACATCAAGGCATCCATACATTATCTGTCGTGTATTAACCTTCTTACATTACTGACACCTGTTGATTTGTTTGAGGAAAATTCAAGACAATATGCTAAGTTATAAGTAGACACGCAATAATTAATACTCAATTGAGCAAAGAAGGTCAACAAACGGACTAAGTTTTTTATGAATTTTTCTCAACGGAAACAACTGAAAGTCATGAATAATGTACCTCTCTTGACCTTTACACCTATCTCAATCAGTTCGTGTGTCGCCAGACGTCGTGGTTGGTCGATAAGGAGAACGTCGAAGTGTTCCTCATATCCATATCGGTACCTACAGTTGCCGCAGCTAAGATCCCATTGCACCCACAAAAACTCTGAAAAAGGAAGGCAAATAGCATTACTTCGTCTGGAATACCCGCATTGTGGGAGACCGCCTCAGTGGTCTGGTGGTACAGCGTCCGGCGAGTGTCGAGGGTTCGATCCTCGGCCGCGGCATACAAAAAGACGTTAAAGGTGATAGTTGTGGTTACCCTGCCTGGCGCGCGGCATTACGGGGCTATCCGAGAACTGGTCGGCTCGGAGTCAGTACACTGTGACTCAGTGGGGTTTTCATGTTGTGGCAGTTGTGGCTTAAATCACTCACTTGTTAGGTCCAGAGTGCATTACTTTATTGTTGATTGCGTTCATCTACCCACTCACTAGAGCATTCATATAAAATACTACCTTCTGATTGTTTAAGGAGCGGACAATTATTTCCCATAAATTCGCTGTCAACCGAGCTCGAGGGGTATATGGTGTGATGTATCCTGTGTGTGAGCCTATGTACCCCGTGCCATAATATCCTAATGGATAAATCACCATCATTGACACATGTCTACATGTACATGTTATGTCATCCGGATATTGAATTCGTAAGGTTGATCTTACGGTGATCATTTGCATGATTGACTACGGTTCCAGGCCCTTCCACATCCTGGTCCCCATACTTCCAGTCAGGGCCCCGTATCACTCTGGACCCAAGGGGAGGTAACCCCTTTCGTTCTAAGACATTGTCATAATCACTTGGACCATCATCGGGTAGTTTGGTGTCCTTCGTCTGTATCTTTTCTTTCACTGCTTGGATAACGGTAACCTAAAACAACATACGACTAGGCAATGTAAAAAGTCACAAACTGTAAACATGATCATTGTAGACAAGTAATTTCAATTAAGTAAAGTAAAGTTAATTTTATAAGGTGCTAATCGAGAAACTTAACCTATACAGTTTGAAACGCAACACATGCAATGTACCAAGTATTTTTAACCTGGTGTCTATCGCCTACATGTGTAAAGTCACTTGTTGACGCTATGGTAATATGGCCAATCAAAATATTTTTTATATTCACCCGTAGCCGACAAATGATAGAACGTAAAGCTGAATCTGATATGCTAGCGGATATAAATTGCAAGAGAATACCCAGTATAGATCATCCTCCGAAACAGATTCCATTTGGCGTAACGTGAAAATTAGCTGTGAAAATTATATGAATGGACAATTAAAAAAACCGGTGTTCGGGAAAAGGGTTAGCATGTCCTGCCCAACCGGTAACACCGACCATTCACACAATTGCAATTAAAAAACTAAGTATTTATTTATAGTACTCTTGCCATACGTCGGCGGCCTGTAAACAAACCAGACAATCAAGTGATCGATTAACCAGAATATCCAGTCACACGATAGTGCATTTAGTGATTTTGTTGAAACTAATAAAAAAACAGTATGTTAATTTTAAATTACGTCTGCTGTCTACAAGTGCAGAGATCCAGCTGCTTAAAAGTAAAGAAAAGTCTTTCAGAAATGTATTCATTTTGCAACACCGTGGGTGTCAGTTTTAATGTTTTGGCCCAAACATATCTTGTAGTTGACTCAGCATAGATAAATGCTACTGAGTTTATGAGTTTTTATCGTCAGTCCACCAGCAGAAACATCGACCCAGTTCAGTAAATATAATTTATTAATGCAAATGAAGAACTAGACCAGATCCTCCTTCTGGCACACCGAGTTGAATATAGAGAGCATACGGTCACCTTCTCTTCGTGAGTCATGTCACCCATGAATGCCCCAGCTACTGCATCAATGTTGCGTTCTATTCCCTCTTTGTCCTTAGAAAAGGTCTTTTCCAGGCATATGTAGATTTTAGCGATCGTATCCTACAAAACAGTTATATGATTATTGATATAAAAAAGTAATGCACCTTGAACTGCAGAGGTAATGTATAATTTGCCTGGCCTCAATAAAAGCGTTGCTGTTCATGTTTATTTAATTTTTCAGCTTAAACGAACGGTAAAGTGAAGATACAATTTAACAAAATACCTGACATAGGCACTTTACAAGAGAAGATGTATACCCTTTTGGATCAAGTGTATCGAGATTAATTCCAACTTTGCCTGAGTAGATGGATGAAAAAATCTATCACTAATTCGTAAAATCTTGAAGTATGAAAATAAAGTCACCTGTAATCTGTAACGGTTACACAGACTGTGAATGTCCTTCCCTTCGACCAATTCTTGATTTCCCAGTCTCGCCAACGAGGACAGAAACGACTGAAAATGTTCACCTTAATTAAAATAATATATTAGGTAAATGTGAAAAAAGTAATAAATCCTCACTTCCGTGTCATGTACAATAGGAGTTACTGATATAACATACTTAGCATAATTAATATCGCCACGCAAATGTTGACATAATATTAGAAATGTCAATACGGGTTCAATACCTTGTCAGCATTCCCCACCGGTACCCACAAAAGTGGAACCGTATGACTCTTCTCCCGTGCCAACACAGTTGTTAGGCGGACAATCTGGACCTTCAACTAGCAATACACACGTACACAATTACAAATCGGAAGATATACAAGTTCAAAAAGAACTCTCATCGTTCACGAGTAATCATAATGGTTATAGTTACATACATGTGATTGAAGTTTACAATTTTAGGAATTCCGATATCGTAATTCAACCACCAGATCAGGGTTAACATTTCAAACAAAAGGTTCATGTGTTATGAAACGGGTATATAATGTTATACGAATTATAATAATGTATATATAATGTATATGACCCTCCCTGTCAACTATTAGCATCCTGTTGTTGATGATCATAAGCAAGAGAAAGAAATCGTACGTTAGAATCTTGGATGGCCGTGTCTGGTCCATCTGACTGATGTTCATTGGTTGCAAAACCATCCGTGAGGAAAATAATCCGTGGCTTGACGTTGTGAATGCCGCCGATCCTGAGAACACCCGCTGTACAACACAACCAGTATTTACAGCATGTACTGAAGTGTTAAACCGTTAACAACTGTTTATCAGAAAAATAGAAGTGCTATTAAGTGCAATTTATTACACAACGAAACTCTCCGAAACCGAATACAAAATATCTATTCAGCATGTGTTTAGGTTATGTGAGTACGCGGTTTGAGTGAGTGAGTGGGTGGATGAGTGAGTACGATGAGTGAGTGAGTGAGATTAAAAGCAACTTGGAACATCATTACAATCATATCAGCTGAATGTGGGAGCTGGATATAAACTGACGTCCAAAAGAAACTTTACCAGAGTTTGAAGTCACTCTTGCTCAAAAACAACAAAACATACATGTATGAAGTAAAGTGTATTGAGAAGATCAATATATCAACATAATCAACACTGAAAATGACAATCATACCGCCACCGAGAATGACGTCAGAGCCCCCCAAAGTTGGGTGTGGTACAAAACTCGAGCTTTCAGAATCATGGACAATAGGCAGAGTACATAAACAATCGCTCAATAACAATTCATTAGTAGCGTGTGTGACCACCAAATGCCTCAATACACGCAAAAACTCTTCGACGCACAGAAAAAGTTAGTCGTCTGATGAGGTCACGTGGGATTTGACGCCATTCTTCTTGGAGGGCCAAGATCAGTTCTTGCCGGTTGGCTGGAGAGTATGGTCGTTGTCGAACACGACGATCCATCAAGTCCCAGAGGTGCTCTATGGAGGACATGTCGGGTGAGCGTGCAGGCCACGCCAGGCCGTTGACGTTGTTGGCTGCGAGGAAGTTAGTGACAATTCTGGCTGTATGGGCTCTAGCGTTGTCATGCTGATAATTGACACCACGTGGCTGCTGATGGAGAAATGGTAGGACAACTGGACGAAGAATGTTATCCATGTAACGCTGAGCTGTCAAGTTTCCGTCAACGATGACCAGCGGTGTCCTCTCCTGCCCACAGATCCCTCCCCACACCATGACAACCCCTCCACCATATGGTACTCACGCAAACGCCGCCGTTCGTTCACCCATTCGGCGGTAAACACGTTATCTTCCATCAGCCCTAAACATACAGAATCGACCTTCGTCAGTGAAGACAACCCTCTGCCGGTGACGTCGTTGCCAACGTCATACAGTCCGGGCCCATCTCAATCGCAAACGACGATGTTGCGCTGTCAATAGCTGTCCTCTGTAAGGTCTAAAAGCCCTGATTCCATGAGCCCTGAGTCTCCTGGCCACTGTCTGTCGACTAACCCTGTGTGACCTAAAGCATTTGTCGCCGATGACGTCACTGTCAGGAAGCGATTTCGGAGGAGCAAGGTACGCAAGTACCGGTCATCATGGGGCGTGGTCACCCTGGGTCTGCCTGTTCTTAGCCTGTCAGCGGTCCGCCCTGTCTGTCTGTAACGTTGCATCAAGTTGGTAACGGCAACAAGGGAGCAACCGAAGGTTCGTGCAATATGGGCGTGGGTGGCTCCTGTCTGTTCCATACCCAAGGCTCGTTCACGTTGTTCGACTGTGAGTCCTGGCATTTCCATTGTGTTTTTTTATCACTGTGGATGTCTGACTTGCCGTTGCAATCGTTTTATATCCTTACCCGCACGTGCATTTGCAGTTGTCCGTGGTGCACGTGTTTTTCACTTGTTCGCGTGTTATCTCGCAAACATGTAACAGACGATTAACATTTTCTGCATACACTATTGTTTTATTTAGGTTATGTGTTTTAGATACATCGAAAAGAAATTTATACTTTGTCTGAAAGTTATATTTTCAGTTTGTAAAGTTTCTTTTGGACGTCAGTTTAGTATAGGAAGCCAGAACAGTCACAAGTGTTCGACATACACACATACACACATACACATACAGACACTTCTACACATATCGAGGTACTTGTGTACAGCTAAATGATGCGCGACAGACGACTTGGACGACCCGTAGCCTCGTGTATGCTGTAAGAGGTAATACTTACCTCTGTTCCTGATAGATGCCACGGAAACAACGATAGCCTCAAATATGGGACTCGTTCCTCGAAGAACCAAGTCATCTACAAAGCAAATTTATAAATGATAAAATATGATGATTCAAAGCTGGATGGTTGAAAACAAAATATAGGTAACTATAACGATGCGTACATTTAGTTACTTTTCTCGATTTTAGAAATTCAAGTATTCCTCTCAAGAAAGGAAAACGCTATTTAAATCCGAATACAGATACTTCAAAAATGACTCTTATATATGGTTTATAAAGATGGGTCCCTAAAGTAACGGTATACCTATTGTATCCCTGACCCTTCCATAGTCATTTGTAATCTCCTGGACGACCGACACATCTCCGCCCATTGCCACCACGCCGATGTTCTCCTCCAGACCGTGCTGCTCAGCCGTCGTCTCTATACCTGCAACACAGTGTCAGTCTCTGGGAGGACCTGTATGGTGAAACATTTGATAGTCACTACGAAGCCCTGTTTGGTAAAACATTCAGTCTGTTAGTCAGAACGAGATCCCGTATGGTACAACCTTTAATCTGTAACAGTTAGTGTAATGGCCGGTATTGTTCAACAATCGACCTCTCAGTATAGATGTGCTTAGTGCACATTTTACGCCATTTATGCTGTATATGGTTATAAAACTGTCTACGTACCATCGATAAACCTATTGGCAAACTCCTTCAGTTCTCCCAGGCCGCTTTCTCCAACACTTTCGGAAACATCAACACACAATACTGTGACGGCAGCATTAGTTCTTGGTGGTGAAGGGTGTGCTATTGGGAACAGTTATACAAAAAGTTGTAAATGTTCGTCATTAAACCAGCGTCATGATTGATCATATGAGAGCAATGAATCATATCCTGAAGTGATAAAAGATAAATTAGCGAAAGATATTGCTATATTCTTCCGAGAGGATATCCAAATAATGAACATAGTGGTGGTTACTACTAAAGGATATGATAAATAGTAGAATGATATAGATATACAGACAGATAGACGAGATAGATTTCGGATCTGTGGCCATTTTGTTGAAGGGAAAATTTTCGTTGACCACCATTTAAGCAATAAATCAGAAGTTGTTATCCATCAAGGTATACGTTTTGTTATTCACCATTCGTATTTTAGATCTGGATGCATGTAAATTTTGAGTTTCATTAATGTTCAATGTGTCGTCTTCTTTCAAATATTTTATTGACAAAATCTGCAAGTCTGAGACGAATGTGGCTATTTTTCCTGTGTATTAACTGTACAAGTTGGCTTTGTGTTGGATACGTATTATGATAGTCAGGTGAGTACTTGATTCTTATATCTTCATCTACTGGACATATCAATAACTAATGGTATTCAAATTCTTGGTAATATTTGCAGTAGGACACATAGATGTTACAATATCATTCTATTTGAAATGTATGCATAACTGTATTTAGGGTATGCGTTATACCACCACTGAACTTCGTTAAACGTAGTAAAGATGCGTAAACATATAGATTAAATAGCTGTTAAATCCATTTTAAACATCAAGTAGGCATGAAGCGATTTTACACATCTTATATGGCAATACATATCTTTACATCTTGAAGGACATTTAATTTATTTCCAACCTCCTATATTTGCAAATCCGTGGGAAAAGGAAATTTCATCAATAGCTGAGGCCCAGTTCATATTGCCAGAATCATCAAGACGTTCAAGCATGCAATAGAAACGTCTAGAGTATCGTGTATCTTGTTGTCTAAGCAAACGTATCCAGTATGAGACAACTTTGCATTGATAGCTTACAGTTATCGAATCAAGAATAATATCAAACTTAACGATGGCACGTAGCATCAAATTGTTTGACACAACAAAATCTATGATACACGTTTTAACATACCAACTTCCAGGGCCAGTGCAGTTGACTCTGTCAGTCTTTTCCATCCGTCAAGAGTAATGTTCAGAGTTGAGAGCAGTTGTTGAGCTTCGTAATAGTTCTCTAAAACAATAACAATCGCAAACATGCATAAAGAGGGAAATACATCACTCCGAAATGTTTCTCAAACAAATGTATTATTGTACAAGATGTGTTAATAAATTATGAGTACTGCGTATATATATGTCCGTGTAAACATTAATAAATGTACTTTACAAATGAGAAATGTAACTTTCTTACTGCTAATTATTTCACTTGATGTGGTTTGCTGAATAGTCTGCAAACTGAAACAGCAATGTTTGTCCAAAGATAATGAGCATATTATTTTCCCAAATAAAGTATATACATTGTAGCTAACATTACCTGTACCTAAATATATTAAGACTACTGGAAGCTCATTTACCTATTTGAACCTTTATCGTTTTTGTTTACCCTTTGTAGTAAGATCACTGTACACACACACACGCACGCACGCACGCACGCACACACACACACACACACATACACACACACATATTGAAATTATTAAATGTATTTGTCCTTCCTATAAACATGAATGTCCATACAACTGAACACACAGGAGACACATTGTACGAAAGAAACTGATGCTCATACTCAATTTACAAGTATTAAAACCTTTTTTAATTTCATTCATACTGTGATAATCTAAGGTCGGATTATATTTTGTGAGTTTAACACAAGTGCATATAATTAATTTGAAATATTCATGAGAATAAAGTGTAAGAGGAGAGCAAGCGCTAACCACTAGGTTTCTCATGTATTGCAGAATATACCTTAGCACTGATGTATCCCCGTTCAATGTGTCATCACTGACTGTCGTTGGTACAGTGGTTTGACCCATGATAGGAGAGCCGGGAATTTCTTCTAACACCTTGTCGTTACCCTCAACGGTAACGTCAGCGTCTGGATAGCTACGGATGCAATACAGTCATCATCAAAAATCCATTGTAGCGAAATAGATGATCGATATTTTTAAGTTAAAATGTATAAGATGTGGAACATGAACTATTCAGATGAATCACTACGTTGTGTAATGGGATTGTCACAAACACACTCATTAAATAGGACGATTGTCAAATTAAACATACTGATGGACGTGAATAAAGCAACACTGATTTAGACCCAGAAAAAGGATATGCTACCATATGTTCCAAGCCTTGTCTACCATAAAACATATCTCAACATCTCAAGATTATTTCCCCATATTCTTCACTGTTCCCTTATTCATTTCCATCTGTATAAAAATCATTGTGGTCCACATGTTTTAATGGTATAAGCTCAAACATCGGTATACCTGAGATATTATTTTAGGTAAGATTACATATGACATACAAGTTTATCATTGTTATACCTACATTTCTGTGGTTTCAGGAACTTCCTGCTTATCATCAACAGGTGTGCCCCCTGGTGTGAAAGGTTCTTCCAGTGTGGTGTTAGCGCCATGGACATGAGAATCCTGTTCAGTAGACCCTGGTGTTATGTCACGTTCACGTTGAACTGTTTTTTGCATGTTTGTCGTATCTCGTTGTGAACTTACAGCCAATGCGATATTCTGGAGTTTGCCTTCCATATATGTTTGATGTTTCTGAATCATCGTGCAGACAACGTTCTCCATGTTTCTAATGTGGCCAGACATTTGTTCTTGAAGTCGCACTTCAATTCTTTGTAGTTGCAGCTCTGAGCCTTTGAATTTAAAGAAATTTTTTGAGACACATTCCTTTATTTGAAAGCGTGCAACCATAGATTACACACTAGATAGTGATGACATCTCTTTATCTCATAACCTACGTGCATGAAGCTGTAAGTAGATCCTTACAAATCTATGTGCATGATGCTGTAAGGAGTACCTTGCCAACCTACGTGCATGATACTGTAAGAAGAACGTGTAAACGTACGTGCATGATGCTGCAAGCAGAACCTTACAAACCTACGTGCATGATACTGTAAGCAGAACCTTACAAACCTACGTGCCTGATGCTGAAAGAAGAACGTGTAAACCTACGTGCATGATGCTGCAAGCAGAACCTTACAAACCTACGTGCATGATGCTGTAAACAGAACGTGCAAACCTACGTGCCTGATGCTGTAAGCAGAACGTGCAAACCTACGTGCATGATGCTAGAAACACAACCTTACAAACCTACGTGCATGGTACTGTAAGCAGAACCTTACAAACCTACGTGCCGGATGCTGTCAGCAGAACGTGCAAACCTATGTGCATGATGCTAGAAACACAACCTTACAAACCTACGTGCATGGTACTGTAAGCAGAATCTTGCAAACCTACGTGCCTGATGCTGTAAGCAGAACGTGCAAACCTATGTGCATGATGCTAGAAACACAACCTTACAAACCTACGTGCATGGTACTGTAAGCAGAACCTTACAAACCTACGTGCCTGATGCTGTAAGCAGAACCTTACAAACCTACGTGCGTGAAGCTATACGCAGAACCTTACAAAACTACGTGCATGATGATGTAAGCAGAACCTTACAAACCTTCGTGCATGATGTTGTAAGCAGAACGTGCAAACCTATGTGCATGATGCTAGAAACACAACCTTACAAACCTACGTGCATGATGCTGTAAGGAGTACCTTGCCAACCTACGTGCATGATACTGTAAGAAGAACGTGTAAACGTACGTGCATGATGCTGCAAGCAGAACCTTACAAACCTACGTGCATGATACTGTAAGCAGAACCTTACAAACCTACGTGCCTGATGCTGACAGAAGAACGTGTAAACCTACGTGCATGATGCTGCAAGCAGAACCTTACAAACCTACGTGTATGATGCTGTAAACAGAACGTGCAAACCTACGTGCATGGTGCTCTAAGCAGAACGTGCAAACCTACGTGCATGATGCTAGAAACACAACCTTACAAACCTACGTGCATGGTACTGTAAGCAGAACCTTACAAACCTACGTGCCTGATGCTGTAAGCAGAACGTGCAAACCTATGTGCATGATGCTAGAAACACAACCTTACAAACCTACGTGCATGATGCTTTAAGCAGAACCTTACAAACCTACGTGCGTGAAGCTATACGCAGAACCTTACAAAACTACGTGCATGATGATGTAAGCAGAACCTTACAAACCTACGTGCATGATGCTGTGAGCAGAACCTTACAAACCTACGTGCATGATGCTTTAAGCAGAACCTTACAAACCTACATGCGTGAAGCTATACGCAGAACCTTACAAAACTACGTGCATGATGATGTAAGCAGAACCTTACAAACCTACGTGCATGATGCTGTGAGCAGAACCTTACAAACCTACGTACATGAAGCTATACCAGAACCTTACAAAACTACGTTCCTGATGCTTTAAGCAGATCCTTACGAACCGTCGTGCCTGATGCTGTAAGCAGATCCTTACAAACCAACGTGCATGATGCTTTAAGCAGAACCTTACAAACCTACATGCGTGAAGCTATACGCAGAACCTTACAAAACTACGTGCATGATGATGTAAGCAGAACCTTACAAACCTACGTGCCTGATGCTGTGAGCAGAACCTTACAAACCTACGTACATGAAGCTATACCAGAACCTTACAAAACTACGTTCCTGATGCTTTAAGCAGATCCTTACGAACCGTCGTGCCTGATGCTGTAAGCAGATCCTTACAAACCAACGTGCATTATGCTGTAAGCAGATCCTTACAAACCTACGTGCCTGATGCTGTAAGCAGAACGTGCAAACCAACGTGCATGATGCTGTAAGCAGAACGTGCAAACCTACGTACTTGATAGCGATGACGTTCCGTTCTTGTCAGAGCCGCTCTTTTCTTCAAGCCTGAAACCCAAATGTGATTAACAATAAATATTACTGTTTTTAAATCTGGGGCATGGTTGTCTCATATTTTGATTTGAATATATACGAAGCAGTGAGAGTTGACGGCCTCAGGATACAAACAGAAAACCCAGTTATACAAAATCTTTACTGCTTGAAAATACGATTGTGATTATGAAATTGAAGTATCAATCATCTTTCACTGTGCCAATTAAAATTACATACACATCCAGCGAAACATCAAAGTTGCTGTTTGCGGCGGGTCGATTGATGAGATGCTGAAACAGCATCAGTATATTTCGCTTCAATTCATCCATTTTGTTCTTAGAATACTGTCTGTGCTGGAATACAAATATCAAACCACGTTGAATATAAAGCAGTTCAGTGTCATGCTCCTTCCACAGCCTGTCTGCAAAGTGATGTAGATGGGTGAAGGTGTCACACCCTATAAGTCGTAAAACTTCTCTTTCGTCTGTATGTTGAGCGTTCGGTGCACAGACATGAAGCTTCCATCGTGTCGTATGTGTAACCTGACGGTTCGTGCTCTCAGCACTCGTCCAGTCACAGCGTATTAAGGGCACCTGGTGACATCTCTCTAAAAGAAGGAATGCAGTATAAGCAATGTCTTCAACGTAAAGGTTGCCTGATATAGCAAGGTGCCTTGTAATTATTGTGACGTTTCATTTGAGTCTACATTTATTTACGGTGCGAATCGCCTATTGATCTATTATTTCATAATTATCATAATGTTATTTTTTGTGATATTTATGAGGGGCGGGTGATTTTTTTCTGAAATAACTGTAATCCCCCGAGTTTTCTATCGCGAGATTACGTACCTAAAACTCTCTTCAAAATTTACCTGAACGGTCATATCCATCTTCTAGGAAGCCCCAAAAGTCCCTGGTTACAGTGATGTCACAGCATCCCTCCACGTGATCAGTTGGGGGAACGCAGGAACCAGGCTGGACTGAGACGTTTGACAAAGTTTCCTCTTCAGACATCTTCAGTTGTAACGACTCCGAACTTCAAGTCCTACATGCGACTTTGGGATCTAAATAAAAAACACTTGTTGTGATTTGGTTAATCTAGTTGCAATACCATTTGAACAGAATGTTCTCATTGGAACGGATTGACATACATAAACTCTATTACGTGTGTAAATCCATGCCTTGATATACGATATGTTTCTAGGTTTGTCAGCACCATACCCGTGCTCGTGGGTTTCACTGAAGTTGTAAACGTCTGAGACCTGCATCACATGCCGTGGAATACTGTTAAAAGCGGCGTTAAACCAAACTCACTTACTCTCTCACTTGTAAGAGGATGCGACTGGATCGAGTGGTCAGGCTCGCTGACTTTTGTTCGATTTTTCTCTACTTACGACATGGAATTTCTTTTTCCGCCATATGTTCAACAACTGTTTTCGTATAGTACATTTCTCCGCCTGCCCTCGACAGAGAGCCGAAATGATCTTAATTCTATTATCAATTAGCTGCTAAAGGTTTTTGGTAATAAGTGTTTTTGGTATTATTTGTTTGTGCAGAGCCTACTCAACTGGACATTTTCAAATAAATTGGACTTGGTTGATGCATGTCATCGTATCCCATTGATTATCTGGTCCAGACTGGCTTATTTAGAGACCGTCTCTTATAGCTGGAATATATAGTTAAACAACAAACAAACAAAACACATTTCACTTATCAAAGAAACCTCTTCGCCAGATTGTCTCTGTCAACAATTGAGCATAATATCATTGCTCATACATGTATGTGAACTTTGATAAGGTCTTTAAACAGGAAGTGATACGTACAGTTGTACAATCTATAATCATGGTAACAACAGATGACCTAAAAACTCCGAACATACCTGCATGTCTATTGTTACAGCGATTTTGTTCAAAGAAAATACAAAGCTAGGAGGTATATCGAACGCTACATACACAGACCAATGTTCAGTCAATACACACAACCTACATCATACACCCATAACTTCGATCATGCCTCTAGAATAATAGTGTCCTGTTATGATACCTCGACATGGATAAATCCAATGCCATCATATCTACACTTCATTATGATAAGGAAACAATACGAGAAAAATTGTCACCATTCCTGGACTTCATTGTAAAATGCTAAATACAAAGTTTATTAGAAAATACCTGTCTCAAAAGCTAAAGAGTCTTTGTATATAGAAAGTTGATTATTTTACACTGTTCATATCCCAAGACAACGTATCAGAGATCAAGGTATTACATGTAACCACATCTCAACTGACTTACCTGTATACGCTGTTCAGCATATATAAATGAAGGGACGCAACTCTACAAGTATTGAATATTGGTGAGAGGAGCCTCAGACATTATTGTCCAGCTAATCCGGTGGCCGACTGCACCAAAGCCCTTCCCTGTCGCTAGGTCAGCGCAACTTCTTCACCGATATGATCGCGACATTATGCTGAGCACTTCGACGCCTTTGAAAATAGGTCAATATGCGTTGTTAGGTTCTTGATCACGTGTTTTTGGCTGGCCGCCAGCTCACGCTATCAAGGCAGTTATTTATAGGTGGGGATTCCCTGAATGTTCTGAAAGCTATCTTCCTCATTGCCACACTACCTCTGTTGGAACGACAACCTTCACCTTTAAAACTGTGAGTAAATAATGATGTAGTATCTCTTCTTGTGAATAGTATGAAATTACATAATGAGTTCGGATAAACTAGGACTAGAACCATATCCCACTGGGGATATATATCAGTACAAATGGCCATATTCACAACAGGCATTTTGCATTGTCTACTGAATTATAATGATCACTCCCTACATGGAAATAGCAATAAAGAAATCACCAATTAACATACTCATGTGAACTACTTCATGGGATGTGATTTGTTGAAAAACGCACCCATGATAGCCTATAAGTTCTGGCCCTAAGCAAGGGAGGTAACTTGCTCGCTATTCATCATCGGACATATGAATGTATCCATCTGAGTTCGCAAAGAATTCGGTAAGAAATTGGAGTTACGTCCCTTTGTGCGTCGTCTGCTCGTGAAGTTGTCCCGTGACAATGTCTTCCAATCAAGGGGAAAATATATTGCATTCACTCGCAAATATATAATTTTACTATTTTATGTTATGGTAAGTGTAAAGGGTTATTATATGGCAGTTGTCATTCCATACCCCATATCTATCTTCGTCCCTCAAGCTGATATGGGGTCTCGGGTTGATGTGGCGAATGATATGAAAACTGCCACCTAATAACCTCTAATGAGCAAACTGACATTAATATTGTCAAAACAGCTTAAACATGAATACTTTTACTCTATTTGAAAAGAGGAAGTAAGTTATTAATTTGGTTCAGTACACTTAATGCATTGCGGTTGGCGTGTACACATTATATTTTCAACTTGATTCCTTGATTTTGATACAGCACCCAGAATATACCTACACCAGTACGTTATATTCCTTCATGGGATGATGGAGGACAATCCGAACATTGACCAAATATTCATTTAAATCAATTAAAGGACAGAGACCGACAATGAGTTCGACAGGGGAAACGTCAGCAGAAAATACTTTCGGGCACCTTCACAGTCATGACAGTCTGGCCACAGAAGAGGTACATTTCAGGAAAGTCGAAGGGAACAGACTTGTGAAGCTTGGACGATGTTGCACCATAGTCGACATCCATTTACTGGACATGGGTGCACAAGGTGAAGCAAATATACATATTTACTACTAATCTCTTTCGCTCATGACCGTCACAGCCAATCTCATTTAGTGCATGAAAATGGAAGACAATGATATCAAGTTTATACGTTTTATTAACAACAATTATCATTTATGTTCTGAGAAAACGGGACGCGTGAAAGGATTAGACATGTGTAGGCCTATGCAATTTATTAGGATTTATTAGTGATATATATATGGTTTTGGTTTATTCGTTCTAGATTACGATCGCGACCAAGACCAAAGACTCCTCACGTTCGTCTGGAATGATCTTAAACTGTCAGCGACACCAATATTTACCCAGCTGCAATTTAACATCAGTTATTTCCACCCTTCGTTCCAAGAATCTTTGCGTACAGGTCTTCAAGAGGACAATTTCAACCACTGCAGAAAGTTTGTTGCAAATGTATATAAGGAATACAAGGCAATGGTAATTGGCGTCATTCCAAAAACGACTCTTTTTGAGGTGGTGCACGAAGATGAATGTTCACTGCAAAATATGTTGGAAGGAAAGAATAACCTAAAACACTTGTTCAAAGATTTGGTTTTTAACTGCACAAAAACTGTACCGGAAGTATCGTTGGATATTGTTGCAACTGGTGATGCAGAATACCTGAGGGACAACATGGACGCGGCAACTCGAGACGATCTTGAAAGACAACAATCATATGCTGAGGAACAAAGCAGGCAAGGCGTGCAATTAGTTGTATATGAATGTGTTGTCCTACTGCTAACAGTCCTACTATTGGCAACGACGTAATATGCAACTCAAATGAAGTTAAAAAACACCCAATTCTTTCATATTACTATAATTAATGCCATGGTATTATGAAAGAATGGAGGTGTTCTTTAACATCTTTCATGAAGTATTTAGTAAAAATGACTTTTCGAGGATATTTTCGTCGTCTACGTAGTGATTAATGTTGATGTATGTGACAGATATGAATATGAAATTTCAGATCTCTTGCCACTTCATATATGAGGTCCACTGGCATGACGAGGGGATCATCGCAGGAGAATCAGAGGAATATTGGTATGTTTCTGGTGTATTAGCAATTTCCATGGCGTGACTTTCAGGTTGACAGTATCAACATGATGATGGATATCTCTTACACGAAATATAAGTACATATATGGTCCCTCTGAAAATAATGAGTTTGTTTCTTTTGTATGTTCCAAAGGTCAATATTTACGTACTGGTGATTCCGATGGTGCTGAGAGTGAACAACTGAATCAAATCCTTAGTATAGTGACAAGTATTGAGGAAGATCTGAAAAGGATAAAATCAAAGCCCACGAAGAGACCACCATCCCCATCCCCCTCTACATGGGAATCACGTCGGCCTCTCGAGTCACAGATGAAACAGCTGCAGCTGGAGGTTCGTGATCCAAATTCATCTTCCCCATCCTCCTCCATACGAGATCCAGGTTCGGATTTCGATTCAGAAACGAAACGGCTTCATCTGGAGGTTCGTGATGCAGATTCATCTTCACAGTCATTCGTTGAACAAGAAGGGGGAAACAAAGCAGACAGTGAAGCAAAATCGCTCGAAGTGTAAGTGATGTTAATGTCTACCTCAGAACGTTCTATGTTTTTTTGCGTATGCCTACTTGTACGATAAATATCTTTCTTTGTTAATCAGTTTCAAGGGTGATGACGCAGTTGGTGACTACGTAAAATCGTTACCAAAACTGGAATATAAACCAGCCTGCTCGGATCAAACCAGTGCAGATCAGAAGAAATTAACTTCACCATCATTCCGATCCAAAGAGTCGTAAGTGGGTTATACATATCTCCTATTTGTCATAATCCTGTGTCTTTTATATTTCCTTTCGCCCAACATGTCTGACACGTTCATAAGTCTAAACACCAATGTCACTGACGATATGATCCCATTTCCAATCAGCTATATATTGTGGTTGACAGAATGCAACAATTCTTGTGTTCCTTATTATTGCTCTAGATCCTCCCCGGTGACTGCTTTTTCGCCAGATCGGATGCCAGTTCAGATGAAAGAAGGTACATATGTTGTGAAGCTTGAGGCTCTGGCTTATTATCTTTCAATAACTTGTTATACCCAAAATGATGACTGTCAGGACACCGATTTCATTATGCTGTTTTGTCGAATAGGCACCATATCTCAAGGTATGCTGACATTGATAAGGCAGGCTCGAGGTGGCGGGGATGGTGAAGATCCACAGATACTGAGACTGATTCAAGCTGTCGAAACAGCAAAGATTGATGGTATGACGTTTTGCCACAAATGCTTTATCCCTATCACCGGTATATGTGTATACAATATGCATGCATGTCAGTTTCAGGACCCAGGTAGGACCATGTTGACAAGTTGCTATGTATTGCATGTTTGTCAAATGTCATATGACTCTTGCTCAAAAGTTGTTTCATCATGAATACAATTGTCACGGCCATTGTAAAAATGTCAAGACTTGTTATCAACAACCATTTCTTAAACTTTTGGACTGGCCACGATAAGCGTCACTTTGATAGGCTTGTTCATGACCTATTCATGACTTACCCATATATTGACGGATATGTGCATTTTCATATTTTATCACTGTGTCAGATGTGCCAGTTCCTCCAAGAGCTGATTCACTGGATACAATATTATGTCTGGATGCATCAGAGAGCATGAGAGAAAGATTAGAAGACGCGAAAAGGATTGCTCACACATTTGTAGATGGTAAGATATTCAACTGTCTTCAATGATGCAATTTGTTGATTTTTTTCATCAGGTCTTAAAATTGTTGAAAATGTTCCACACATAGATTTTTAATGCTTGTGGGTGTCTTGGTTGGTTCAACGGAACTTTGAACAACATTCCAGTTATATCACGACATGTCGGCTTAATGTGGGAGGAAAGCCCGAAGTGATGCAGCAAGTCTCAAACGTTTACCACATTTGGGAAACCCATAAGCACGGGTATGGTGATGCCAAACCAAGAAACATAAATTGGGGTGAATCGGGACTCGAATCCACGATCATAGGTTTCTGCACAGCGAATTGCGGCGCCTCAGACGACTGGGCCACCTGTGCCCCGCCATTTTTTTTTATCTCAACCATTGAAACCAGTGCCCATATATAACTGTGATAGTTTGCATGTAACAACATTGAATAGCTTCACCTCCCCTTGGGGAAAGGTATTGATTTTGCTTATCATTCAATTTCAGGCTTAGAAGACATTGCAGAACAGTATGGCCTTGAAGAAAATGTAGCCGTGGTCAGGATATCTGACTATGCATGTGTTATCCAACATCTTACAAATGACTTCACAAGAGTCAGGGATGCTATAGGTGAGATGAAAACAAGAAGGCGTCTACGAGTTGTAGTTACACGTTCTGTCTGGGACGCTCTGAGCCTTACTACGAAGTATGTATAATATACCCTTACAGTTAATGTTTAAAGTGACAATACGTTTCATGCTTATCGGCTGTATTTGAACCAAATGCACAACCAAGTTAACATAGTTCTGCAGGCATCAACGTGACCAGATATTCTCTGTTGATGAAAATGGACAGAATTGTCTACCACGCTGCCATCAAGTATCTCCAACTGAAAAGATAAACTTCAACATCCATCCATGTGGACATGACGTCAGTGTTAGGAGATGGTGCTGCTTCCTTTGTCACTGTTAAGAGGTGGGCAGCAGAGCTCAAGAGGGGAAGAGAATTTATAGACTATGATCCAAGATCTGGGCAGGAGAAAGGTTTCATCTCTCGTGAGAATTTACGTCATTTTGAAGCAGACCCCGCTGATCGTGTTGAGCTTATTGTTATCATGGGTGCGTCCTGAGCTCAGTCAGTGACTGAACAGCAGTCAAAGCAGTGGAAACATTAATTCGGTGACTCCCGAAAGGTCAGACAATTAATGGCTAATGTTATGCTAATCTGTTAAGGCATCTGCGTGAAAACTTGTGGAAAACTCAGTAAAGGTGTGTTGTTTCACTAGGACAATACACCCGTGCACAAGTCTGTTGTCATGGCCATGGGTGAATGCATGACTATGGCTTTGAACTGATTGAACACCTTCCTTTCACCAGCTTTGGAACCGTCAGATTTTCTCCTCTTCAAAGCTGATGATGACGGCAATTTTGTGAATGACATTTTAGCACTCTGGCATCGTTGGCAAAAGTGTGTGGACCTCTGAGGGGATTATATTGAAAACTAATAAGCGGCCAACTTCATCAACGCAATCGATCATACATCGTAGTTAGAGCTCAGAACGTTTCAGTCACCCCTCGTATTAACCATATTGAGGCAATTTACCATCATCTCTATGGCCAATTTGTACACCTTTGGTGTTCTTTCTGCTTTCAGATTATTTACATAATACTACAATTGTTTTAAATACCCTGTCATAATTGTTAGATCACCAGAGGAAACTGACACAAATCATTCACATGTCAATTACAGATTCACTTAAACCTCAAGGTAGATCACCCTTCTTTGAAGCTCTGATGGTTTGTCTGGCATCTTTACAAGGAAAAGGTAAGAACCACATAATTTTGTCACATGTGTCCTCTTCACAAGATAATAAAACAATACAGTAAGCATACATATATATACAATGTACACATTGACATCAACCCGTGACCTGTGATTGGTATTTCGTTGAAGGGCGAGTCGTGAACGTAGCTGGGTTTCACAAAATTCGACCAAGGGTGTTGTTTATCACAGATGGAAAACCTACCGATGAAGCTCAATGGACAGGACCAGACAATGATTCAGGGCGTATGTCGGTAAGCTTCAACCAAGAATATCATCATTATTAATAGTTATTACTAATTAAATTTGTTTTTGTATAATAATAATAGTTTAAATGACTTTTAGTACCATAACGTTCTGTTTCTATTTTAGATAATGTTTAAGTACATTTCCACACATGAAATTTGTTGTGATCGGTACAGGGGTTTAGTGCACTGTAACATTCATCACTTCAGAGGTATTGATACAGTGTAAACAATAAAACTCACTCTCAACGTCTCATCACACAGCATAAACTGCCTATTATTCGACTGGTCACTGACTTTGGATCCAAGAAACACGACAAAACACCCAACCCAATAATATGGATTCCAGTCGGAGAAGATGCAGATAAGGTATGTGATCTTTTTATTTCTAACGAACTACCTGCATTAACCACATTCATGACATATCATTCAAGTGTTGCAGTTTCAATTAACAATCATAGTGAGTGAGTAAGTGAGTTGGGTTTAACGCCGCTTTTAACAATATTCCAGTTATATCGCGGCGTGTCAGCTTAATGTGGGAGGAAAGCCCGAAGTGATGCAGGTCTCAGACATTTACCACTTCGGTGAAACCCACGAGCACGGGTATGGTGCTGACAAACCTAGAAACATAATCTGGGCGAACCGGGATTCGAACCCACAATCATAGGTTTCTTGCGTGCCCAAGGGACGCAACTCTGCACAGCGAATCGCGGCGCCTTAGACGACTGGGCCACCCGTGCCCCCATTAACAATCATATGAAAATATGTATTTGTAGTTTATATCAATCGTGATAGTATGCCTTCGTTTTAGGAATTCTTGAAATCACTTGCGACATTGGGAAATGGACTTCTGGCAGATGAAAAGGATATCCCCAAACTATGCCGCTACTACAGAATACAGGTATATTTTATGCAGGTGCAAATAGCCAATTTAACGACAGTAAACTTGCAGCATTTTTTTCTCTCTCCGGTGTTTACCATTGCACACAGCCTAAGCTTAACCATTTGATCTGCCTGTAACACTATACATACAGATGGACTAAGGTAACTAACCCAGATAGCAATACCACATATATAACGATATTAAGGTAGTGTAGTCACTGATATCTGATGTGGCTAATGTCTTGTTCCAGGAGGGTATTGGGAAAGTGGCCAGCTGTGTTCTGCGTGACAAGGAACACTACGAGAACGTACCAGGAGCTGTTGAAGCTGTGGCTGAAGGCCTCTTGCCGAATCTATTACCGGAGGATAAGGTGATAGCATCTGTCAATCTACGTGTCACAGTTAATACCAATTATCAGTAATGAAGCAATGTTTTGTAGTAGTAAATATTTATTTTACATTTGTGTGGCCTTCGAAAATATGAGATAATATTTTCCGACAACTACAAGACAGTAGTGTAATAATCAATAATCTCTATTGTCTTTAAATTTTGAGGAACCGCATCGATAAGTATTTAACGTCAATAAGTCTGGCACCATCGTCAACTGTGACGTCACGATATGTTGTGTCTGCATTATTTATATGTTGTATGACAAAGAATGCATCATACTTGTGTTTCATAGGATACTTTAGGATATCAATTTACTTTTTGTAATAGCATGATCTTTTTGACAATGTATGGACACCTTGTTCCGTGTCACATTTGAGCGATGTTTAGTGATTCTACACAATAACTGTCTGAGTGTTATTCTGCGCTTAGCTGATTCACTGCGTTTTGCAGAGAGACATTGTCGTCGCTGTCAACGAGAAGATAAAAACTCACAAGTCCGAGGGTAAACCTGATGATTTTGAAGACATTTACGAAGATGTCAAATTGTTTCCCCCTCTCGGATCAAGAGTTATCCGAGGTCCTGATTGGATGTGGAAAAACCAAGACACTGAGGGGCCTGGCACAATCATTAACCATAACCGTCTTGACAGTAAGTATTCTATCGTCTCACCTGCTTCTCAACTGCTACCAACAAATGTTTGAATGTGACGGTTTTGAGCAGATTTACTTGAGTCCTACCAGACATAATAAGACATCTTTTTGTCCCGAAGAATGGCTGTGGGTGAAATGGGATAACGGGGAGCAGAACGTGTACAGGTACGGCGAAGAAGGCAACTACGATGTTCTTCTTGCGGATGGCCTACCCCGCATACCAGATTCAGATGACATACAAATAGGGGTCCGAGTAACGAGAGGTAGGAGGGATATGTAGATATATAGTAAATACACAATGTTTTTTTCAGAAAGTGGTCAAATGTAACGCATGTTTTATTTTGGATAACACAAGTATACATTCTAGTCCTTTTTTTTGTGTGTGAGATGGGTGGGAGTCGAAACCACACTCACAGAGTGAGGCACCTAATCGCCACCACACAAAGTCAGCGAAAAAATACTAGAATTTGTACTTTAATAAGAAAGTGCTATCCCAAATAAAACATTGTTGGAGATATGTAATGTATATAATGTATATAACAAATACTAGCCTCGGTAAAACTGGTAAGGTTATCAAGTTATAAAATCTATTTGTCTCCCGATCAAACTCTATAGGTCTATTATTATATCAATCTAGCAGTTAATTATTATTAATTACAGGGAGAAAAAATTACATGTGTATGCAACATGTAAACCTGAACTGGAAATAGTCAACAAGCCTTTGAGAAATGAAATTTTAGGGGCACAGGGATCTTATTCAAATAGTTGTAGATAAACGTTGATATGATTGCCGAGATATATTACCATGGAAACACATATAACAGCATATTCACAGAGAACACTTAAATTTCAGGGAATAGTGTAATCACATCTGTTAAATCGTTCTGTTTGCAAATAAATATTTGTCTGGAACTGTTGGAGCAGGTCCACATTGGTACACTGACGACGAGGATGGAGGCCAAGGAAGAACCGGCGTTGTAATCAGGAAGAGAGGGAGAGCCGAGGTCAAGGTAACATCCTTACCACTAGGCCTAAGACACAGCGCGTTCTCGATACGGCTCCATTATGATCCATGTACAATTCACATGCTCCTGGTTTCAACACACAACTCACTCATTTGTATGTTATAGGTCAGATGGGACAACGGCAACATAAAACGCTATAAATATGGCCTTGACGATGTGTTTGAACTACATGTGTGGTATGTTGACGTTCATGAAAGGTATTTCTTCACTTTGCAAAGTTCATGTTGAAATTAAAGTGATGTTGTTACGCACGTTGTGTGGTTAAATGAGGTATGGTATCATGTTTTCCTTCTCTTCAGGTACGACTGTGCTGACCTTATATGTGTTCAATACCAACAGACCCAAATGAAAATCAAAATACGTACGGGTCTTGCAATCGTTTCACTTTGTAATGGACCCGTGAAGATCCGGGGTAGAATAGGTCTTCAGCAACACATGCTTGCCGTAAAAGGCGACTATGCTAGTCGTAAAAGGCGACTAACGGGATCGGGTGGTCAGGCTCGCTGACTTGGTTCATACATGTCGATCCCAATTGCGTGGATCGATGCTCATGATGTCGATCATTGGTCCAGACTCGATTATTTACAGACCGCCGTCATATAGCTGGAATATTGCTGAGTGCGACGTTAAACAACAAACAAACCAAAAACAAAAAAACAACAACTTTGTAATGAACGTATATATCAACCCCCGCGAGCATTAATGTATATTTTAACTGAACATTTCTCTTCTAGTGACCCTAACCAGTTTCTTCCCGAACCACCTATACCCGAGCACTTACTGGAACCAGACCCACCAAAACCACCCAAAATCGGAAGTAAGATATGCTTTCACAAGTCATGCAAATACAGTAACCGTTTTCTATATGTCTAAAATGTATATGGTTTCTATTCAGGGTGTTATGCGCCTCTGTACATGTTTCTTACACTGTCCGATGTCTATATCAGAAATTCTGTTTTCATTATAATTACTATTGCGACAAAAAACATCAGAAGAGCACCTGTACCGCCCTCACGCAGGCAGAGCATTGAATGAAATTGATCTTTAATCATATCTGCTGTTATACATTAATTAGTGTGATGATGATGATGATTATGATGATAATTATTATTATGATGATGTACAGATTAAAATAAAAAATGCAGCAAAGAGGGTTTGGATGATCCTGGCACAGTCAGGCGGGTTAGGCTCATCGTCAGCTCAGGGCCCATGTCCCCTCTACACGCAGCCCAGACAGCGAATGGGACTTCTCCCAGGAAGCGCTGCCTAGTCAAACCCAACCAGAACTATTATTATTATTATTGTTCGACCTTGTCTTGAGCTATACATATTTGAAGATGTCTCGAATGATACGATATTCAATTCATGTCCAAAATAACATACTGACGACATTTTCTTTTTATATTCAGCGCTGAGACGTATGTCCAATGAACACATTGTCTGGCAGTGGCAGGACGAGGTGGGTCAATGGAGACTATACCCCGAGTCTCTCCAGACGAAAATATCAAACGCATTCGACAGACGGAAAGGTGGCTCGTGTTTAGTATCAAAAGATGGACACAAGTAAGCTATGATTAAAGAAGAATTACACTATAGCTCCTATATGCTATCAGTAGATTTGTGAGATGGAACATTTAACAGAGGGTCAACATGTACGATGTACTTCAGTGTTGTCACTCTGGAAACAATCTTTAATGTTGATTAACATGTTATAACAGAACATAATCTATTTGCAAAATTATAAAGTTTTTGTTATTGATTACATGATCATGAGTACATTTCATTTTGTATATTTTTCAGCTATAGAATAATGTTTAATAACATGAGTGAGAGAGCTGTTGAAGGAGATACCCGGCACAACGTACAGCGTTTATGTAAGTTTAATGCCAATTTGTACTCAAGCAACAGTGAGGAAAATAATGATCCTGTTCAGTATCCATAGCCTCCGTTAGAGGCACATCTCTCTGTGACGCAAATGTGACGCTCTGTTGATTATACAGTTGTGACGCTTTGTTTATTATACAATTGTGACGCTTTGTTTATTATACAATTGTCAAAGTCTATGTATTAAAAATTCAACACTGTGTATTATACAATTGTGACACTAAATATAGTTATATCATGCAATTTTCGATATTGCAGCCGTTACAGAAGAAGAACTAAAAGCCATGAAAGAAGCAGAGCGACACATCCATTTCTAGATGGCCGCTTATGATGTCTGACAGTTACTGGTTTGACATTGAAAAGGGATTATCACAACTGTTATTATGAGTTGAGAAAGGACAACTACTGGTATGTGTTGAGAAAGGACAACTGCTATTATGTGTTGAGAAAGGACAACTGCTATTATGTGTTGAGAAAGGATAACTGCTGGTATATGTTGAGAAAGGACAACTACTGGTATGTGTTGAGAAAGGACAACTGCTGGTATGTGTTGAGAAAGGACAACTACTGGTATGTGTTGAGAAAGGACAACTGCTGGTATGTGTTGAGAAAGGATAACTGCTATTATGAGTTGAGAAAGGACAACTACTGGTATGTGTTGAGAAAGGACAACTGCTATTATGTGTTGAGAAAGGACAACTGCTATTATGTGTTGAGAAAGGACAACTGCTGGTATATGTTGAGAAAGGACAACTACTGGTATGTGTTGAGAAAGGACAACTGCTGGTATGTGTTGAGAAAGGACAACTGCTGGTATATGTTGAGAAAGGACAACTACTGGTATGTGTTGAGAAAGGACAACTGCTGGTATGTGTTGAGAAAGGATAACTGCTATTATGAGTTGAGAAAGGACAACTGCTGGTATGTGTTCCAAAAGGACTGATCACAATTACCAGCATTTGTTGTGAAAAGACTGAACTATTATGGCGAATGTAATAATATGATTGTTCATATTGGATATAAATTGGGATGATATCTTTTGTGATGCCTCAAAATATTCGCTTAGATTTATCAACTGTTAATATTCACACTCGAAATATTTTAGGTTGTCATGTTACTCTTTGTATCAATGTGCACAACAGTGCTCATAGGGTCCTTCAACTTTACATGTAGGCAGGCGTTGTTTTATAGTAATATGATGGTCACACGGTAGTAGCTTATTTAGTCTTAAAATGCTCAACAATTGCATATGCACAAAGGGTGTGTGTTGGTAGGTGGGTGGTTTTGGTTGGAGGTGAGTGTTGAGACCAAATGCATGATTGAAATAGTATCAATAGTCTCCATAAATATTTATAGGAAATTTCGCCATAATTTGTGTGAAGAAATTTCAGGGGCAGAATTTGGATTTCAAATGTGTTTGTTGAAATTTTCAGAGAAATCTACGGGCCCATCTTCAGCCCAATAAAACAATAAGACACTGTAAATCATTAAGAGACTATTTATATAAGAATAGGATTACAGATACAATTTCTTTTGAGTATATACATATCCATTGCATACAACATAACTATATTTATACATAAGCTGCACGTTACGAAAATCCTATTTACAAATCAATAACTCGTGAAAGTGTATTGGTGTATGCAAATCGTATTGTACCTTATGCCAATTAAGATACTATAAGATACTTTTTTATTACCCGATTTGGGAATTTGGTTTACATTTAAGACACACATATACATCTATTTATCTTGTGTGATGAATGTGTCATGACAGTGAGATAATTGTCATGAATCAATTGTGTATGTAAGAAAACTAAATGTACATGTAAATGTATATTCGAATTAATAAATAAATACATGAGTGAATAATACCTGTTGTTCTAATCTGTTGATAATATCACTGCATGAATGGTACTCATTCAGATAACAACGTTCACACTGTCTGCGTTTCCAGAGGGCCATGCCATTCCTGTAGAGGGGATGGCATTTTAATTCTTATGTTTGATTAATTGATCTTTGGGTCTGTGCGACATTTAATTAAATACGCGTTTAAATCTTATCGAACATTTAACGGTAACTTACGATTTTCCATCCTATGATTTTCTCCACATTTGTATGTCTGTGGGGCGTCACAATGTAAATTTACCCTAACGACAAAACACAATTTACGTATTGTTTTCTAAGCGTTAGCAACTTTTGTTTAGTGAGTTGAATTTTCAATTGCATATGACAGACACGGTGCCGTTTTCTATGAACATATGATAATTCAAACAGGCGAAACACTTTTGACAGGAAGTAATTTGTTTCAATTTTCAATTCCTGCACGTCGCCATTTGTACATGACGAATCTATTCTTGGAAGATGAGTTGGTCTATATAAAGCGTGGTATTTCCAGTTATATATAGCTCTGACAACTTTCGGTTTAACGTGACCAATACCAGGCGGGTGTTGGAGGGAAGTAGAGCTTATGCAAATTCGCGTGTCGCATTCAAGGTCAAGGACGCATCACCACTGTAATAAGTAAGTACGCACCTTCACTTCCAGATCTACGAACGTTCTTAATGACGCTCTAGGAATAGATTGTAGATGAATGTGTTGTGTAAAGGAGTACGATGCTTTCTGAGGCCACAGAGACACTATGCTCCGGGCATACGTCTATTAAATAAGCATGCCTTTCATACTGTTTTGTACTTGAATATGTTATCGTTGATAAATCACCATTTAAACGAACTACTTACTGCATGATATGACACTTACCTCAGACCTGTATATATATATATATATATATATATATATATATGTAGATGTAGATGTATATATATATATATATGTGTGTGTGTGTGTATATATATATATATATATATATATAGTCACATCACCCCATGCACGCGCTGACGCCTCTAGAGATAATGCCAGATGTGAATGCATGGCTACAAATTGTAACTACAGAGAAATCGCAAAAATATGTAAATTACCTTTAAGTGATGGAGCATGGAGCCGATCCACTTCAGGAACTAAGAGAGAGGTGTGCCTCGACGCCTTCCACCACTGATTTGAATGACATCGATTCCCTGGTGTTTCGGGAGATCCGTGAAACTTGCGCTCTGACGTTAACCAGGTCTTGTTCAGTTGTTGATATACTGGTCAACACCAACGCTTTGACGTTATCTGATCGCGGGACTTTGACAGGTATACACATATTTGATCACAGTACTTTTTGAGAAACAATGAGAAAAAAATCCAAAATGTTCCATACATTCAACTCTATTACTTCATTACATTCTGCTCTGTGTGAAACCATTCAACATGTGTATTTAGATTATAATGTGTCTGTGTGTGCCACTTCACAACTAAGTCATGTGTAGAATACAATCTCCTTCTATGATACACTGAGTTACAATGTGTGCAATGATATTGTTCATACACGAGTACACCTCTTAGTGTTTTCATCTGGAATGCTTAATATCTGAACTCTTGTAACTTCAGAGCAGGGGCAACTTGTGACGTTATCTTGGGACACCTCAAAACAGTCTTCATACCACTCAACATTAGTCATACACGTGAACGAGAGTGACTCTCATGTTATCCCAAACATTGTCGGTGTCTTATGCAAAGATAATTTTAGAAAGCTTCAGCAGTTTGCTGTCATGATGTTTAAAGACTATAAAAGTAGAATAATAACTCTAAAGGCGTCTCCACTAAGTTTGGAACTTGTTCACGTGGATTTAACTTTTCTGGAAAAACTCAGGGACAACGTGACGGTTGTTGGGAAGAATTTTAGGAATTTAGTCTGTGAGGAGGTACATACAGATGTGAGATTTGAACTGAAAGAGAATGACCAAGGAGCACATGGGGGTGGAGACTTTATGTTTTCTGTTGGAGAGCAACCAAGGGAAGAAGATGGACGTGGCAAGAAACGTGTCGCCCAGTTGACACCAAGGTACGTACAGAGACATAAAACTTACTACACTATGAGCATTACACGAGGAAGATGTTCGTTTACATGTATCTCGTATCACTTTCTCATTAATATTGTATCTTCTTGCACAGGAAGTCGGCAGATCGGATATCTGGGGCTCATGGTATCAGAGATTTTACCTGTGTCAAAGGTAACTATTACATGTATATGTTTTAAAATGAGACATGTTTTGTATAAGAAATATATAAATTAGCTACCAACCTTATCTTCATGCCATTACCCAAACAAGTCTTCAGTGACATAAGGAAGAGGTGAGGTGAGGTGGGGTTTAATGTCGCGTCCAAGATTATTGCACTTATATAGCGACGTGCATGCACGTGTGTGTGTGAGTGGGTGGCTGCTTGTACTAGTCCGGACTGATGTCGATTTATAGTGCTAGCTCACTGAGATACCATGCCGCAGTATAAAATGAATACCCCACTCAGACACAGTCCTTGATTTAGTCCCTAAATGCCGAGCGCCTGACAGGGTAACAACAAGTACCATCTTTTAAAGTCTTTTGGTATGACGCGCCCGGGGATCGAACCCCGGACCGTCCGCTCTCCGGGCGGACGTTCTACCACTAGACCACGGAGGCGGTCTCATAAGGAAAAGGAAACACATTGACACACATGTTAGTACAATGCAAATATCTGTATCAGTGACAGGACATGTAGAACGTTTTCTTAACTGTTTCCAGTTTAATGTAATCAAAACAAACCGAACATAATCGACTTATAACTATGCTTCGTGTTAAGATGAGTCCTCCGCACACACATATGAACAACTAGAGCGGAAATTCAAGTCACATCAGGAGAGCGTTGAGGCCAGATTGGAGGAACAGAGACTTCAGAATGAATTCCTGCGGACTTCCTTGAATTCCATTATGGAATCTTTGAATATAGGTACAAAAGTCAGCAACCCACATCCTGCTGAAAGTCACATTGTTGGACAGTGTAGTGTTTCGTCTCCGCTAGTGTCAAGAGTTTCAGGAGATGGCGAGGAAGCAACACGTGAATTGCCGAAGACAAACGATGCAACACACGTACATGCGTTCGCAGCAGGCGGGAGACCAAATGTTACTTCTGACCAGAGAGAGGAAAAAGCTTTTACCAGTAAGAGTGACAAGACCCTGTTTGTCCAGAAATCAAAGCCACCTCCTGTTTCTACAAGTGAGGACAAAAACGATTCTGAAACAAAACAGTCGATGCACCGTGACAAGTCTCATTTCGATTCCACAAATACTAAACATACCCAATCTGCAAATCAATTTGACAACTCAGAGACATCAGTAAACCTTGTTAACCCACGCCCGACAACACCCGAATTTGCCTCCTATAATGAATCTGGAGAAAACAATATGTTCACAGTTCCATCACCTGTTCTAAACACAGCCCCTGATGTGAAGCCTCCTACGCCGCTGTCAAGGTATGTAGCAAGGCAAGCATTATATATACAGGGTGTTAATTCCTGGTTGTTGGAAGGACTGATTGTGGGGTACAAAACAATAACCGTTTACTCCTTACAGCGAGGAAGTGGAACTTTGAATTTGATTCAATTTGTAAAATGGGTGACCGTCTGGCTGTCAAAAACATTTATGTTTACAGGAACGTAGAGGCGCCCGGAATGACGATGTCCGATAGATATCAAAGTCTACCGGAAGGTAAATGAATGAAGAACATACTGAAACTAAAGGTGTAGAAAAGATGCAAGTAGTATACAAAATCCATGGTACATGGCAACATACTATACAAAATAGAACGAAAAAGTGCATTAGTGTCAGTGTAAAGTTTGCAAGTTGGATAACCCTTTGCGAATTCTTGTGTTTCTGCCGTCTTTGTTAACTTGTAGCATTAGACATAGGGTTAATACTATTGATAGGAGAAAGTGGATATGTAATGTACATGTTTGTTGTTTCAGGTTACGTGGAACCGTTCATTCACATCGTGGGCAACGATCCACGGGCAAATCGTATAAACGCAACAATTAAAAGGGAATTGAATTCAAGTGTGTAATCACTTCGTTTATTTAGATGAAAGAAATATAGTTTAGGACTATATATAGGTAAGGACAGTAAACTATCATCTTTGCCAATCGTATATTTTGATTAGCTTTGTAGGTATGAGCAACGCTCTTGATAGATGTGTAGATAAATGTAGAAACATCAGGGATCACCATCGATAACAGACTGTTTACGACACACATATGGAACATGTTTATAGGTCATGTTTACTTCGTTGGTCATACACATATCTTCCAGTTTCATATTCTATTTGTAAAAGTACAAATGCATCTGTGTCTTTTTTTAAAGTTTAAATTGTTTGTTGTTGTTATTGAAGTGCAACCATTCCCGCCTCGTGCTCCGACCTCACTGGGCACTGTCCTATGTCTCGACACATCCGCAAGTATTGGTCAACAGGGACTGCAAGAGATGAAGAGACAGGCACTCGACTTCATTGATGGCACGTATAGTCACGCCTACTTTGGTTCTGGATATAGTTTTTCAGATTAAAATGATTGAACCCCAATGCCCCATGTCTGACACAACTTCAACGTTTGACAACCAGTAACTACTTGTTATAGTCGCACTTTAGTTTCTATGTATTCCATGTTGTCTCTGTTTTGTAAATAACAGGAATTGAGGATATGGTGCAGGCGCATGAATTAGAAGAAAATATTGGGGTGGTTGCATTCGGCGCAACTTCACGGATTGAACACCACCTCAGCAATGACTACGCAAGCGTCAGAGATGCTATTGGTAGGAAGATAATATTTCCTCATCTTCCGTTAATTATTCGTATAAAGATATGCATTCGATTGGCAGTTATTCACGTGAACATATTTCAACATTCAAATTTAGACGGGTTTACACTTCCAGAAATAGTGGGATTTATTTCACTGTGCATACAGGCATACAATGTCTATTTTGACGTTTACTATGGCTTTTGGTTAACCATATTGTGCGAGACTTGGCTGGAGTGACCTCTATGCTGACAGATTTTAAATGTTTATGTCAGCTAATCCAAATTGTGCTAGTGCAACCACCATGAAGATGCGCTTCACTATTTCTTTGTCAGTACCAACTACTCTCCATAAGAAGAACATGCCTTTTTACTCTAAAGGTTATGATCTAAATTCTATTCATTATGGAAATGCAGATGTTATTGCAAACATTTATTTAGAAATACTAAAATCTTTTCATAATTTCATATCAGCCGATTTTCAAACTTTGTCTAAGTGCAAATCTCTCATGAAACTGAGTTTTGTTTACAGCGTATTACTTCAGCATGCTCAGAGTCGACTGTTTTTATGCAAAATAACTACCTTATTACTTACCCTTGACTGTACATTATACTTAATGACATTGTATGAGTGGTATTAACAAAAGTCTTTACTTGTTCTCCGATTCAGGTTTACACGGTTTTTAAAAAAAATAAATATGTTTTAAACATATTTTCCAATATTTCTCTATGTTACAGAAAGACTAGAGCTCGGAGGTCAATCTCCTCTCTTTGAGGCAATACTTGTGTGCATATGCTGTATCAAACGCCGAGGTAAGGATATGAAGACAAACTTAAATGTGCGAGATAGGCTTTCTCTTCTTTTTCATCCGGTGGATCCGATATCGCACTGCGAGATAGACATTGAAGAAAACCTTGTATTGCAGCTGCTACTACATGTAGAAGAAAAGATTTCTGAGTGAGTGTCCTTACTCCTTTAAAGTTGACACGAATGACCAGCTCCACATATCGATTAACTCTATATCAATATTGCCAGGTGGAATAATAAATTTATCTGGAGTTGTCGCCCTTCGACCACGCCTGATAATCTTCACAGATGGAAATGCATCGAATGAGAGTGACACTGGTGTTAGAGATGTCCGCCGTACAGACACCCAGGTAGGTAGGAACTTGTTGTGTCACCATATGATATCACAATTACTAATACTGTCTGTCATTATACAGAATAAGAGAAAACAATTGAATGACCCTGAAGTTTATTCAGTGGTTGTGTGACGATATACACTAAATGTTATTGCAATGAAGATCGGGGTTAGAATTGGACTTCAGCAACACATGCTTGTCGTAAGAGGCGATCGGGAGGTCAGGCTCGCTGACTTGGTTGATGCATGTCATCGTATCCCAATTGCGTAGATCGATGCTCATGATGTCAATCACTGGATTGTCTGGTCCAGACTCGATTATTTACATACCGCAGTCATATAGCTTGAACAATGGCGAGTGCGGCGTTAAATAACAAACAAACAAACAAATACACACTACGACTGGTATCGTTACACGATATGCGCTACTGACAAAAGATTTTAAAAACAGTTATCTATTTTTACTCTATGTCAGAACGTAAATGTTAAGAGAATAAAACATTCAACCATTTACAATGTCGTGTGACTTATTCAGGTTATGCGAGTACTAAAATCATGATTCAAAGTCTATCGTGTTTTGAGGTTCTTGAATCAAGTTTTATATTTCAATGTTACGATTGCAGGTGAAGATGCAGATTATTGATTTACTTCAAACACTGACGACTAAATCAGTCTTTCCAAAGCCTGTTGTATGGGTTCCTGTGGGACAAGCCGACAGAGTATGTATGAACCTTCCTGTTGTACATGTATTTAGTCCTGTAAAGAATTATAAATATTTTCTTGGAGATTATGTAGGTGATCACAACTTTCTATCGCAATATCTTCTTGTTATTATATTGACAGGATTTCATGATCTTCCTGGCAAATAAGAGCAACGGGTTCTGCCTCGAGGGATCGGACATTACAAAACTGTGCAAGTACCAGCGAGTTCAAGTATGAAATTGTTACGATGTAAATTTGAAGTATTTCAGTTAATTATCCCACGAAGTGAAGGAGGATATAGGAATGGGTGTTGTCGGTCCGTCCGTCACGTTTCGTTTTCGGAGCAAAAGTTAAAAATACCATGAGAGATATCTTAACCAAACTTGGCACATAGATAGCTCAGGTGATGAACTGGTCCCTTTTGATAGTTTCGAACTTTAAATAAAATATATATTTCGAGATTCCATGGCAACGACTTTGACGCAGACTGAAAATGACGGTAGTGCTCTTTTCCGGAGCTGATCTTGACAACCGTACAATATTTCTGCACCAAACTTGGCACATAGAAAGGTCCAGTGGTGATGTTTCGGGATTTTTAAAAAGAGTTTCCATTGCAACGACTTTGACTTATACTGAAAATGGCGGTAGTGCTCGTTTCCGGGGGGCTAATGCCTTGCACACAACCGGACATGTCATTGGCAGGGGATATAAGTATTTCATTTTTTATGTTTTATTTCTTTCTGGAGTATACAAACAATAAGTTTACAGAATATAGTTGAAATGCAATCTTAACTACATACAAGTTTGAAAGTATATCTATGGATAAAAATAAACAAATCTATTCCAGTGTCAGGATGCTAAAACATCTCTGTTGGGTTGTGCAAGTTCGTTTGTATGAGTATTTCATGCTTGTTGAAATGATAGCATCCATTATGCAAGTGGACATAATGCATAACATGGTAACCTTTAGTCGACTACGTCTCCAGTGCTGTGGAACGTTACCGAAAAGAACTACATCTGAAATAGAGACAATACTTGTCGAAGTAACTTTGTGTACATTGGCACATATCTTTAATTATCATATTTATATTATCACCATGTTTGTCTTTCCAATATCTAGACAACAATCAGCAAAGTATTTAAATGCATCGACAACGGAATCGGCACTGAGACAGGGACAACACCAAACCAGATACAAACTCTCCTCAGTGCACTGGGGGGTGATTTTGATGATGAAGATCAGGTTTGTATCAAAATACATAAGATCATACACAATTATGCTTTGATATACTTTTATGTGTTACAGTTAAAACTTATAGCCAGTTCATCTATAACATCTGAATGTGACGTAGTATACATCAGCACACGTTCTCATCATCCATTGCTATGCTAATCCATTTCAGTTAAAAATCTGAGGCCAAATGTTTCGCATATTATGTTTAATACCTGACTAAATCAGATACAATATATTACCTAAAACATTCAGGTATTATACGTAATAACTGATTATACGTTTTAGTTGTAAGATATTTAATGTCAAATTAATAGAATGTATTTAACTGTAAGTTTTATACACAAACACAAACTTATTTCAATGATTGTTTGGTCATTTTAATGAAATCGAAAAGTTCCATAACCCAGCATCGTAACACAAAATCTTTGACTTCCTGCATTTGTACAATGATATTATTAGGTTCCAATTACAATGTATGTGTTTTACATACAGTTGTTGAGTTATCTTCCGTTCATTTTCAGAGGGAAATTGCACAGTCGGTGACAGAATTGATTGAAAAGGGCGTAAGTGATTCCGAGCTCAACACTAATCTGGAGCTGCCAGGCTTGCCACATCTTGGCAGCAGAGTGGCTCGTGGCAAAGACTGGAAGTGGGATAACCAGGACACAGAGGGACCCGGGACTATCGTCAGTCACATTGCAGCAAGAAAGGGTTAATTCTGTTATCTGATTTCAAAATCTCAACGCTACATGTTTATCTCTATGGAAATCTCAGTGTTATTAACATTTGTTTTTCTGGGTCTCCTTCCTCGGTTACCAAATATTTCACTATTAACTATATATTTCACTATCTTTCGACTTCTTAAGGAATAGGGGGCACGGATACGCCTGGTATGCCTATGGTTGTAGGTTCGAATATCGGTTCGCTCCGGTTTCTAGGTTTGTCAGCCCCATCTCCGTGCTCCTGCGTTTCACCAAAGTGGTAAACGTCTGAAACCTGCGTCACTTCTGGCTTTCCCACCATATTAATCTGACACGCCGAACTGGAATGCTTTTCCAACCGGCGTTAAACCCAACTAACCGTCTCACTCACTCTTACGAAATAATGTATTTTGGAAGCCATTATGAAGGTGAAATATTGAAGCTGATGTTGATAATTAATGTGGGGCAATTTACATATGCATAAATGTATTTTATGTAATAGTATTGTGTTAGTTTGCACTTACGTTTAGTCTCTTGAAATATCAATTGATATATATTTTAATGTTAAAATTAAGTTTACTGTCTACATGGACCTGCATGTGGTGTTTGGACATAAAAAAACGACTTTGATATGACCTACTTCAGGTTAAAAAAAGATAAATAATAATGTGTCCAGTTAATTGTGCGGTATATCTTAACACTGTAATAGTAATTAACTGTAATGAAAACGTGTCTCAACGCAAATAACAAATGTGTATTTGACAGATTGGGTGCTCGTACACTGGGACAACGGTCAGAGATCTGAGTGTAGGTATGGTGCAGAGGGCGCCTTTGATGTGAAGGTTGTCCTTGATCAGCCCAGATATAATACCTCAGACATGACGTTTGACATCGGATGTGAAGTCACTAGAGGTATTATTAATAATGAGAAGTATTATTAAATATGTTAATACACATGTGTAATAAAACACACATACCCATATTCTCCTGAAGAAGATTTAAAAAAAATCTGAATAGAAACCTCAATGGTATGTGTTTAATCTCTTGGCATAAATGAGGTACTGTATGTTAGTGTTAATAGAGTCAGCTTAATGACGCTGTTTCGTGCATTTACCTTTGCTAGGTCCTGACTGGGAGCACAGGTATGGATTCCAGGATGGCGGGTCGGGTGGTGTTGGAGTGGTCATCGAAAACCAACTGAGTGGCTCAGTTCGGGTTTGTCAATTTCATTATACCTACATAAGGGATAAATGAATACATCTCATTAGCTTTCTCAGTATATTGTTATCTTTGTACATTCTTCCCACCTTGTGTTGTGTAACTATACCATGATTTATCTATATTTACTCTATGCACTTACTCAGCATTCACCTGATGAAGGATACAAGAAGTAGCAATGAAACGTAGTGAAATAGAATAAAAGAAGTTACTATGTGATGTAATAATAGGATAGAATAGAATGTCAGAATAGGTCTTCAGCAACCCATGCTTGCCGAGAGAGGCGACTTTGCTTGTCGTAAGAGGCGACTAACGGGACCGGGTGGTCAGGCTCGCTGACTTGGTTGACGCATGTCATCGTATCCCAATTGCTGGATTGTCTGGTCCAGACTGGATTATTTACAGACCGCCGTCATATAGCTGGAATATTGCTGAGTACGGCGTTAAACCAAAACAACTCAAACAGATAAGATTTTATGCACTTTTTACGCTCCTTCGCAGGTCAGGTGGCGGTTCACTTCACACATTGATGTGTATAGATGTGGCCAGGAAGGCAAGATAGATTTGAGTCTTAGGTATGTATCCATTGACATGATTACCACGACATCTAATGACGTTATTGTGTTGTGAAAGTATATGTGTTTTGATTGTTTCGTGAATCAAACGATGTTGTATTGAGTTCTTTCAGTAGATGCATGGAAAAGGCACAATGTTCTGTTCGTTACATGTTCGTCTTACTTTAACATTCATATTCCAAATTTGTTAATTTCACGAAGTTCTCGATAATCGGTTCTTGATTTTCCCTAGAGAGTGATGTCACTTGTTACCGACATGTTACAGAGATCCAATTGAAAGTCTGAAAGAAGTGACACAAACAGAGGGGCAGATGTGTCATGGTCTCGCTGAAGTAGCAGACAAAGGAAAACGTTCACATGGTAAATAAATATTCATCAGAAATATCTGCCAAGAGCAGTGTCGATTGCACGATTCCGACCATATCATGAACATGTGTTTATGAATCACTATCAAATGGTGATGATAGCAGGTTTTCGCGAAAAGGTCAGCGTATCCTGCCCCACCGATGGCACCCGTCACACATGCAAAGGCAAATCATGGACATTGCAGTCAACAACATGAAATATTCTTCTGTTTAGAAGACGCTGCGTCAGATATGGATGAGGGAGACAACAGCTGGGTGTGGCAATGGCAGGATTGGGAGGGGCAGTGGCGACTGTATTCAGATGAAGAAAACCAGAAGTTAGAAAAAGTATTCCAACGCCCCAACGCTAGTTCGTGTCTGTTACAAAGAGATGGGAAAAGGTAACTGTAAACTAATATGCGAAAACATGGTATTGTTGGTCATTTGTTTAAGTTTTGTTTAACGCGTACTATACTACGCCATATAAACGTTTAATGTAAAAGATAATGTAGAGAGCAGATTATGATGCACATGTGAATAATATTGTTACATCATACTTAGTCTGTGTGCTTTCTTTTTCGATATTGTCCGATCGTGCCTGCTGACGTCCTATGATACTTTATGAAACTATCCCAAAAGAATATTAGAAGCTTCCTCCAACTGAGCGCATACAAATATAACCTCTGTTAAATTGTTGACATTATCGATGACTATTAGCAGTTATTCCTCATGGTTAGTCAAATCTCTTTGAAACTATATGAGGATAATGTTTCTTTTATCCAGCTTCCGAGTATTATTCAAAGAAAATCAAGAAAAAAGCATAGACGATGACAGTAGGAGGAAGGTCAAAAGGACAAGTACGTTATATATCCTATCGTATCTTTGGTTGGTGTAATATGGCACGATATGAAAAGTATAACACCCTAATGTCCATTTACATGTGGTTTACGGCAACAAGATAAATGTTACATATACGTGTAAGTACACACACTCATGTATCTATTTGTTTTTGAATATCTATTGAAGAAATTCTTCTACTCAGCGTTCATAATACTCAAACACAACCACATAAATAACATTTTATCAAAGTATTTATTCGTATTATTTCAGATATTTCTAACCAATATACAATGTCTCATTTAGGGATGAGCGAGGATGATCTAACCGTGTACAAGGAAGTCGAGCGACAACTGAGGAGATCCTAACATACCCTGCTACAGTTATATGATATTCGCTCATATATTGTAAGTTTAGAGTTGCCTCAACAATGATTGGTGACGCACACATATTTCAAACATTGAACGAAAATAGTGTGCAATTTATAGTCTTATGTCAAAGTAATATGACATCATCGTACTAGTGCGTCAATAGTGCTAAGGATCTGCGATTATGAAAGTACGCAGGAAAGAACGCCTTACCAAAGGGATACAATGACATTGTGTATACTAATACAATTTGACTCATATAGAGTGGAGACATGTCTGGATGCCGACTTAACTCTATCGTAGTTAAGAGAGGAAATCTATTGATGCGAACTTCTTTCTTATCAGGAACAAAGCGTTTTGGAGTATATGCTTATTCCTTCATTATTCACATGATGAATGGGTACGCATATAATCCGAAACGTTGTGTTCCTCATTATAAAGAAGTTGACATCCATAAATTCTCTATGTCATGTGTATCACTTCTAAATGCCATTCAAAGATTCTATTGTAGTTGCAATGGTAGTTGTACATGTACTAATAGAGGCATATGTAAATATGATTTTCTCATTAAATGTATCAGGTGTATGAATGTAGGGCAGTACTGGGATGGAGAAGGCGTCACACATGCGCATGTTCTGTTTGAATGATGATATGTTTGTACATACATTTACGCTGCGACCATCGTGTGAGAATACAGAAATAAATGAATGATGTATAACGATTTCGTTCCTTTTTTAAACATTATTGCAAAGATATACATGTAATTGGCGTATATGGCAATGACTATAAATCTGTCACATTGTAACGGTTCCCCAAAAATATTATGTTTGTCAATTCATTTAACGTTAAAACAATGTAGATAGTACAGGTAAGCACGGCTGCTGTGTTTATCAACATTACTTGATGTGATTTAAACATATTTGTTCACAAGGAAAAGAAATTGGGCACAAGTTTTCACAAATTAGGTAGCACTCTCTCAAAATATTTGACCCGTGAAGTTCCGGTTTAGAATAGTTCTTCAACACCCCATGCTTGTCGTACGAGGCTACTAACGGGATCGGGTGGTCAGGCCCGCTGACTTGGTTGATGCAGGTCTTATCCCATTTGCGTGGATCGATGCTCATGATATCAATCACTGGATTGTCTGGTCCACCGTCATGTTGCTGGAATAATGCGGCGTTTAAGAACAAACGAACACTTCCAAAAATATTCACATGATGGGGGGTGGAGGGAGGTGGGGTGGTGGTTATATAATATCACAAATGAAGATGTACAAAAGACAGTATATACAGAGAGGCTGCAGGAAACAGAGTTTTACATTTACTTAACTATATAAGTGTGGTTGATATACTTATGGACGGAGTGACACAACTGTACATTTGCGTTGCAGCTGAGACGGGATATCCCATTTAGCAATATTGACACGTTAGAGACGAACTTGTTTTTACGTTTTTTATCTATGCTATTAATACTTCTTTTAAGTACATTCTACTAAATTGTCACACGGAGAACTTCAGAGACAGTTAGGGCCAAATTTTAAGTCGATTTCTTACGCAAGATATTGTGCATCCTTAAACAACAGGAAACATTGAGAAGAGGCAGATTTGGTTTGTATTTTGGGTTTGTTTTTCCAAGAGTACTGGAGGCTCTAATTGATAGGAGCAAATCATTCCAAAAGTTTGCAGTGGGCAGAAATATGACTGACTAAATAATTGTGTTCTACTGAATGGAATTGATGTATTTCGTTCATTTCTTAAATTGTACACATATATTGCAACAGTATTTGACAAAAGTTCACACAAGTAAGACGTGTTATAAAACAAGCAGAGCTTGCGATACGTTCTCCTTTCTGCAAGTATCACAACCAGTTTCAAAATAGAGAGCATCTTGGGGAGCATATTTTGGTAACCCTGTAACTGTCCGAACTGTTTTTCCTTTAATTCTGTTGATCAACCATTAATTACACGATCATTAATTACTTGATCATGCTACACTATGAATACCCACACTGAAAATAAAGCAACTGCTATAATTCATTTTCTTGCAGCCTCGTGATAATCGTTTTACAGGACAATGCAGTGTCAATTTACAAACTCCATGCACGTTTATATGTAAGACTAAGTACCTACCGGTTACTACCGTTGCCTTGGTACCTGTCTTGAGGATACCCATTATATGCGCAAAGTGCTGGGGATATAACAGGTTAGGTTAATATGTACCTGATATAATCGAAATGGGTCGGAACTCGAAAGTGGTAATTGGTTCTACTGTAAATCACACACTGGAAAATCTATCGATAGTTCGATAGTTCACCGAGTGAGTGAGTGAAGGAGTATGGTTTTTACGCCGCTTTTAGCAACATTCCAGCAATATCACGGCGGGGGACGCCAGCAATGGCTTCACACATTGTACCCAAGTCGGGAATCGAACCCGAATCTTCGGCGTGACGAGCGAACGCTTTAACCACTAGGCTACCCGACCGCCCCTCGATCGTTTAGCCTACATCAACATATCATATACTTGCTGAATTTCGCCCAGCAGTTCTTTGACATTAAACAAATGATGAACATATAGGGAAGGTAATGATTATGAAACATACAATACGGCCCAGCATGCGGAATCAAATTCTGTCTGTATAAAAAGGACATTCGTCAATGTTTATGTCAAATATTGAAGACTTCGCGTATTACTCTTAAAATATTTGATAGCTTACTTAAACAGATAGTGGTGCTAGTCAGGCACTATGATTGGCATAGGTGTTCGAAATATTTGAGAATGATAAGAGGAATACGAAACACGCTTATCATAACAAAACGATGCAAAGCGTCTGTTAAGTTTAGGAAATACTTCTTAGTGTGTTCCATAGAATTTGGGAAGAAAACAACAGAGAGAGGAGACAGGCATGTACACTTGTATTTATTCCCGTGAGAAAATCGGATATGGTAAGAAGCCAAATGCAATAATCCATTTTAAAACCTTTTCATACTAAGCACATATAACAATATACTATGTAAAGGAATATAGCACATTTTCATTTAAATTGTACATGTTATTGCTATGGACATATGGTCATTATAACGTTTGGATTACTGTTTTGCAGAACTTTCTTGAATCACTGGTAAACGTGTCCGCAGGAACCATGGTAGAAGGAAAGGACATTAAAGGATTATGTAACTACCGAAGAATTCAGGTAGAATAAGACTATATTCAAATCTTTTGCCATAATTCATGTCGAATATCATGTCTATTTCTCCAGATTTCCATTGAAATAGTTATATAGGGAGTAGAACTATTTCCAACACAGATACTAGATGTTTAATTAAATTACATACGTCATTGTGCTCTCATAATAGTTGACCACGAAGTCATATTTGATTGTAAAATACATCTGTAATTCTGATTGGTTATTCGACATTGACTCTTCAGAATTTTCAGCATTTTCCAAAATTACTTTTCCTCAGGAAATCAGTTCAATGGTGATGGTTGTCATGCAGCGTGGCTCTCATGGCAATGTTTTTGATGTTATTGATGCTCTGGGTGACGATCGCAGTTTCCACGACAAGGTGAACGAAGGTTGAATCCAAAGAATTTGCAAATCACTGTACAATAATTTAATAACATATTCGAATAGCCTGATGCCTGGCACTGAGAGAAAGATCTCACCACTAATGAAATACAAGAAATTTGGTCATTTCCATTTCCAGTCGCAATAACAACCTGATCTTTACTTTTGTTGATATACTTTTGTTTACACCAAATCGTCTATTGCAATTTATGATGTTCATTTGTATATAATGAGGGTTCTGCACCTGTTGTTTGTTACAGGCTGAGATAAAAACACAGTAGAAATGAACATGAAGGAAAAATCAACCATGTGGTCCACAGACTGTTTTGACAATATCAAGACTGAGAAAGACATGCCTCTCCTCGGAAGTAGAGTGACGCCTGGTCCAAACTGGATGTGGGACGATCAGAGCGCAGGGGGTGCAGGGACAGTCATCAACCATGCTACGAATAAGCGTATGTCATTTCATGTTTACGAGGTACACAGGATCAGGTATCCACTGACAAGTCTACAACATATGTTATCAGTGCTTTTGATGAATATGTTTTTATTTTTTGTTTTTATTTTTGTGTGCTCACGTCTCTTTTACATACAGCACTTATGAATAGAACAACTGTAAAGCTTATTATGATTCTTAAGGAACTATTTCCCACTACATTTGTGTACGATAACAATATGCCTTCTCATTCTTGTTAAATAGTTCTATTTCAAAGTTGATATAGAAACACTTCATTTTCAGTGCAAATTTGGGTCATTTGGGATAGTGGCAGCCACAATTTATACCGTTACAGTTCAATGACCGGCTACGATGTGCTGATTGTAGACGATTAACCCCGGATACCTTCTCACAATGTAAACATTGGTATAGGGGTGCAAGTTGAAAGAGGTTAGATTCAATATATGACAATATATTTGGTCAATATATTCGCAATTCTTATACGAGTGTTCTGTAAATATTTTATGACAGTAAAATTATCCTGTGTGTCCTGTAGGTCTCTAGTGCAGAGAAACATGGAAAGTTTTATCTCTTTATAAATCAGGTCCTAACTGGCCGAAGTCTTATTGGAATCAGGATGGCGGACCAGGCAGTCATGGATACGTTAAAAGAAAAAGGGAAGGTAGAGTGAAGGTACTATTTGCATTTTATTATTTACCAATAACGGTCTATCAAATTATACTGAAAAAGTTAGATTTTTTCAAAGTCTGTGGGTTGCTTTCACGGAAATGCAGCAAGTGTGACGACAGCTCTTGTAGTCCCGTAGAACCCACACTGGACAAACCGATGACAAGGGCAAGTAAGCAGTGCACTTTCATTATTTGCGTGACAAATGGGTTTGGTTGGCTCGTTAAGTTAATAATTATCATGTGTATATGTGTTATTAATTGAGTATTGAAATGTCTGGTACAATATGCAATCAGTAACATTGAAAGTCCATTAAGTCTCTGTTTATATACTGGGGGCACGGGTGGCCCAGTCGTCTAAAGCGCCGCGATTCGCTGTGCAGAGTTGCGTCCCTTGGGCACGCTAGAAACCTATGATTGTGGGTTCGAATCCCGGTTCGCCCCGATTATGTTTCTAGGTTTATCAGCACCATACCCGTGCTCGTGGGTTTCACCGAAGTGGTAAACGTCTGAGACCTGCATCACTTCGGGTTTTCCTCCCACATTAAGCTGACACGCCGCGATTTAACTGGAATACTGTTAAAAGTGGCGTTAAATCCAACTCACTCACTCACTCACTGTTTATATACTTGTAAACCCCTAACGAAAGTGACAGTGGAAGGTCGTTTGTGTGGCAAAGGCGTGTCACATGGCAGTCATATGATACACCTGAAGATGAGAAATTAAAGGCAGCGTACGCAAGAAGACCGGCGGGATCATGCTTGATACAAAGAGATGGAAAGAGGTATACATGTCGTCTTGGTAACGCTTCATGATAATTCCAGGTTATCGCATACAACAATACACGTGTAAAGACTATATGTGTTATGTTTATGGCAAATGTATATATCGAATATGATTCCTTTTATGTTGGTATTGTTTCTGACTATGACAGAACGATGCGTAGATGACCAAACAACAACAGCCATAAGGAGACATTCTATAGGTATGGTAGAATCATGATCCCTAACCGAATCGCTGTAAGGTTCCCCCACTCAAGTGTCATATTAATACCCCAAGGTTTCCATGGTCCTGTTGATATACGGAAGGGCAGTTGAGTAACCTGGTGGTTAAATCGTTCGTCCATCACGCCCACGTCCCGGGTCTGAGCCACACATGGTTGCAAAGCGTGAAGCCCTTTCCTGGTGATCCCCGCGTGATATTGCTTTAATACCGCTCAAAACGGCGTCAAATATAACTAACTCACTCACTCACTCACTGATATACGGTACATTGATAAATAACCTAACAGGTGCATGTATTTTGGGGTATTTAGTTTTCTTTTTCAGCTGAGAGTCCGCGTGAAAGGAGCCGACCAATATGACGATGCAGTGGAATACGAACTTGCATACCATCAGAACATGTTTTATGGTTAAATTTTAAAAGGTTAATAATGATTTGCTGTATGAAATTGATAGGGGCGTACCAATTGATATATTTGAGGGAAAGTGGAAAGAGACACAGAATTAATTCATGTTTATGGCCATTGCTTCAAAATTTTAATCCGGGTAATGTCCTTCAAACAATGTTGTGTAAACTGAGACGCCGTTACTTTTTCCTATATTCTTTGGTTTAGATTGTTTTAGACACAAATCCTTGGCGCCCAATATCAAATGGTACGTCCCTTATCGAATGTCTCCATGAGTGACGGTACCTTTGGTTGAAACCAAGCAACACGATGTGGCAAAGCCCCTTGACAATATTATTCTTAATTCTACCATGAATTTGGAATTTACTCGATTCTGATTGGCCAATCAGAGGCTATTTAATCACAATAACCCCCCTCTGATTGAAACAGCTGGTTTGACGACCGCTTCACAGCGTCAGCTAATATTCATAGAATAGTACTATTTTCAGTCATTGTCGGTAGGCATATTTAAATAATTATATCTACAATTACAGGTTACAAAATGCACGTATGCGGTTACTACAATATTCAAAGGATGTGTGGCAATACATTTCATGCTGAGAACACGATAGAAATCTGCAAAGGGAATGTATTTACGTTTTGGAGACAACAGAGAGCTTGGAATTTTGGCGCTTTCCTATATACCACTGTGACGTCATATCTTTTGCGTCACAATGAGCGATATGACGTCATCATGGTGACGCGCGATGTAGAGCGAAAGCCTTGCAAAGCTTGCTTTGTTTCCTTTAGGGATGCCCACCTCATGTTAGCTTACCAAGTTGCCGTGCTGATATGCTTTCAAAGCATGTCATATGTTCGAGTGAAGTATTACAGTGTAAACAAACTGTTTTAGTATATACAGCGCAATATTTTGTTTGGTGATTCCGTAATTCCGTAATATTTGCTAACACAAAAGAGTTCGCGTTTTATTTAGTCATTGTAGAATGGAGATAAACATGTGCGCTAAACTTAACATGTGAAGCCTCACGCTGCGCGTTCGGTTCAAAATTCAATTTAGCGTTAAATCTACAGGTAACCTAGCTCTACATTGAAAACACAGTACCTTTATCTCCTAAACATTTCAGGTCAGGCGAAATGGGCTTTATAATATAGAGCGACGTGTTTGCACACGTGTGTGTGTGTGTGTGTGTGTGTGTGTGTGTGTGTGTGTGTGTGTGTGTGCCCGACCAATCACAGTTTTATACCGTTAATGCCTAGCGTCAGGCAGGGTAACGACTACTATATTTTATGAAAGACGCAGCCGGGGCATCGAACTACTGACTTCCGATTCCAGGCAGACATTCTATACTCTACACCATGGTTATTGAAGATGTGGTGTGATTGCGTTACGTTGAAGTTCCATATATATCGCACTATTCCACATGTGTGTTGTGATCATAACCTGATTTCACCTTGGCCATCAGTACCAACAAAGATAATTAAGCAAGAACATGCTCTTTGAATGGAGTGTATATTTATATTACAAACACAGTAAATTAAATATTCACCAGCTATGTATTTGATCTGTCTTAAACTGAATTAAACATTATTTCGTGAAGATTTGGTTAGAGTTTGTAGTCGGGCTATTGGCCGAGAAAAACAACAACAACGTGCTTTCATATAATATGTTTACAACAATCGGTTAGAGTTTGATTGTTTGTTATTGAACGCCCCATTTAGCAATATTCCTACGATATGATGGTGGTGTGTCAATAATCAAGGATGGACAGGGCAATCCAGTTTGGACATCATGAGCATCGATCAACTTGCTATAAAATGTACAGGTTATTAACAGATATGATATTTTGCATTTGTGCTTAATGTCTGATGGCTGAAAAATGACAACACATGGCAGTCCTATTATACACCTGAAGATAAGAAATTAAAGGCATCGAACTACATGCTATAAAATGGATATTAGGTTATTAACAGATATCATCTTTTGCATTTGTGCATAATATGTGATGGCTGAAAAATGAGTGTTCATCAGCCATCTGTCTCAAAGTGTGCACAGGCCAGACTGAACTTCAAAGTGTTTCGAAAAGATTAAATAACTTTGTTTCCTTTCAGACGGTGATTGGGGCTATTTGTATCCTTAATGCCTTGAAACTTAGTGCATACACGAAAGAAAATGGAGACTTGTTAGTGCTATACCAGTCTGTAGTAGGGCATTCTACAAAGATTAATTAGGAGCATCAGTTTTTATTTATATTTAGCCATGGCATTTGTGCACATACATGAATTCATCTGAAGGAGTAGAGATATAAACATTTATGTGGTTACAAAGAATGCAAATGAAAAATTGCTAGACGTTGTACTGCATGTGGTGTGTATCTGAGTTGGGGCTAGTACTACTTTGTCCGGTATTTCAGTCATTTTCACTGCTTGTGGAGGAAAGCCACAAGCACGGGTATGGTGCCAACAAATCAAGAAGCTTACCCAGGGAGAATCTGAGTCCTAGATATGGTCATAGGTTTCGTGCAACTCTGCAGAGTGAATGATGTGTATTTTTCACAAAAAGAAAAAAGTCGTAGTCACAATAATATTCGTATTCATGGCACGTGAAAAGAAACATCAAAGAGAACACAATCATAAGTCTTCTACCCAGCATTTGAGATAGGAATAACAAAGCAGAATGCAGGTCAACTACACACCATATCTCCTTGGGTGAAGGTATGTCTACATCACAATTCTATAACATTTCTACTTGAAGAAAGGATAGCTAGCGCTGTGATTCATTAATATTGTAACTGGCGTAAATATCTTCAATATTGCTGATTTGGTGTCTAGCCCTAACCAACTGATCACTAACAAACATGCAAACTTGTTGTTACAGGAAGTGTATATTTTCTCAGTGTATGTTACATGAATACATGAAGACAAAAATGTATCATGTAGCTTGGTGATCATATTAAACGTGTACCAAGAAGAGGTAGCATATAGTTCAACACAACACAATAGAGAGTAAACCAAACATTTCCCTCGAAGCCATGATGGGCATAGATATTCATTAACCGCCATTAGTTTTTATCCTGAGCAGTGTGTAAACAAATATCTGGACTTACAGGGAATGCATTGCTCTCAGCAAACACAGGCTGCACTGATAACAACTGGTGACTTGAAGAATGCAGAAATGAAGAGATAAACTAGCACTTGTTTCGAAGAAAGGCTTCGTTGAGACTTGTAATCTTGCTCTCGCGTGATAAATACCTTCCTCCAGAAAGTGCAATATGAAGATGAGAAAAAGTCGACATCTGTCCAACAATTGATGTTGAATGTACACTTTTGTAAATATTTAATAATAATTTATAACATGTGTCATATATTGGAGATGTGTATAATCTAGATTATGAAAGCCATATGCAATTAACACCAGCTCTTAATTAGTTTGCTATCTCAATGTGCACCGGTTTGCTTTTCAGTAGTGATTGTTCATTGGTATGTGTTGGTATTTAGTTGCTACGGTTTAATTCCCGTACTGTTCACGCATCCAATAAGGATGACTCTTTATGTTAAACTACCTGACATGTTTTATTGTTTTGTAATGAAACCAACTCCTATATAACTGTCTAAAAGTATTCTTATATACAAAACACAAGCTGTTACTTTAAATAACGTTGAATTAGCCACGTTGGAACACTGTAAGTTTTCTTTCATTTCTCATATGTCTGTTGCTATACATACTTTATCACTATACAAGAAGTAGGGAAAAGAAATAATGGATGAACAACTTCTTTATTACAATTAAGAGCGACGTTTCGGTGTAGATTCTAACACTGTTATCAAGCAAGTGATAACGGCGTTAGAACCTTCACCGAAACGTCGCTCTTAATTATAATTGTAATAAAGAAGTTGTTCAGTCATAAATTCTTTTCCTTACTTTGTACTCCAACTTTTAAATGCCTATCAAAGAAACTATACAAGAAGGTTGAATTAGGGGTACATTTTTAATTGACAAACACATATACAACTGTTCTCTTTTTGCTGTGAACAGTAACTCCATAAAACCTGTGGTCAACACTACATTGGGTGTCTCTTTCAGAGACCGCCGCACGAACAGTTCCCACGATGGAGAAAGTCATGATTCTGTTGCTGCTTGCTACAATTTCTGCTGTTACCCTAGCATTTACAGGTATTAGTACATTTTGTCTTAATACCCAGATTTGATCTGGTTATGTCTTTTGGTTTGTGAGCACCCGTGCTCGTGGGTTTCACTAAAATATTAAAGACCTTCATAACATCAACTTATATGCCGTAATGAAACTTTTTATTAGTAAATACTTTTACTCACTTGATAGGTATGCAGTCTAGACAAACACTGTATTATACCATTTACCCTGTTTGTCGTGGCATCTTGTGCAGCGGTATATGTAGATATGCTAAATTAAATGTGTTTGTACTACAAGTAAAATATATGAATATTAGAGTAAATCTTGGCATTATCTATCACTGACCAACATTTTTATCGTTTAGCGTTCCAGGCAGAGTTACATGTTTGATAAAAAGTTTCTGAAATTTAATGGACAATGTGTCTCCCTTTTCAGATGAAAATCACTGCCTATATGGTGGCGTGATGTACATGAGAGGTGCTCGTTTGCCGTCAACCGACGGTTACAATAGTTGTATGTGTTTTGGAATGAACGAAGTGGTCTGTACTAGGAGGTCTTGCACTCCAAGAAAAAATTAATAACTTTAGAGAAATTTAAAGTATGCTCATAAAATGCAACACCACATGGAGCATCGGAAATGGAGCAATTGTAATACCATCAATAAAGCCGTGATATGTTGCAGTACATCTTTCGTTTTGTTTATTTTGAAAAGAACCCAATTTGAAAGCTTTTGCAAAGTACAGATCATGTGAAGTATTTTCATCTTGGTAAAGACATATAGGTTTCTGTGTTCGAGATGGGGAATAGGGGGGTTATGGCGCCATCAATGTACATGATTCCCGCTTAAGTGAGTGAGTGAATTGGGTTTAACGCCGCGCCGTTTTTAACAGTATTCGAGTTATATCGCGGCGTGTCAGCTTAATGTGTACCACTTCGTAGAAACCCACGAGCACGGGTATGGCGCTGACAAACCTAGAAACATAATCGGGGCGAACCGGGATTCGATCCAACAATCTTAAGTTTCCAGCGTGCACAGCGAATCTCGGCGCCTTAGACGACTTGGCCACCCGTGCCCCCTCCCGCTAAGTATAATTAATAAGTATAGATCCCTCTGTAACAATTTTTAAATCTGAGGTGTAACGTGCCTATTATACGCAGTGTTTGACTTGCTTCAGCAAAATAATTCTTTGCTTTATCTATATGATAGCCAACGACATCTCGTGTGTCAAATAAGGTATGATGCCGTACACAATACATCTGACAAATATCAGGATATAAAACCATCTGCGCATGGAACGGGATTTCAAAGATGTGTACACATGGCAGTCCTATGAGACAAACAGATCAAGCAGGCGATGAGACAAACAGATCAAGCAGACGATGAGACAAACAGATCAAGCAGGCGATTGGGGATTGCGACGTTGTAGATGTTACTGTTTTTACAAACAAATACTTCGAATGATTAGCTGTTTTAAGAATGACATTTGAATGGCATTAGACAGTATTAGGTATTTGTGTTGGTTTGCCAGATATATAGAACTATATAATTAACGAAGTATTAAACCAATAAGTGGTACATTTGTAGAAAGGGTGGTTTAAATATAAGGGATTGTCACATAAGGTTACATATACAATACATAATCGGAGACTTGTGCAATCATGTTTGCCATGCATGCAAAAGTTCTTGAACTATAGAATTGTGCATTTTAAACATTGCTCTAATGCACTCGTCACATGCCATTATGAGAATAACAAATACCATGTAAGCATTCCAACGTGTAATATATATGTTCGTCGTGAAAATAACACACAAAAATATGTTGATTGTTACACTAAAAAAAAACTAAATTTATTGCTATTTCCACGCGAAAGTGCTCGTTCCAAGAATTACCGAGAGCAGCAATCGACCCCAGTGTCCACAACAAATCGTTTTCTTTCTTGAACAGACAAGTCGTCACCGGACATGCATCAACACCGTGTCACCATGTTGGGTTTAACACCGGTTTTAAAAGTATTTCAGTTATACCACTATGTGGGAGGAAAACCCGAATTGAAGCAGATTAGGTGCTACACTCTGGCAGTGTGGATTCGAATCCCGTAAAGGCTCAACCCCCCCCCCCAAAAAAAAAACCTTCCCCCGCCCCAGGAAAAAATACCAGAATTTGCACTTTACTAAGAAGCGTTATCCAAAATATGACATTTGAACACTTTCTAAACGGCATTATGTATTCAGAGATCGTAGATATCCCCCACATTGATGGAACTAGTCTGCAGTGATGACAAACCATGGACCATCAGCAGGTTGAATCAAAGATTCAAACACCACCATCTAGGCAGGATGTAACTATGCCCAGCGAACTGGCGCCATTGGATAATCCATATCCCCACACTTAGATTCCAAACCTCCAAACTGAAAACAGACGGTCCATCCCCATCCTACTTTAGCACAGTGAGAGTTGGCCAAGTGGTTGTTTGTCGGATTATACTATATTGCCACACTTGAAATAATCTAGGGTCCGTAATATGGTATTTCCAACATTTATGACATTAATATGTATTTGGTATTACCTGTCGATAGTGTTTTTGAAAGAAGTGCTTCGTGAAAATATATCATTGTGATGTAGTCTACAGCAAAATGGTTGTCTAACGTAAATTGTAGTTTCAAATTGGAGGATTCTATAAATTCCAAGTTAGAATAAGACAGAAGAGTTTCAGTCTCTTTATACATGTATGTTCACACCAAAATATGTTGCACAATTCATAATCTAATTGAACTGTCATACATACTAATGTACATGATATTCTACCATGGTCTACATGTTCACCCCGTTGAGGAAATATCCATGCTATAAACAGTAAAATTTATAACATCGACACAAATGTACGGAGAAACAAATATTAATTATTATGAAGTATTTCTCTATTTTCTTACAATATATATATATATATATATATATATATATATATATATATATATATATATATATATATATATATATATATATATATTCCCTTATGAATTCGGGAAAAACGGGAATTCGACACATCCAAGTTTGGCACATCGAGGTTCGACTGTATATAAGGGCAAGAACTATAACAAGAACTTATGTTGTTTTTTACACGAATGTATTTGAATTTTTAATGAATGACATAACATGCTTGTATGATTGACATGCCTGAATGCATTTCAACATAATCTGGGAAAATGCATACCAAACACGCAGTTTGGGTTTTCATGTAGCACTGCCAAGCAGATTGATAACGGGAGTGAATGAAGGAGTGAGTGTTGTGTAACGCCGCAACCCGCAAATGTCGATTATACAATTAGATATACACATATCTGTATGCTCATATAGACATAATATGATAGCTATATGAAATTCAGGAAATATGGGGTTTGTTGTCATAATCATGTGCGAATTATTGTTCGTCTATACTTTAATCTGAAAAAGTGTATTGAATGACATGTAGGCATGTAAAACTTGCTAGTTAAGGAAACAAAATGTTGTCACATGCTTGAAACAATACATCGTAACATATTATACATACACGATCATTTCTTATCATTAGAGTTAACATAATCATTACCCGTGAAAAACAATAAGTAAGCCCAATGCAGTCTACTTAACATTTTAATAAACAACGCAACACATGTACATGCACCTATCAAACGCTTCCTGATCCGTATTCTGTTGTTATCAGCAACACATCTTTCAGTTTCTTTTCTGAAAGATATCCTTAAAATACATAAGAAAACATAATTTGAATATCTTTAATTTAACAAATTTCCTTTAAATATTTGTATTATACATTTTATTATTATTAAATATGTATATGCTAGAATATATTATCTGCAATCGGTAGGCATAGTCATAACCATCACACTGCTTTATCACGATCATGATATGGTCATTCCTTATCAACAGACAGGATCCTGCACTTCTTCTAAATTCTGTCATCGGTTTGCCATTTCTGCCTTGAGACCGTCGTGCCATCAGAGTAGTTCTTCTGCTATCTCACTTAGTATTCAGCGTAGCAGGTTTAAAACAAAGTTGAAAACATTCTAATTACTGCATTGTTGCAGTGTTACATGAACTGACTTTGATCAGCCAAACCAAATTAAAATTTATTAATTAACGGCCCCAAAACCCCGCCGCCGCCTATGGTCATTAAATAGGGCAAGTAAAGTGAAAGAAATGTTTGCTGTTTTCTTTCGAATATCAATTTCCGAGAGGGAAAAAATTATAATATATGTAGAAAGCATTTAAATGTCCAAGTGAAAGCAGACCGAGAAATACATGAATTTAACAACCCGAGGTAGAAGCAGGCAGACTGGGCGTCGGTCCGATCGTCATGATCGTTGAAATATGCACAGCGCGTAAAGCAGCGGGGACTCGTTTTAACCTCTACGAAGAGGATTTCCCATACAGTGAGAACCTTCCTTTTGGGACCATTTCGCGTGTCGTTTTTTATCGTCTTTTCACGCTATTGCCGATTTTAAAAATTAAATTTTGTCAATCATTTGCGATTGAGTATGTCCTAAAGTATACTCTTCAAAAAAAGAAACTTGACACTGACTTTCAAAATGTAATATAATGCGATTGTTTCAAAATAGGACACAGAAACCATAATTGAAACACTGTTTGAAGATCAATGTACACAATGTTCAAAACATTAATCGTGTCACCTAGACAGACACACGTACACGATACAGTTAATGCCACAGGGGTACATAAAATGTCAGTATCGGTTGTGCCCACCGCGCGCATCAATCACCGCTTGACACCGACGACCCATAGATGCAATCAAGTTGTCAATAACACGCTGTTGGATGTGCTGCCGTTCATGCTGAAGTGCATCAAGAAGCGCCGGAAGTGTGGATTCTTTCTGCGAACGCGTCGATCCAACTCGTCCCGCAGATGCTCAATCGGGGACAAATCTGGTGACCGGGCTGGCCAAGGTAATGTCTGGACGTTGTTGTGTTGCAAGAAGTCCTGACAAACACGTGCAATATGCGGTCGAGCGTTGTCCTGCTGGAACTGTCCGCCATGAACGTTGACGTGAGGAAGAACGTAAGGCTGTAGGATCAAGTCTCTGTAACGCACACCTGTCAATGCATCTGCAAAATGCACGAGAGGCGTCCTACCACCGTGATGAATTCCGGCCCTTACCATGACATTCCCGCCGCCAAATGGGACAACCTGCTGCACTCAGTTGGGGGCGTAACGTTCACCCCGACTTCTGTAGACACGTGCGCGCCCATCAGCACGTGTGAGTGGGAAACGGGACTCGTCAGTAAACAGTACATTTCTCCACCTTGCACGTGCCCATCTAACCATCTGTTGGCACCAAAGCAGACGGTCCGCCAGATGACGTGGGGTCAATACATGACGTCGAACAGGTCTTCGTGCAAAAAGTCCAGCCTCCCTCAGTCTGTTGCGTACCGTTTGATCTGATATTCTGCGTACCCCAGGGACTGTGTGGTTGTATAGACGTGGCTGTGGTAGTGCGGTCTCGGAGGTGTCGCAGCCGGATGTATCGATCTAGTGCTTGGGTTGTCACCCTTGGTCTTCCTGACCTTGGTCTGTCGTCAACTCTGTTGGTGTTGTTGTATCGGGTCCACAGTGCGGAGATTGTATGTCTGGATACGCCAAAGTGCCTGGCCACTTCTTG